CCCCCCCCCCCCCCCCCAAATCCTTAACGTCACTAACATCCGCAGGTCAAGGAACATCTAAAGGTCTTTCAGAATCTCAGCTCCGATGACCCAGACTACGTCCCAAAGCTGAAGAAAATCTGGAGCTTGCTAGAGACGCACATCGACGAGGAAGAAAAGCGAGATCTACCGGCTCTTGAAAAAGCGATCAAGGCGCATGATCAAGAAACTGAGACACTTGCGAACCAATTTGCCAAGACGAAGCGGTTTGTGCCTACGCGAAGTCATCCGAGTGCTGGAGAGAATCCACCTTTTGAGACGGTTATGGGACTTATGGCGGCGCCGATTGATAAGCTTGCTGATATGTTCCGCAAGTTTCCTGATAAGAGAGACCTTCCTGATGAGCTAGACCCTGATGAGAGAGACGTTCCTGATGAGGTAGACCTTCCCAACGTGAGAGACTTTCCTGACGAGAGAGACCTTCCTGATGATGGGAGAGACATTCCTCGTGGGAGAGACTTTCCTGCTGAGAAAGAATTTCCTGCTGGGACAAACCCTGCCAAGAGAAAGCTGTAGATTATGGCTATGAAGGTTACGACATGGATTTTTTAATTCAATTGATGATTTACATAAAATTTTGAAATTGTGTATACCTTGCTCTTGGTGCCTGTCGCGTTGTTCACCCTTGCGTCGCGTCTGTCTTCTTATCGCTTGTCGTAGCTGTTATCAGTGAGATAAGACAGCTACCCTAGAATTCTGATTCCATTTACCATTTGAGAAACTGCCGTTGTATCTCAAGGCTTTCACCGAGCTTCAAACAATCCCAAGTCATCTCTTGAGCTTCATTAACAGTTTCTACTCCGCTGTCACTCTTTTGATTAATTGTCTAAGCGTTGAGTGGTTGAACGACCGGGAAAGAACATGCATTCTTCATCATAATCTCAACGCCAGATACTGTGAGCATGGAACACGATTCACCTCATTTGCACCGTCCGGTTTAACTTGTATTGCTGAAATTTCAAACAGTCAACAATGAAAAGCAGGCTTATCATCTTCTGGCAGATTTCAATGTCTTCATCCAAGGAACAGTCTTTACAGCATTACTTATCGCTTATCGCTTATCGTTGGCCACTTATCTTATTCTATCTTATCGATAGATTGATGAAGGCCGTCTGTAACCGAAGCGGTCTTTGGATCAAGCAACCCCCACGCTCGCTTGTAAGATTGAGTAAACATCGTTGTATTCATATTGACTGATATCAAGAAAGTCTCTTAAAGAAGTATCTGCGACGTGTAGCTTTTCTGCGCGTTTGAAATTCCAGAGATAAGGTACATCTTCACCTCGATCAGAGGTGAGGCATTGACGTCATTCAAAGCATTGCACCTCAGTATATCGCAACTCATGAATGAGAAAATCTCAATGGAATAAAATACTCATCTATGACATGTGAAAATTGTCTGTATTTCTCTTACAAATAGTTCTTGAGATACAGTCATCTGTCAATCCGTTATCGCTCACCAAAGCTAAAAGGGTAGCACAGGGTTAATCCGATGCGGGGTCAATAAACTCCAAACTTTTACGTTACCATAACAAAACCACAAAACCACCAGTACCCGCCTCATCTCATCAATCCCTCACTCACAACACATCAACCCATCACCAAAATGACTCCCTCTCTACAAGACGCCAAGATCACCTTCCTCGGAGGAGGTAACATGGCCGCCGCCATCATCGGCGGCCTCCTCGCCAAAAACATCAACAAGCAAAACATCTACGTCTCAGAACCCTGGGACGTCAACCGCAACAAAATGGCCGACCTCGGCGTCCGCACCACCGCCGATAACAAGGAAGCTGCCGCCGACGCAGATGTTGTCATTCTTGCTGTGAAGCCCCAGGTTGCCAAGGGTGTTTGTGAGGAACTTAGCTCTGCTTGGGCTTCGCGTGATAGTCTTCCTGTTGTTATTTCTATTGCTGCGGGTATTACCCTGGCTAGCATTGCCCAGTGGTTTAAGGGTGATGGAAGCAAGGCTCCTCATATTGTGAGGGTTATGCCTAACACTCCTGCGCTTGTTGGAGAGGGTGCTTCGGGATTGTATGCTGCCGAGGATGTTACTTCTGAGGAGAAGGAGTTGACTTCTGCTCTGTTGGGTTCTGTGAGCAAGGCTACTGAGTGGGTTGACAAGGAGGAGCTTCTCGACGTCGTCACTGGAATCTCCGGTAAGTCTGAACCTCATTCACATTTGAACACCAACTAATTCATGATCAGGCTCTGGTCCCGCTTACTTCTTCGCTTTCGTCGAGCATCTCATCTCCAGCGGTATCGGCCTCGGTCTCTCTGAGGAGCAAGCTACCCGTCTCGCAACCCAGACCTGCCTCGGCGCTGGTAAGATGCTGGTCGAGTCATCCGATGAACCTTCCCAGCTTCGAAAGAACGTCACCAGCCCTAACGGCACCACCCATGCTGCGCTCGTCAGCTTTGAGAACTCTGGAATGAAGGAGATCGTTGACAAGGCTGTCAAGGCTGCTGCTGACCGTGCTAAGGAGCTCGGAAAGAACTAGAGGTGCAGGTAGATGATGGTAGAGAGAACAAAATAGTAAAAGTTTCTATCGTAAATTATCTGCGGCTGTATAGTTGAGCTTTCGTACATGTTTACTGAAATACCATCAGAAGCGTGGGGTCGGGATCAATGTGCAGTCGATGACAAATGGTCTTCACTGCAAATTTAACCCCTGCCAAGGACTGTGAGCAGGGCAATATGGCCGATTATCTAACTGGACGGAACAACAAAATGTAGTTAAAGATCGTGGGCGGGGTTAAAATTGCAGTGAAGGCTTGCAGAAACTAGTGCGGTCATTCTTATGATTGGACGTTTGTGTGATCAAAAGGGCTTTTTTTACGCATTGCCGGGAAACCTATCACCGGATATGGCACAAGCAACCCTGAGTAACTTATAATTGGACAAAACGATAAGAATTATAGCTGGTTGGGGTCAGTGATGGGGTTGAAAGTGCAATGTAGATGTCCAAGAAATTGTAGGGTGGTTCGCGATAACTGCTTTATTGTTCTTCACTTTGGTGGAAGCATAAGAAAAGAAAATGGAAAGAAGAAGGCAAGAAATTTCACAGTTAAAAGTATGGCAAGGAAGCAAAATAGTATCCTATACTAGCATTAGATCAATGACATTCCATGAAATTAACACTTTGAAAGAAGATATCCGCTACTGTCATCCCAAGCAAAAGAACAACGTTACCATCATTGTAGACAGATGTCTCAGTGAATAGCTTCATCTACTGACCGTGCCAAGGAGTTCGGAAAGAACCAGAGTTACAGGTAGATGATGTTAGAGATGATATAATAGTAAAGGTTTCCACAAACCGAAATTCCTGAAAAACATGATCGTGTCGCTTTAATATCTGAGACTACTGCCTGGATCATCGTCGATATGTTACAAAATAAGTGCTCGCGTGCCCTTGGGTTCGAACAGAAGTCTAAGCGAGTGATCTACAGACTACAGGCAATAGCGGCGCGTCCCGGCGGTTTCGTTCTTCACTGCAATTTTAACCCCCGTCAAGGCCTCTTTTCTCAGAACAAGTACACACATCCACACACATCTCTTTAGCTAGCCGAGATGGGAAGGTTCCGACGTTTTTCACCGCAATTTTAATCCAACCCAGGGACTCACAGCCCCCAAATCAAGATCGAGAGGAGAGCAACAGGACCAAATTCCTAATTGGACAGAGTGAGAAAAAGTGGTTGAAGATCGGGGAGCGAGTTAAATTTGCAGTGAAGGAGACAAAGTTACATTGCATATCGCTAAAGGTCATGTGATGGACTTGAATGAATGGGTAATGAAGCTGATCTTCCAATTGAACAGAACGGTAGGTAAACACAAGTAGAGATCAGGGAGTGACTTAAAATTGCAGTGAAGAACGATATGGATAGACCTTATTGGGCAGAAAGCCGAGACTTAGGTGAAGATCGGGGAGGGAGTTAAGATTGCAGTGAAAGTGGTGATCGGTCTGGGTTCGTGTAAGTGAAGATGGGTTTGTGATTGAAGATCAGGGAAGGAGTTAAAACTGCAGTGAAAGTCAGCGTTTGTAATATAGGCTGGCCTTTACTTACAGGCTGTAAGTTACGTTGCATATCGCTTATTTCATTTGATAGCAACGCCGTAATGAAGGGGCGATGGGGGCAATGGTGCAATTGGAAAGCGTGGATCAAGGCTAGGGAGGGGGTTAAAATTGCAGTGAAGGTTTAGTGGCTACTTGAGCAGTCACTTGACTGACTACTGTTTTTTGGGCAGTCGCTTGAGTGACTCCAGTGATTCCGGGGGTCGCTGTCGATGGATGTCTTGGAAGATCTGCCCCACAACAAAAACACAAAATACGCAAGCCCAAGGTTTTTGATTGGGTAGAGCGACAAGCGTGTTCGAAGGTTAGGGAGGGGGTTAAAATTGCAGTGAAAAGGTGCTGCAGGAGGCTGGCAATTTAAATGCTTTGAGCATCACCAGTAGCATGGTAGTTTCAGCAAAAGCTGTCGATTCCATTAACATGCTGAATTGCAACCTACGAAGCTCATGTACATGAGTATGGGTTGCTCCAGATTAAGCTCTTGTCTTTAAAGCTACTAGCCTCATTGCAATATAACTCAAACTTATTACATACTCAAACCGTCATCTCTCGCCAAATAGATAAAGAGAACGCCCGATGGATACCGTCTACCACAAGAAAGCTGCAAGAAGCGGCAGAGCAAGCAAGAGTAACTCCCCGACCTTTTGAGTCTTCCCAGCGACGTTGGTGTCGACAGTGGTGGCTGATGGTGATGCTGCGTCTCCGCTTCCTGAGCCCGAGCCTGAGCCAGAGCCAGAGCCAGAGTCAGAGCCAGAGTCAGAACCGGAGCCGGAGTCGGAGCCGGAATCACCACCACTGCCGCTGTCGCCTGAGCCGCTTCCACTTCCACCTCCGCTACCTCCAGAGCCACCATCCGAGTCACCTCCGTCTGATCCTCCATCATCCTTACCATCACCAGATCCAGAGCCTCCTTCATCCTTACCACTATCGCCGCCCTTGCCGCCACCACTTCCCTTATCGCCATCACTGCTTCCCTTGTCGCTATCACCATCATCGCCACCCTTACCCTTATCACCACTACCACCGCCACTTCCTCCACCGCCAACACTCTTCTTATCCATAGCAACTCTAATATTAGCATCCTCAATAGTAAGTTCAGTCGGCTTCTCCCCACACTCCTGCAAAACCCTAATTTTCTGGTTCTTAGCATTCTCAAACGGATCACTCTCAATATCCTCCGTATCACCACCCGTCGAAACAAGCTCCTTGTCATAGACAGTATTCTCATCAACCAACATCTTCAGTCGCGAACCGGTCGCGCCGCCCTTGGAACCGGGCTGATCGATCTTTACGGAGAGGAGAACGCGGATCTTTTCGCCGATGGGAATGTTTTCGACTTCGCCGCCGGTGGGCGCGATTTCGCAGTTTGCTTTACCGTTGGGAGGCGGTTTGAGAAGGCTGGTGGATTAGTTTATGCGTGTGGAAGGGATGGGTGGACTTACACTTCTTGCTTGCCATCGGCTGCCCTCTTGAATTCGGCGTAGTCACCAAGTACAGTGTCTTCTTCTAGATCGACGGGAACTTCATATGCCTCTGTCGGACCAGGCTTGGAGCCTGTCACCGTGGTGAAGCCATCTTTGCCGGTCGCGGAGGCCTTGGGTGGTGCAACACCAGATCCTGCGGCAGTGGGCTTTGGGTTAGAGTCTGGTTCATTGGTCTCTTTGGGTTCTTCCTTGGTTGGCTTGGCTGCCTCTGACTTATTCCCACCATCTGTCTCGTCTGGGGTACCAGGCTGATATGACTGATCGTCCGTATTGGCTGGCGCAGGTGGGGGGGTTTGAGCGCCTGTACCTTCATCGTCTTCATCGTTGTCGACCTTATCTGACGCTACGATGGTAGGTTCTGCATCATCAGTGGCAGTTGGTCCATCATCACCCCCGGTAGGGCTTGGCGCCACGATCCCGGCTCTGGAGTTTGTCGTCTGGTCTGATGGAGAGTCAGTGGCAGGTTCAGTAGGAGGTTCAGTGGGAGGTTCAGTGGGAGGTTCAGTGGGAGGTTCAGTGGGAGGTTCAGTGGCAGGCTCAGTGGCAGGCTCAGTGGCAGGCTCATCAGGGGATTCAACGGCCGAGTCAGCAGAGGTCACGGTAGGTTCATCTGGAGTATCAGTGGCCGAGTCACTCGGGGTCACGGTAGGAAGTAAAGCCGGTAGATCAGAGGCCTCAGGAGTAGAAACTGACTCATCGCCAGTTCCAGTTGGTCCGGGTATAGCCTCTTCCGGCACGGAGTTCAAGGCATCACTTGGAGTCGGTTCAGTCACGGTAGGTTCCTCACCGTTTGTGTCTGTGGGTTCCGGGGCACTGGGCTCCGGCTCGGAGCCTGTTCCAGAAGGCTCTGGCTCAGCATCGGTCGCAGATGGGACAGGTACGGCATCGGTAGGCTCAGGGTCGGTGGGTTCAACGTCGGTAGCAGCGGGGGTGTCGTCTATAACAGTAGGTGCTTCGTCAGTAGGGACCGGGGCATCGACGGGGTCCGGAGTCTCGGTAGGATCAGTGGGGGGCTCGACCGGGGAGGGCTGGTTGGCCGGGGCGCGGTTACCATCTCCTGCGGTGGGTTGAGGGTCGGTAGGGGTATCGTCAGGAGGAGGTTGATTTCCATCACCATCGTCTCCGCCATCATCACCGCCGTCATCATCACCACCTGTTGGAGCGTCGGTTGAGGTGTTAGCAGGCGGTGTAATCAGACCCATCTGTTACTCACCAACAGGCGGTGCTGAAGGCACAGGAGCAGGTTCATCTCCTCCAGTCTCGATAGGAGGATCAATCGCAGGAGGATCAACTGCCGGAGGATCGGCTACAGTAGCGACAGCATCTCCGCCAGGTGCAGGTTCTGTTTGACCAAGACTTCTCTCAATGAGCAAGCCGAGAACAAGGCCCTTCAACAAACGCATCGTGGTTCAAGGTTGTAGGTGAACGTTTATAAGCGTGAAGAAAGAGTTGCAGTTGTGCTACATCAACTACCAACGTCGACACCATTATTCCTTTATACAAAGAGCCTCCAGAAATAATTCTCCCCCTCTTAGCATCTAGACCGTCCATGGCGGGTTGTTTACATGCAGACATCCAGCCATACTGCGCTAGTGTTCGGAGCTGAAAAGTGCACATTCCCACCATCCAATGCCCTTCGTCGCAACTCAGCCTTATGGAGCTTTGGCGAAGCCTAATCCAGCCAAGCCAGACAAAATTGGGATAGATTAGACGAGATCCTGACGCCATAAATCATGCTTCTCCATCCCTTGGGCATTCTTTGACAGAGGCTTCCTGTTCAGAGGAGGCACTTACCGCAATTAGACATTTCTATTGCGATGAAACTTTGAACTTGATCATTCCCGGAAATGTCATCTACCGACACGGTCACCCGAATGAGGTCTAGATTACGCCACGCTGAAATGCTTAAATACAAGGTTAAACAGGCCTCCGAGCACTGACCTCGAGCCTCACTATTTTACGCAAAGACATTACTCTCCGTTACTCCACTCAAGGGTTCCTATTCGTCCTGCATCAGCCACGTTTGTCTCAGGGAGCCTCACCTTCCGTCGCCAGACGGAGAGGGCATATTGATAGACGCAAATACGTCTTTGACACGCGGCGTTTGTTTTGGGCTACAGAATATGCTCTGGCTACGTCACGACAGTATTTGTATTGTCCACCACAAGGCAAGTTTTGTCTGGCTGTAGATAGAAAAGCCATCGACATAACGCTAGCGATGGATCAGGCATCTTTGGTTACTGTTTTCAAGTCTTGCATGAGGTCATTGTCCATCCCAGGCCAGTGCTTAATGCCGTGCAATCACAGCCATTGGCGTAGTGCTTACAATAAGATGAACCCACAGTTTCAGCAGTTAAACACAAACAAGCTTTGACTCCAATAGCCTACAATGGAACGTAGGTATTGTAGAAACTCACAAGGTTCCCAACGCCCTGTAACTCTCAAGCAATCATGATGATCTATCCAGAGGCGTAAGTGAGCGTAATATCATATCCTTATTCTCTATACAATTTAGATCTCCAGGAGAATGGTATTTGTAGCACAATTCAAATCTGATAAATTCCAACGGTGGTACGCATTGAAAATACCAAGAACTTTATTTAACAAATAAATTGTCAACTAGCATTTTGCTCCGGCCAAACATAAGGAAGCGGTTGTCTTTACATCATCAACTAAACATCACATGCGCTGTGGCCTGAATAATACCTACTAAGCTTTTTGACCCAAGATATCCACATCAATTTCAATGTCTTTCTTACGTCGATAGAGTATCCCATTTCCGCAAATCTCCTTTGCTTCAAAGTCCCTCTGAACTGGCACAGTTCCGAGTACGATACAGTCAATTTTTCAGACATCGCAAAGTACAAAACAGGTGCTGTAACGTCAGCCTTGACGTTTAGGCTATTAACATCTCTCCAATAACAGGAATACCGTTTGTGTTGAGATCGAACCCATCTGGAAGGCTGACATCGATATCCTGGTCGATCTTCCTGTTCCTAGAACATAGGTGCATCAACATTGACATCGACAGTGACTGGTATATCAAGATTCAGATCAGGACTAAGATCGACATCAATCTGGGGGTTTCTCTTGAGATGACCGCTCTTGGCTTCCTTAAAAACGGGGACTGCAGCTGCGCCGATGGCTAGAGCTGCGAGGAGGATCGGGGGGAGCATCTCGGGTATGTTTGTCTGAGATTGGCTGATCCTTGAAACAATATTGGTTTGGGAAATAGAGCGCTTTGATTGTAAGATGAGTGATGAGCTGTTGCAAGTGAGCTGTTACCCTTTAGAAAGCACTGGGGTATTTATAATTAAATTTCATCATCGATGATAACTGTCAAATTGTGGCTGCCTTAGAGATGGTGTTGGGTTCAGTGACCTCCCGCGGTACACAAGTGTTTGTCGATCAGTATAGCCCGCTAACCCTTCGAAATAATGGTCGACAATTGTCTAAACTATTATCTATTTTGTGCTGTCTACTGTTAAAGTCATTGTTTGCCACAATTAACCTTATGGATAACCAGGCCTGCCCTATTTTCACCTTCAGCAACGTATCAACAATACTTGTGACATAGTGAGGGCAGCTGCGGTTCGCAAGTGCTCTATTTGAGAAAATATCTTATTAAATCTAAATCCTGGTCGTTACCCAGCATAAGGGAAATGCTACAAGTCAAAAGGATCATACGCAGGGTGGGTACTTGAGGTTAGGAGGAAGGGAAATGTCGTCCCCACTTCAATGACGATCCATCGAATCGACGCGTCTTGCCATTTGCCGCCGGCAGAAGCACTTGAAACTTGCCCAGATGTCGGGGTGCATGCAAGGACATCAATGTACTGTAACAAGAAGAGTTGGACAAACGGATTAGATGCTGCTGATTATCTTCAGTACCATGTACCTGGATCACTTCCTGTATTGATATACCCACGTGGGACCGATGGATCTGCAGCACTCTCCGAAGAAATTCGGCTGACAGGCGGGTCCAAGCCCTGAGATTGATCAGCACACCAGAGTCGGGTGCCGATAAAGATGAAGGGTGGGCGCCGTGTCACAGCTACGGAATTTGCCTCAGCTAGGACACGCCATAATTTGTATTGGCCAGCGCAATGCAGAATTTCTTTAGCTGTGACTTTATAGGCCTGTGAATACGCCATTTGGACCGGACGCCGGCGGAGCGAGGGAGATGATAAAAGGTCACTGTTCCAGCTCAGGATCCGATACAGTGTAATTCCAGCTGTTGACATAATAATCAGCAATCTATAGGTAGTCTAGTCAATATGAGCAGTGTAGGGCTAGGCCGCCGCTGTCGAAATTACTCTTGAAAGCAGATAGTAGCCAAGCACATGATTAATTGCCTGAGCTCATGAGCTAACAAGCTCGGGAACTACAAAGATCGACAGGAGATAGCGTCTAAGCTCGATATCCCAACACAGAATAGAGCATAGCTCACAACGTCGGTAATTGGCAGCAGAGCTTAGTATTGACGATTTCTTAATCGGTACTCGGCGCATCCAAAGCCTCAACTACATTGAATCCTCAATAAAACTTCACTGAAAGAACGTTAAGAATTATGTTAAGTGATAAATTAACAACTGATATCCTGCCCTCCACAGACATACATAAGATAATTCATTATCGTTACATTCTTTCAACCACGAACCAATTGAGCAGTTAACCAAATAGAAGCAGAGTTCGTACCCCAAGAAATCCATACAGATTGCACCGTCCATCCCGGGCAGACAAAGAGATCTCAATGTCGGTTGCCATTTGTGCTTTGAGAGCTGTCTTGCCCGGGATGTGATAAAAGACGGCCATGAGAGCCTCTCAACCTGCGTCTCCCTTGTGGGGGTCAAGGACGTGTAGATCAAGCATTCTTCTCCTCAGCCTCGGCCTCTCTCTTCGTACCAGGCAGGCTAGGAGCACCAGGACCGAGAGGAGTAAGGACCTTGAGAGGGGCGTCATCAGTGCCGAGAGTGACGCCAAGCCCCCGAAGAAGTGCAGAGAGGCCAGCGAGATTGTCAGAGTTAACGTCAACCAAATCGTTGAGAACCTGAGCATTTAGTTGTCTCTTTGTCTTCGTACCAGGCAGGCTTGGGCCAGACACGCCAGGGCCAATAGGTGTAAGGACCTTAAGAGGGGCGTCGTCAGTGCCGAGAGTGACACCAAGCCCCCGAAGAAGTGCAGAGAGGCCAGCGAGATTGTCAGAGTTAACGTCAACCAAGTCGTTGAGAACCTGAGCGTTAAGCTGAGGAGTAGGGGCTGCGGATGCACTGATGGCCAGGGCTGCGAGGAGGAAAGAGAACTGCATGTTGATAGATGTTGTTGAGGTGTGTTTAGGATAGGATTGGGTTGAAGGATTGGGGATTGAATTGGAAGCTGAGTGTTGTAGTTGTAAGCTGATGATTGCTGAGCTGTGTGATGATGAGTCTCTTTCTGGCAGGAAGACATCGAGATATTTATACATGAATTGTGTGGCAAGTTGCGAGCATGAAGCACATACTGACTCACAGGTTGACAGCTTGAAGCACGTATTGACTCAATGCGTTGTTACTCATGGTCTTGACGGCTTGGTGGGCCGAATTGATCAGCATTGGCTCTTTCTCCTCAGATCGTCACTTAACAGCACTGCATCTCTATGAGGGATATGTGCCACAGTCATCATCAACACCTTGGCAGCATGAGCTATGGCTGCAGGAAACTCGACTATGATTGAGAGGAAATTATCGTGTCATGTTCAATGACGATCTCTTCGGTTTGTTCCAACCGGAGTTGCATGTTGCAATATGTCGTGGAGTAGAAAGCGAGCTATCATGAGGCAAAAATCTTTGAAGGTTTTCGTGATCGTCGAGGTGCAGAAGACGATGTCCAACCAAGCTTTGAATGTGCAAGTTGGAAGTAGCGTCTAAGGGTCTTATGGAGACGTCACAGACGGAATCAAACTAACAGCAGCAGCTTGAAGACAGTGGACAAATATAGGGCGGAATAGTTTACACCAAACTCCACTTGGTTCATACCTAAATCTTTCCGCCATGTTTCTTGATCCCAGGATGAAGAGAGTTGAAGCTACAGCTTAGAGCTGCAGCTTAGATGATGGCGATCGTTCCTGCAGTATTTTCAATGGAGTAATTTCGACATGTCTTGCATGTGCAACGTTGAAGAAACTAGCAATCTGAAACCTTTCTGCAGTGCCGTTAAACATCCACGGAGGTGATCCGGGTAGATGGAGCTAAGAGGCGATCTGCAAATTCATACAAGACTCCGAGCAACGTCGGCTAGCAGGTGGGTCAAAGATGAATCCGTGAACCAATCCTCACTCGGAGAAACAGACACTGTCTGCTTCTTTTGCGTATGTACATCTACGAGAGTGCTTCCACCCACCCAACGGGTTTTGAAAACCCCGACGATGAAGATCTCCGGACAAGGCAGATCTTGGGTTTGAACTATTGCCATATGCCGGAATGATCGACGTCTATTCGCTCTACCGGGCAGTTGGCACGATTGCCGAGTCCATGGTATCAGCGGCGTGGTCTAACCATGCATGTATTGAGTGTAAATGATTGGTACCTCTTTGCACTGCCTAATTCTTGTGGATAGCTGAGAGAGCTTGAGCTTGATGATCAGTGCCAAGAAGGAGAGACAATTGAGTTTTGGACACGGACGATCAGTGGAAGCAGAACCAGTCCCAACAGCAGATTTCTTCATGTGAACGTCCGAGCGCAATCTCCCCTCACTCTCCCCAGCTCTGTAGTCTCAGGCCCTGATCAGCCCGATACGTACAATGGAAAAGCGTTTGATACAGGGGTAGCTTCAACTTCCTTAAATTGACCGTTGCTCGCTTCGACTTTGGTTGGAATAGCTTCAATTTACACCAAACGTTGAAATGTCATCAGCCGCGACGGCGAGCTCAAATCTCCCTCTTTGGAAAGCACCACAAGCTTAGCTCGGCCTCCGATTTCCGTTTGTAAGCCAACAGTAATGAAGTTTGCCTAGTTAGTACTCACCAGCGAGTAGGTGGGAGCACCAAAACTGGCCGAGCTTTGGTGGCTTTTCTTACCGGCTAATGAGGATAGCTGCAGATCTACCGCAAAGGTTAGCGAGCAGTCGGTTGTGAGCTTGCAGTTGGAAAGGGACCAACAAAAACACTTGCTTAGTAGATAAGCCACTGTTTAACTTTGCCTAACAACAAGCCACAAAGAAGGGGAGAGAAACTCAACAGTTACAGGATTATGATGCAATCCTTGCAGCATCTTACTTGAAACTCCCAAAGAAAGCCAAACAAAGTAATTCAAGAATTTCTTGAGAGGAAGTAATGCTGAATGGCGTAGAGGGCGGTCCTCTTGTTGCAGTAGCTTCAATTCTCAGCTTATGCCAAGAGATACTGTTGAAACCTTATTCAAGACGGCTTCGTCTGATCTTTATCGATAACGGAGACCAGAAGTAGTACCATGCGCCACCGAAGCCGGCGAGCAGTTTTGTAGACTAAACCACGAGTCAATGAGGACTTTTTGAGAGACGGTTTGGTTGTATTCGGTCTAGGGCTGAGGTGCTAGCTAGTAGCGATTGACCAAAGAGAAACGGACGGATTACTCGATCGGCCCGAGACGCCCATTTCCAGACTAATCCCGTCGAGGCACTTCCCGTCGGGAAAATCCCGGTCAGCTGAGCCGCGGGAAGTTGGTGGGAAGCAGCACACCAAAAGCTTGATAGAAAGGTTGAGTGGTTGTTTTGGTGTGAGTGTGACGGGATTAATCTGTCGCTTCCGAGTCAGCATGGTGTAGAAGCCTTTTGCTGTGTAGGGTTGTGTGTACCTATCTACGTGAGTAATGGCAACCTTCCTTTGTCTCTCTGTCTTCTTTTGGAGCAACTGTTTAGAGTTTTTTGAGATGCGGTTCTCAAAGACATACAGACACCACCAGCTCTGGGGGCGACATCAGGATCATTGGGCGACAGTAATCTACTTGAGTTTGCATATGAACGGAACATGGACAAGCCGACCAGAACTTGTTGAATGTCCATGACAGTTACTAAAGTTCTGTACACGTATAGGAGATGTCCATACAGCTTTGCTGAGTACGCCTCTGCGGATTGCCTCCGCGGATCTGTTATCGCAAGCTTAGATTGATAGTGAGGAGAAGCCGGTGGACTACAGACAAGCGCGATAAGGACTCCTCTTGAATCTGCTCTATTCCGCCAGACAGGACGTACGAGATTGTCACTCCCTCGTAGGGCCGAAGACGCTAGGCAGGCAGAGGAAGAATGGTTCCTGCTATCTTATCTCCTTGAGCCCTCATCGGTGCATTACCGACATGTCCTTCTCCCTGTCTACTTGTTATATACTAGAAATGATGTAAGATACATTGCTCCCAGCGAAGATAACTTGGAGGCAAAGTATTGGATGAGGTACGGGTGATGATCAGCTGGGGGCTCAAGGAGATGTGCGAGTAAGTGTTATATCCGTATAGCCGGTAATATCTTGCTGCGGTGGGCGGCCGACAAAGGCTGGTTGCTGGTGGGGTAGATCTTCATCTCGTTAGCCATCAGCTCAGCCACTAGTTTAGAACACCACCGAGAGTGCCCTGAGTGCTCAACCATATTACAGGAGTACAGTTTAAGCGAAGTTGACCCTGAAGCTATTGGTAATTACGCTGAATCACTGTTAACTCTTTGACTTTTGACGATCACATACCGATCCATTCGCACAGACATTGGTGAGCGGCAAGTCTTCGGATAACAGAGTGTGAACCTTGCACTACTCTCTGCAGAAGAAAGTCGATAGGTATTTATCCCTCCTTGTCGGCATCCCAGCACACGAAGCTGCTGGAATTTTTTCCTGGTGATATCCGTATTGCAACTTTGGAACAGATAAGAAAGTTGCAGTCTTATTAGATTGTATCTTTCTTTTATTTATTTATATGACCTCGCTCTCTCTTTAAGCAGGTAGTGATTAGGTATATCTTTGAGAAGATGAGATAGTAAAAACGAGAATAATTCCCATGGAAATTAAGCTTGTAAAAGCTTGCTTATTCCTGTCGGTTTCTTTGGTTGTATTTAGTAAACACTATACTATAATAAGATTCTCTAGATAATGGAAGCTATCGCCTTTTAGGACAGGTTATCGACAGGAACTTCACTACTCCAACATCCTGCTTACTCACAGCGTCTCGATAGCCTTTGAAACATAGTACTGTTCTTGAACAAAGCACAAGCTATGGATATAGCTAAAATGGCCCAGGTTGCGAGGCATCGTACAATAACCCACCTGCATCTGGACCCCAGTAAGCCACAGTTTCATCCGGCCGGCAATTGTTTCAACCACGATTTCTGCTTCAATAACCGATTATTGATGATATGTCAGTCAGCTGTTAATCGCAAGAAAAGGAAGGTATTCTGACTGTGTGTTCATCGTATATATCGTTTACTATTAAATAAGATATCTTTGCTGGGTATCACTCTATACTGCATTCTTACTATTCTCATTCATGAACCGTGTCATCTCCACAAGCTCAGCTGTGCTCGATGACGCATCCCCTGTCACTCGCGCTCCTCCATTGTAGGCGGAGTGTTCTGTCTGATTGGATGTAATGTTTGGTGACTTTCCGTGCAATCTGGACGAGACAGAACTGTGTCCATGCGAGGGATGCGAGCGGTTGTTGGAGCTGTCGAGGCGAGGGAAGGACTTGACGATAAGGAGTCGGAGATCAGGCATGCAGGCGCACCAGATGGCGACGTTGATTTCGATGACCGACCAGTAACATGTGTTGAAGAAGTCCCAGGTGGGGTTGTTGGATTTTCCAAAGGCGATGAGGAACTGTAGTCTGATGATGGACACGACACTAACGAAGGTACCAACAACGAACATCAGAGCAACAGCCAGCTTCCTCTGCCACTTCATCTGAAGTTGCAGCAGTTGAAAGACAGGAATTGCAAGTACCCAAAAGTCCATAGCAATGGAGACAGCGGCCAGTGCCCACGCCAAAGGGTTGGTTCCGACACAGTGACCCTCATGTTCCTTATCCCATCCCGTCCAGAAGTAGCTGATAGGTTGGCATTGTGCGATGGCTAGGATAACAAAGGCGACCATGCTGAGAGCGTTGAATGCTATCGTTCCCCATATTAATCGTTGGACCGACCGCACGGGAAAGATTCGAAGGTAGAAGAGCAGGACACAGATCTTGGTGAGGAAGACGTCGGTCGCGTAAAAGGTTTGGCCGATGTAGATGTACTAGATTCGTTGTTAGGTGACTGGCTTCATGATGGAGAGAAGGTTTCTTACTTTGAGGAACTCGGTGATACCATATCCGCCGACCATGTATGCATCTCTGCCAAATCCATTTCCGGAAACTGTTATTCGTAAGTATGTGTCTAGATCGTTGAAGGTGGGAGTGCGTACGGCCGAAGACACAACTGATGGTATTGCCAATACTAGTAGCCAAGCAGACCACGATAAGGTAATCATCCAATCGCAGCGACCGTTCGAACCTGAGCTTTTGGAAAATTCGAGCGCAAACTACAATCACGGTGATTGCTGACATAACGACGTTGAGGATGTCGAACTTTTTATGGATGTCGCGGACGGGGAACTCGCATGCCGAGGCGGTAATGTTCAAGGCGACTACATCAATTAGCGACGATGATGATGTAGTGATCGGTAATACTCACACAATGCCTCCCTAGGCATGCACTTGCTCATAACACAGCTCGCGGCAACTGTCTGTAAATCTGAATCGGCGCAGAGGCACTCGATGTCGATACCACATGTTGAGTTCGATGCCAATTCCAGTAGACAGCTCCCCTAAAACACCAAAGATCAGCCACTGCCAAGGCTCAAAATTTGCTTTTTTTTTTTCGACGTACCGCGCAATCGGGAATCTGGGAGAGAAAGGCTGAGACATCGATACCCAGCGAGCGGCCAACGAGACACGACCACACGACCAACAACCACGACAAATGCATTGTCTTTCTCTCTTTAGACAACAGTGATTAGCATTGTTTGTTGATGATGGGAAACAGGGTTTAGAAATATGACAGATCGTGCTGATATTAAATGGCTGCCGTACTTGAGTGGCGGCCCGGGCCAGCTCCTGCAATCTTGAACACTGCAACTCCCTGCCCCCTCCCCGCAGATATTATCATGCGACCCCCATAAAATGACCAATAGATCGCGACCCAAGTCATTTTAGTACAGCACTAGCCGGGGATCGCCGCATGGGCTCAAGGTTGGGCCCCTTCTTTCATTGGGTACGTGGCGCTTCTGCTGCAGAACCTGCTCACCCTGAGCTTCGATAGCCGCGAAAATCATCATGCCAATGACGACTCCACCCGCTAGACTGACCACTAGTAACTTGCTAAAACCTCCTTTAGCTTCAAGCTAGATCGCTTAAGTGGGGTGATGTCAAAGCGTATAGAGCACCAAACGAGTCATGAAAGTTGATCTCGCCGAACTGCCTGATGAGAGCTCACCAGCCCCAGCCCACCAGTCAAGCCCTGATATTAATGGCTTATCTTAGCAGACCCAAAAACGTGGGAACTGCCAAGGATACAGTTTTCCAGAAGAAAAGGATTAATCCACTCAAATAGGGTTAGTTCCCATCACCGCTTCCCTTAGAAACCCAGCCACGTTTTGCGAACCAAACCGAACGCGAGATACGTACTGTTTGCCGTGGTATCACGTAAATGGCTTGGACAAATCCTTCCCGGCTTAGCACGTCCCAAATTTGTTCAACGGATCCCTGTTCCGGGTTGCTGGTGTTTTGCTACTCCCCTTGAAACAGTTTTGTCCTGATCTGTGCTGTACCGGTACTGCAGATAACAAAAGAACAGCGATTGATCCGTGCAGGGCTGAAGAACAGTTGATCTGAGAGTCTTTTCCATTTTCAGCCATGTTTACCGCGACATGTTTCATAACCCCGGCCGACTGCGTAACTTCAGATCAGCCCTACGTTTCAATGTTGCGTGGATAATCTGCAGGCGTCTAACACAATGATCGACGAACAAAACACGGGAGATGAACAATTTCACAAAATTCTCTAGTTTTGAGGCTCTGTCTATAGCATCGCGGATCCAGGGCTAAAGCGTCGATCATGATAACCCTTCCGCTACCCTGACTCTCGCCCATTCCACGCTGTTTGAACAAACCGCTTTATGGCCGAAGAGGGCGGGGAGCGGGCCGGCGCTTGACGCAAAGACATTTTAAAAGCAAGTCCGTCGACTCTTTGGTTCCCAACACTCAGGCGGCTAAGTGGATATTGGTTTATTGAATCGTGTGAACAACACTAGGACTCATCCCCTTACTAAGTGAGAAGCCCGTTTGTGGACTCGAGCAATGGCCATGTTTCCTCTGGAGCTACTCCGTCGTTCCAATAGAGACCCAAGGAACGGTCCCCCGGGAGATTGTTTCCGTGGTATCGCGCGGTGATCGACCGGAAACATATCGGATAAGTTTCAGGGACCTCAACAGAAGCCCATTAGGCTGAGCCCTACATTTAGCTTGATCGTTGCGCAATGGGATCTACAGTTGTGATCTCGGCAGTAGATCATATGCGGAGTGACGGTGTAGTTAAGGTGATGCACAGATAATTAAATAAGACTCTAGGCTCGGAGGACTGGGCATCCGAGGATGTTTCGAGTGTATCAACACAACGGTCGCGTTTACCAGAAATAACGATTGTCGTAGATTGAGTACATAAAGCTTAATGAGATGCCGCGGCACATCCCAATCTGGCTAATGACATCATATCAATTTCTGGTTCAGGGTAATAGCATTGCCACGTCTAAACATAAGATTGTGTTAAACAAGATATACAGAACTGAAAAACAATCTCTGTCAGCTGAGCAGCAAGCCTTAGGAAATACTTCTAAGATTTTCGTCTACCAAAGGTTGTCATGTAAAAACTATAGTCAGGTTACAAAAATGTCTAGCGCTGTGAAGAGTAACCAAAGAACGATAAAAGTAAGAGAGACAATGTTACTGTAGGGTAGCGCGGCTGCGATAAGAAAAGTAGCGATAAGCGTGATCACGATAAGGATGATAGCAGCTATCTTGGTGTCATATATACAGCCAATAGTTAACAGATGCGAAGTTTCATAGTGGGTCTCTTCAGATGATGGTTGCGATGACCTCTGATAAGATAAGCGAGCAATCACTGCGTATCTTCCTATCGTGGAAGAACGCTGAAAGTGATAGGCTGGAACTATTGTGTTGTTGTTATCTCCATATCTCAGAACTCACGCCTCGGAATAACCCAGGTTAGATAAGCTGAGAGGCTGGGAGATACAGGCCCAAGAAATATCACTTTATGTTCTACTGCTGGCCAACTCGATACATGCATATCCTTCCAAACATCAGGTGTCGGCGACGGCAGAAAGGATGTGCAACGTAGGGGGATTTAAACTTTAAAATCCCTGCGACCTGGAATCCTTCGACCTGAACTCAAATGTCAGCACAAATTGTCAGAAAGCTGCATTTTGAAGTCTTATTTCAATTCCCTTGCACTTCCCCGCTTTCTTCAGCGCAACATTGGACCCAAGTAAGCAATGTCTCAGACATGCTGACCACCTTTCCAGGGTTCATTGGTTGACGCACGAGTCGCCAAGATGTTGATCGACACAGTCTTTGGTGAGGCTGATTCGACGATGGAACTGCCGAAGGGGACATCTAAAAGCATTCCATCCTGCCGAGTTCCCGAGAACCTTATTGTAAAAGGAATTGCCACGCGACATGGCTGGCGTACCAGTGTCAAGAGGTTGTGAGTCTTGCCGAAAGAAAAAGAAAAAGGTGATTACAGTTACATAATAGGCGACAGTGAGGAATGTTATGTTAACATAACGGCTAGTGTGATGAGAAAAAACCGATATGTGGACGTTGCAAGCGCCTTATGATCGCCTGCATCGGTAATGGCGTTCGCCGCTTCCAATTCAAATCAGAAGCATTCCAAACCATCCAAGGCCGCGCTCAACCGAGTTCCCAGTCACGTGTCCAATCTGATATCGAACGACCACCTATCAATGCACAGGCCCGACTTGTTAACAAACTTGTCTGGGCTCTCGATGCAAAAGAAGTCAAATATGACATGACAATTCACGGGGCATATATCCTGAATCTTCCGCGTCATGTAGGCGCGAGTCCCGTGATTGACGCTTCTGTTGAATTGTTAGTGGCTTCCATTGGAGCTGCTAGGGGAACGTCGTGTAAGAATGAGGCATTGTCTTTACACATCGACGCGATTTCGACGTTGAGAAAATCGTTAATGGCGGGCGGCAACGCAATTGATAACATGACGGCAATCTGGATAATTGACACCTGCAATGTAAGTTCACTAGCCCCAGGCCCGTGCGACACTGACAAATAACGTTCAGAAATTCATCGAGTTTCAGCTGGATTCCCGAGTAAGCCATGGCGAGGTCCTAGCACATCTTTTACATGAAACAAACCTAAACAGCATTGACGCCACGCTGTTACAGCACTTGATCAGAATGATGGTAAGGGCCGCCCTACACCACTCATGTCATACTAACAAACGCAGGTGTTTGAGAGTTTCGGAAATCCCAAGATTCATCTTCCTGCTTCGTTCTGGCAGCTTGTCAACCGTGGTGGTCTTCCAAGGCCGATGGTCAAGGGGAATGGATATTCGTTTTTGAGTCTTGAACTGCAGACTGCTGCGGATATTGCATTTCATTTGAGGGATACTGAGAGATATGTTTATCAGATAAGATGTACTTATGAAATGGTTCTGGCGGACTATCCGGTTTTGCTTGCTATTGTTGGGAGGGTTACGAGAGATGCTGGAGAGTCTGCCACGCTTCAAGCACATCGGATATCGATGAGGTTCCAACTCGCGTTCGGGTTACTGCTTGCAATGGGCTGTACGCTCAATCGGATACTGCGGATCTACGATGGGGAGGTGGCACAGCTCGTCACGACATACCATTTATTCTGCGATGATACGATTGTTCTGGCGGAGAATTTGGAGAAGTATCGACCGAGTACTTCTGCGTTTATGCCAGTGGTGCTAATGTGTGCTTGGGCTGCTTCGACGGATGGATATCGGGTGGAGGAGATTGAGAAGTGGTTGATCAATTATCAGGGTGATCATGTTACTGATAATTATACGGAGTTGGGAAGGAATGTTAGGGAGGCTTATGAGGGTATTAGGGAGAGGTATCTGGCGAAAGAGAGTGTCGCTGAGGAAGGGAGGAGGAATAGAGGGTTTAGTCCTTGGAAGGAGAGTTTTAATCCTAGAGACGAGGGTTGCACGATATTGTGATGAATCGAGTACTGGGCATGGACGATATAAATGGACAATGTCGAATGAGATAGTTAATACGTTGACACACGACCATAGTCACGGTGGATTGGGACGAGACAAGTATGGTTGTAGTTATCATATATTGAGTGTGAGAAGATGCCCAAATACCATATTGTAGCTGGCAACTAGTTGCATATGATCATGTAGCTTCCATAAGACGTGTCACCACTGAGGCAGGCCTCAGTAGACATATTGTGACGATCCACAGTACAAACAAGGTCGCTATAAGTCTCAACTGTTATTAAGTTAGCCGTTATCAATAAGGGAAAAGAAATGATGAGAACACATACGTATACATTCCTAGCCAAGATACTTGGTCCAGATGGACTTGACGGACTTGTTTCAAGGGAACTTCGTGCACTTGAATGTATCCTTGGCTGAGAGTCTAATGCTGCCGGTAATCTCGGCGCGTGTGTAGCTCTCTTGATCAAAGGAGTGAATCTCAGCGGATATTCCAGAAGAAGGGGTAGCTTGGGGAGCAGCCTGAGCGAAGACGGCCAGAACGGAGGTGATGAGGAAAATAGAGGAATGCATAGTTATGAGTTTGAGTTAATTTAGATGTTGGAGTGAGGGAAGAAGGTTGTGAAGCAGTTGGTTGTAGGGACATGGAGATTTAACTCTGAATGGACTTTGACGTTATAATTATATTCTCCAACGGCCCTTTCTATCCTGAAAATGTCCGCTCATTGTGATGACCATCTCATATTTCGTGTTTGGAAGATGTTTACGGTGGTTTGTCTCGCAGAGACGCCTGTCAATCATTTCATGAGCGAGACCACCGTCTCGAATTTATGTCGTTTCCATTAATCATTACTTGTCAATATATTCTCCCAACAAATCTATAGCCTTTTGTCAATATGAAGCCCACCATGATCCTCGCCACCTTTTGTGTCGCAGCTGTTACAGCTACACCAGCTGACCACGAACTCTTTGGCCGCAACGACTGTGGGAAAAGTGGCGCATCCTACACACGACGAACGAATAGCAAATACGGTTCTGGAAACGGCGGGCATACATACTGTGGATGTGATCGAACTGGCATTGTAAGTACACTAGTTCCATTATTCGCTGGATCCAGAAGCTTTTACGCCAAACAGGTCGAATGCATCGACGGCCACTGGAAGAAAATCAAGGATTGTCAAGCCCTTTCCGGTCATCAAAAGTGCTATGGTACTGGTACAGGCGCTCACTGTGGTGCTGTACTGACCCCCGCTGGAAATGGAGGTGGTCTGTGAGGAGGTTTACTTGATCTTTTCGGATAGTGTATATATTCAAAGTCTCTTCTTCCACTTGGGAGCAGTAGTCGCAAACTGTTCTATATCAGCGGGGTGGAAGGTCTGGAAGCATTGTTACATCATGGGTTTTTTTTAAAGCCGTTATTTCTTTCTAAACCTTCTTTTCGGCATTTCGTTCACAGTTGAAGTTAAGACTTACAGCTTCATTACACACTCTTTAGGAAGAATTCAACATACAACCTTATCAGAATCCATCTATGCTCTGGGGTACGGTCGGCAAGTGAAGCTATGTGTAAGGACAGTCAAGCAATGGTATAGACATTATTTATTGAGGGTAGAAGAAAGCCATATACCTCCTGTCGCTTCCTATTCTAAATGCCCAATTAGGTCGATGAAGCAGTCGTGGCCTCACCAGCAGCAGAAGTTCCTGTAGCCGAAGCTGTCTGAGGAGCAGTACCAGTGGGAGTGGCAGTACCGCTAGAACCACCACCACTACCACCACCACCAGAGCCCCCACCCTTAACAACTTGAGCCTGCACAATTTGTCCCGCCTTGTTGAAAACAATATTGACCAAAGCGCTGAGCTCCGCGTACTCATATGTCTTCTGAGTGAGACCATTCTTCAGCGACTTCTCCTCGCCAGTAAACGTCATATTCTGCTTGTAATCTCCAATGATAGAGTTAACAGCATCACCGCCAGCTTTGGTAACCTGCTGAACAATGTTGCCGAGGTTGTCAATCAGGAAGTTCAACTTGGTGTCGCCTTGGGTGATGCTACCGAGAAGACCGTCTACCGCACCAATGACACCTTCCACGATGTCACCGACTGAGTCGAGAAGGTTGATCAGAGCGGGGTTCAGATCCAGTGATGAGAGAGTGCGGTTGACGATCTCAACGAGATGGCCTAGACGAACGACGAGTTCGAGCTCAGCTTCTACGTCGGCGATGGTGATGTTGACTTTCTCGATGCCGAGCTGGATTCCGGCATTGAGCTGGACTAGCTTGGCGATGTCGGCGTTGAGGTTGATGTCTGCGTGGAGATTGTCGACGTCGAGCTCAATACGGCCGACGGAAAGTTCGGGGACTTTGAGATGGACATCTGGAGGACCTTGTGAGGAGTTTCTGCCCATAGAGCCTCCGCCTGATCCTCCTCCAGATCCTCCTCCAGATCCGCCTGTGGGAGAAGCAGTTCCAGTTTCGGTCTCAACGGGCGATGAAGTTGGGTCAATTGAGATGCTTTCTGCGGTGGTGGCAGGTTCAGTGGAATCAGGTGTTTGAGCCTGTGCAAGGCCAAAGCTGACCAGCGGCGCCAGCAAAAGAAGAGAAAAACGCATGTTGATTGACTGTACAAAAATGAATGTTGGTGATGATAGGAATCGCGACAGCGACGATGAAAGTTGTTTGGGGAGTCTTCTTTTCCTTTTGCTCAAGACAGTCCACAAAGCATAAGTGGAACCTTAGCGCACTGCCCTTGCAATCTCCGCGTTGCAGAATACCGTCGGCCTTATGAGCTTATTTGGCGTTCTATATCATCGGATATAATGTTGCATTTAGCTAGACGAGACGAACAAAACCGGATTTTTATGTGACAAAGAAATTACTGTTTTCTTGAATGGGGACTCTAAGGAGAAAAGATCGAGATTTTCACTCATGCATTGACGCATGTACAGGGGATTGTCGGAAATACAGCCGTATACAAACTCTGATAGGTCAGACTAGTTCCACTTGAGGAGATTTCCCCTGCATTACGCATGGGGTAGCATGAAACCTGGGCTGATGTGACATGGAGCCGGATCTTACTAGCCGGGCATTGATGCCGTTTCAAGAGATAGGGTGGTATTCGTCTAATGCTAAATCAGCCAATACTGCGGGTTGATAGATACTGGAGGGTGTTGTGCCTTTTCTTTTCGCCATCCCATCTCTGTCTTCATCCAGTCCCTCTTTTCCATCCTCACCTCTACACTCCTTTCAAATCATCACAATGAGACATTTCACAGTACTTGGAGCTCTTGCTCTAGCCTCCTTCGCAGCCGCAAAGGCCAAGGGCGATGGTTACTACGGCTACAAACTCAACCGTCGCGGCGACGATGAGTCCGCTATCTACGAAACAGAAAACACCAACAGCGGCGTCGCGCCTCTGAACCAGGAGCCAGACGTCTACCTCAACGCGAATGTCTCAGTTGGAGAAATCTCAGTTGAAGTGAAGAACATCACTGCCAAGATTAACCTTGATGCAAAGGTCCTCAATCTGCTCAACTTCAACGCTGGTGTTGATCTCGGTATTGATCGTGTCAAGCTTGGTATTTACAATGTCACTGCCAAGGTTGAGCTTGAGGCGCGGTTGGGAAACATTCTGCGCATGGTTGACGATGTTCTTGAGAGTATTGATTTGAACCCTATCATTGCGACTCTGGGAGATGGCGTCAAGGATATTGTTGGTGATATTGGTGATGGAGTTGGCGACATCATCGGCGGAGACAGCGGCGGCTCTGATCAAGACGCCGAAGCAAACGAGAAGCGAGATCTCACCATCCGTCTCGAAAACAACATTCTCTACTCAATGAACGACTTCTCCGGCTCAGCCCACACAAATCGGGTCCTCACCCAAGACGGCTTTCTCTACAACATCTACATCGACAACCAAGGTCGCGAGAAGAACCGCAAGGAAGTCGGATACTACGCCAAAGACATGAAGTTCACCGGCCACAACAGGACCATCACTGTTGATGGAGGTGTCGAGTACGAGCTGCAGTACACGTACTCGCCTTACTATGGTCTCAATGCTTATTGTAACATTTACACTGATCCTTCGGGCAAGGTTTTGAGGACCAAGATTGTGGCTGAGGCTGAGGGTGGTGGTGCTGCTACTATTGCTAATGAGGAGGAGGATCTATGAGTGGGAGGTATATTAGGTGTAATACAGTCATAAGCTTGAGTACAAATGAACGATTCCTGATCAATGCTATCAACGTTACCCATCTTGCCCTATAACTACCTTGGTCTGGAATGTCAGGACAAAGGGTATGGCTGGAGCTGAGGCGTGAGAGACCAGAGCATGCGGCGAGTGTCCATGCGACGCAACATGAGCAAGAACAACATGATTTGCACTATGAGCATGGAGACTACGAGGATGATCATGATCATGACCATGAAGATTTGCTGGATAACGAGTATCATGAGCAGGATAGTAAAATGACTAGGAAAAGTGAGATAGTAGCTGCTGGAAAAAGAATCTGGGAGAGATAGTATCGCATGATGGCAAATGCGATATAATGCTGCGTCGTTCATGATTTGTACCTAACTTGAGTTTGTGTGATACGGCTCTACTGACGAGAATACTAAATTCGTGATCCAATTGAAGTTTTCATCATGGACTTGACAGCGATAAGTCAAGTGGACCCCCTGTGATAACCCATCTACCGAGTGCTCTGATGCGGCCTTCCCCATCCGGCTTGGTCAGCTAGCCCAGTCTGTAAGCCCTTCGTATTGCTGGAGCTGCCTAGCCTTGGCAAACCATGTCCCGTCTACAGAGCATATGCGGCGTTGGCAGACGGTATGTGAAGAGCCTCGGTCCCACCACTACTCGCTTACTCCTACCTTAAGCTGCAAGCTAGAGTAGATGATTGCCGCGGATGTGGGGCAATGCAGGGGCAAAAGCCAACGTTTAAGTCTATGTCCAGGGTGCGGCTGTTGTAAGGTCTGGACCCGAACGGCCAGCTGTGGCTGAATATCAGATGAATGCGCGGCGTTGAGCGCTAGACGAGGGACAAGCCAGAACATCCATCGTATGTTTTCACGTTGATACTCATACTGACCCTGCGAGAAAGGTGATACCAAACAGACCGAGAGATGAGACACGTGAATTGGCAGAGGCAGAGCTTTCTTCGGAGTCTGGTGAAGGGAACAGTTCAAGGTTCTTAAGCTTAACAGAGTTAATTCTAAATATAGTACTTGAAAGCTCATCTCCCAGCGTTCCAGTTCAATTCTATGGACGCTAAACATCCTAGCATGAAGTTAATTGCCGGAGGAATGTGATCTTCAACTCTCCACATTTTTTCTCCAGGTATGAACTGCCATCCTTCGATTTTGGACTGTAGCTTGATGAAAACCAGATCAAGAGTACAGGAAAGGTTCAATTACATGGTCTAAGACATAAATAATCCATTGAATGATTTGTTGAAGCTGTTCCATGAGAATGCTGTTGCAGTCTGGCAGGCCGTCGTATCACATAGCTAAACAATTGCTGTCCGGATTAGGAAATCGAATAGAGGAGGCGGATACCACGGCACGAGGCGCGAAAGTTAATTGTACCTGTCTTGAGGCACGATGCATAACGGCACGTGGACTGATCGACGCATTCGGATTAGTTCAGGGTCCTGAACGAGCTGTCACCCGAGAGCCTTCACTGTAAACTGATTGACTTGAGGAGGGGATATGAAGAGTCTATTGCTCGTGTAGGAATTAGTTCAACGCCATGTTGAGGAGGGGCTCGTATCAAGAGTTCCAGATGTGCCTCGGACCTTTCTCAAGACATGTATAAAACTGTGGGTATGTCGCAGGTATTTCAATCAAACCAGAACAACATCTCCATCATCTCTCATTCTTTACCCCACTATCACCACCACACATACTCGCCAACATGAAATTCAGCATCCTCGCCGCTTTCACCGCCATGGTCGGTAGCACTGCCGCCGCCAACCAGGCCGTTGTCATCAACAACTGTCCCACCACCATCTACGTCCAATCTTGGCCTTACAACGGAGGTTCCCCAGGACCTCTGGTTGCTCTCCACCCTGGCAAGAAGTTTGCTGAGAACATGCGATATTCTGGCTCGGTCAGTCGCACCCTTCCTTTCACTTCCATATTCTTGAGTTACTGCTAACACAATGGGCATCCTATAGACCGTCAAGATCGCCACCACCAGGTCTCTCTCAAAGCCTCTGTTCTTCGGATACTCTTCTAGCTCCAGCCCCAACTATGTCTACTGTAAGTCCACACCTGTCATCGACTCAGAGTCTTGTACTAACCTTCCCTTCCAGATGAATTCAGCACCCAATTTGGCAACCCCTTCGCCAACAAGCACAACACTCTGAGCCCCAGCAGGAGCTGCAAGAAGTTTGACTGCCGTCCTGGACAGGCTGGCTGCTACAGCACTCCTGGTATGAAGAAGGTCTTTGGATGCCCTAGCCCTACTACTGTGACTGCTACTATCTGCGCCAAGTAGTTCTGGAGTTGAACATCCATCTGTGCTTGCACTAGAATTGGAGCTTATATCGCAAAGGAGCATTGCCTCGCAGTAGCACATCGGATAGTGCGGGCCTGTGGGATTACACAGGGAGTACTTTGGTTAGACAGAGAAATAAATCATGATTGCAGATTAATTTATGAACGTCGATTTCGCTGTGATCCAGTTTATTATATGCAATGTAAGGCACAGTCGATGGTAGATTAATCTTGGATTAAAATGTTGGGTATATACTATTTAAGATAATAATACATGAGAAGTCATTATGCGCCTCTGAAGATTTCCACCTTCTTTACTTCCTCTCAAGACCAGTCTCAAGGCTAACAATTCTGGGCGAAGCATAGTAGAAGCCTCCGCCATTGAACTCTCCCTCGAGCTCAGGGTATTCAAGCTCACTCCAAGTCTTCTGAATCTTGGCAGCACTCTTCAAGAAGCTCTTCTTAGTCTCCTTGTAGTCCGAAGCCGTCAACTTGCCATCCTTCTTGACAAACTCTCCATCAACCATAACATGGAGAACATCAGCGACACTAGCATGAAGCATGACAGCAGCAACGGGGTCGGTCCAGCCCAGAAGAGCAGGAGAGTCGGCAGCGTTCCAGACGACAACATCGGCCTTGGCGCCTTCTTCGATGATACCGAGGTCCTTGCGTCGAAGAGCCATACCACCGGCGCGGGTAGCGAGGTAGAAGGATTGACTAACACCCATGGGGTTCTTGTTGGGAACTTCCCACTCGCCGTCAAGGACCTTATTGAAGAAGTAGTAGCGTGCGCTCTGGAGCCAGATTCGAGCTTGGGTGAGAATGTCGGTGGAGTAAGTGAAGTGAGTGTCGACGCCAAGAGCGGCTTGATCTTGGAGGTGGTATGAGTGAGGGTGAGTGTGACCGTAGTGCATCTCGGACTCGGGGGTGATGGAGAGGTACTGGTTGGTCTGGCGGAGAAGGTTGGCGCCGGTGGCAGTCATGAAGCTGCCGTGGGAGAAGACGACGGGAATGGAAGTGTTGAGAAGACCCAGAGCGTGGACGTCTTCGGGAAGGTTGTTGATTCCGAAAGGTCCAGATAGAGCATGGGTTGTGACAACAGAGACATTGTACTCCTTGGCAAGGTCGACAACATCCTTAGCAGCATCGGGAGGGTTGGGACCGAAAGAGTCATAAGAAATTCCGAGCTCAACGTTGCTGCCCTTGAAAGGCTCACTCTCAGCAATCTCAACAAAGTTGGGAATCTGATCGCGAACAGTGTAGTTCAAGGCAGGAACATCGTGGAAAGCGTAAGACCAGAAGACACGCGCTCCACTAGCCATAGAAGCGTTGAGACCAGCGTAAGCAGTCTCGTTGGACCAGGTATGGTGAGCGTGATCAAGGGAAGTAGTAACACCAGCGTTCAAAGCTTCAAGAAGACCAGCAAGTTGACCCCAGTAAACATCATCAGCCGTGAAGTGAGGAGCAGCTGCAAACTCGCCATAACGACCGAAGTACTCTGCGAGAGTAGTGTTGGCCGCGATAGTCTTAAAGCCGGTTTGCCAGCCGTGACGATGAGTGTCGATGAAACCGGGTGTGATAATCTGGCCAGTGACATCAACCCTCTCGGTGTTGTTGGGAAGGTTGGAGGGCTCAGAGGTGCTGACGCTCTTGATACGATCGTCGCTGATCAGGAGATGGCCGTCGCGGATGATCTTGGCTTCATTGGTGGAGTCATCCCAGCTGATGATCGTCGCACCAGACAAGAGCTTACTGGCGGCCTGAGCCTGAGTAGCCAGAGCGCCGAGAGCACAAATTGCTGAACTATGTCTCATTTTGCCGGTATGACTGATATCATGAGGAACCTGAGCCCTCACAATGACACAGCTACCGGTGAACTTTATATAAACATGGCATGTCACGGAAGTGCGGATATACCAAGACCTAGATGAACAATTTTTCTGGGCATCTTCTAGAAGATACTTACGAACCAATCGGTAATGGAAATCTGGGGACAATTCCCTGTTTTATGACTTGATCCCCACGAGCTAATGATGGTGGTTGACAAAAAGTGGTTCGGTGTTGCATTTTTATGCAAACGATGACGCATGGAAACTGTCGGATGTACGGATATACGGAGTGACAGACCGCTTCACAGGACAACTACCGTACTTCCAGAAAGGAGGTCATCGGGAAACTCATTTCCGATGGTATGGATGGATCTGATTTATTGCCGTGGGTTCATATATGGTGTGGTCTTTATGCACGGATCCGCGTGTTGGTAATCACAGCAATGATTGCGAAGCCGACGTGTGGGGGCATGCAACGCGGTACTCCAGGGCATCAGGAATACTTGTCTAGAGCTTTTGCTCGCATGGTATCATATGCAGAATTGCTGGCTCAGTAAGAAAGGTTGTCTCTCTTTAAGAACCGACATCCCATTCATTGACCACACGTTTGCAAAGCCGAGAATTGGATGATACAAGTATCAAAGCTTTTGCTATCAATCAGCGGCAGTGCTGTCCCATCCAATCAGATGTGCCACTTTCTGATCCACTTTTGATCCTTCCCGCCGGCGCAAATCCCGTCCAGTAACAAATGTAGTCTACAAGGGAAACGGGAATCATTTGTCCCAAGACATTGCCAATTATAGTATGAAAAGTTCTCCAGTACATACTTCCACCCTAATGTGAGGTCTGAAAGGTCACCGTGACGATAACGGTGAGTGATTGCCTGTCCATCGTTCACTCATTTTCCAAGCAACCGTAGAACGACGTTACTTACAGCTTGATCTGTATGTCGCTGCTTCGAAACGCCGCAAACTCATATCCTTTCCAAGTCGGTTTGCACACCCTCAAATTGATTAGAGATCATAGTCCTTAATCTCAATCTCATCTACCTCTCTACACTCCTCTCCCTCGGGCAAAGGTAAGCTCCTATCCACATTCAACATCAGACACCCACTAGCCTTATCTACGAGGATGTTCAAATGCCGATAGCCCCCTCCAAATCTCGACCCGACTATTTTCACCATCTCCATCAACGTATCCATAACACCGACATCCATAGCTGACGCTTGGAACTCCAACGGCGCCAACGATACGAGGTCTGCCAAAGAGCATCCTACATCAAACACTTTCTCAAGAATACCGATGCCGTTCGCCTCGAAAGCTTGCGTAGGAACTAATTGAGATATGAGAACAATGTCGCGCGCTATCGTAGCTGGGTAGTGTAGTGACATGACATCGTCGCTGTTGGCTGTGGAAAGGACTCGTTTTGAGGCACACAGCTTCCATACAACTTGTTTGAGCCATTGGCGTGATATGAGGAGATCTGCTTGTTGCACTTGGGAGTAGTCTGATAGATTCGGCAACGAGTACTTTAGCATGCATTGAAGGTGCGAGAGACTGGCTGAATCAGCTGAAGATGATGGAGTCAATTGATTCCAATTCGCGATGAAGGTTGAGTCGAAGGGGCGGAATAGAGAGATAAGGTCGAGAAATCCAAGAAGAATCTCGGCATCTGACGATAGAGGATCGATAGCTGGAAGGTCGAGCGTTTCCTGCAATCTGATAGGGCGATTTCTTTGCAGCCCGTACGCTCTCTCTGTGATAAACAGGACCCAAAACATGCGTCGCGCATAGACCGCGAGCGACGGATCAGTGGTCTCCTCATAGGTCGTTTCTTCATGTAGGCGTAATGTTTGAAGCATCGTTATGGCCTCTTGCAAATAATACCAAGCCGAATTATCCTTATCCATAGCAAAGAAAGCGGCATACAAAAAGAATGAGGTTTGAATATGCGTCAAAGATGGGTGTTCCACAGCGTGGCAATGCTTCCTTGCACGAAGGGACTCTGACATAAGGAAGTCGGCGGATGGAAGGGTGATGTCATCTTGAGCTTCTGATGGCGGTAGTATCTCAGGCGACAACGCGATTATAGCACAGCAAGAAGCGATGAGGCTGTACTTTCCTGCTGACATTGAGCCATATTCGAGTTCTTGACGATCCAAAATTGGTGTGAGTGGATATTTATGATTGAAGTAGGCGTCGAGACACCATTCGATAATCGCATGGGTGAGTAGTGGTGATGGGTAGAAATCCTCGGCGATTAATGGTGGGGCAGTAACATCGGATGCTAAGATGACAAGTTCCTCATTTACCGGCGAAGCAGGAACGGGAACAGGAACCGGCGCCGGGCTCGGACTTTGAAGAATCCTCTCCCCAGGTCGCTGAAGCCTCCTCGCATTCCTTGGCCCGCGCGGACCCGTCTTTTTGTGCACAGCCAAATAAGTACAACCTAGCTCAGCATTCCGACAATTAAGACAAGGCGTACAGCCATCGCATCGGATTTTACGTCTGTGACAAGCGTCGCAGGCTTGACGGACTTTGATAGGCTTGCCTGATGGATTTGGACTTGATGGAGTTGACATTTTGAGGTTAAAATTGGAGAGGTTCAACAAGGTTTTAGAGGTTGTGGGGATTGGGTTTATATATTGCGGAGAAGACGAATGCAAGGACTGGTGAGCTGACAGGCCTGCAGGTCTAGCCCACGCCACGACTCCACTGGAACTTGTATTTATGGAAGGGACCTGGTGGGTAACAGAAGAATTGTCCTCTAAGGTTTAGGCTTCCATAATAAAGTAGCCTAACTGCTAGTCTAAGCTAGCATAAAGTGACCAAATTATTTCGTCTCTTGTGTCTCTAGGGGCAAATTCTGCTAACACCCTGAGGGGGACATGCAAGCTAAACGAGAGTATGAGAATTGGAATAATTAAGGTTCAATTTTGATGCTATCGCATATAATAACTCGATCAAGAATAATACCAAGAATGCGCCCGTTTTTATGCGCCGAGTACCACACCCAAATAAACACCAAAGCACAAATTCACTACCCCTACTCAAGCCTTAGGCTTCTTGACAGCAACATCGTCCTGAACAACATACTCAGAAAACTTGCGAGGGGGAACACCACCAGCATACAAGCAGTCGATGTCGTGATAAGTCCTGTTCTTGGTCTCAGGCTGGAACCAGAAGAGACAAGCAAGAATAAAGACCTCGGCACCAACAAACAGAAACATGACCTTGCCACCCCAGTTCAGCTGATCAGGGTTGATGAAGTACGGGAACACGGAAGACAGCATCAGAGCAGTAAGTTGCTGGCACACAAGACTAAAAGCGATAGTCTTGGGACGAGTAGCCTGGGAAGCAGTCTCTTGAGCAACAGCCCAGCCGAAACAACCGACAGTAGCAGTATAGAGCATCGACCATGTGATCATGAATGCGAGAAGGGCGGTGTTGGCGGCGTGGTTACTGGTGCTGACCATCGATGTACCCGCAATTATGATGGACCAGCACCCCAGGAGTGTACCGCCTCCGATGAGGGACTTTCGGCGAGGGAGGACATCGGAGACTGAGACGGCGACGAGGTTGGAGAAGAATTGGAGGGTGGACGAGATCGCAGTAAGGCCGAAAGGGTCGGCTTGGCCGATGAGCTCGAAGTAGTAAGTCTGGTATGTGTCTGATATGTTAGTACTTGATGTCAAGAGGTTATTATTGAGTACCTACTGGCAAAGTAGCCACCCGAGAAGTTCTGAGACTGGAGACCCATGACGGCAACAAGAGTTCTGGATCGGTGCTCCTTGGAGAAGATGGCCTTCCAGCTAGTCTGCTTAGCCATGTTGGCCTCACCGGCAGCAACCTCCAGTTCCGACTTGATGAAGTTGAGTCTCTCCTCAACATCGATAGAATCGCCGTAAAGCTTGACAATAGCCTTTCGCGCATCGTCGTCGCGTCCCTTCTTGACGTACCAGATGGGCGACTCAGGAAGGAAAGAAAGACCGATAGCGAAGAGAGTAGGAACGAGGAAAGTCATGACAAAGGCGAGTCGGAAGCTCCATTCGCCCTTGATCTTGGAAGAGCCCCAGCCAGTGATGGAGGAGAGGAAGAAACCCAAAACGATGATGACGTTGGTGAGGGAGCTGAGAGAGCTTCGAAGTGCGGCGGGCGCGTTCTCGGTGACGTAGAGTGGAGGAGTAACAGTTGAGAGACCAACTGAAAGACCAAGAAGGAGCTTTGAGACGAAAAGAACAGGAAGACTAGGTGCAAACACCAGCGCAAAAGACGAAGCAATGGACAACGCAACAGCAGTCCAAAGAACAGCCTTTCGACCAACCCAATCCGCAAACTGACCCGTCAAAAAAGCACCAAAGACCTGACCGATAGTACTAGCCGCATTCCAAAGAGACTGCCACAAAGCCGGGATAACATATTGATCGCCGACCTGGTAGTACTCTCCATAGACTTTGCGAAATTCAGGGAATGCGATAGCGACGCCGGAAAGGCCTTGGTCGTAACCCCATCCGAAGACGAGGGACATGATATACAAGGACCATAGGACGTAGCGTTTGTCTTTTTTGAGGTTTGTCCAGAGACGTTGGTATTGTTGCTTTGGGGTGAGGTCTTGGGCGTCGATGGCGGCTTGGATGTCGTCGCCATGTGCCTTTTCGACGTGGGAAGATTCGATGGTCAGAGGCTCCATCTTGGTAGTCATTTTGGGAGAAGTGGTTGATTGAGATGAATGGAGATGAGGGTGAAGCTGGATTCGAAGCCAGGATGATGATGATGTTCCAAGTTGAGAATCGAAGCGGATTCACTCAGATCTTTATATCAAATTGACTCTCAAAGCATTCATACTTAATCCCCAGGAAATCGTTCACCCGTTGCATTGAGCCCCATGGGGATTCCAGGTGAAAAATCTCCCCACGTTAAGCTCGCGATCACCCATCGTCTTTTTCGCCGCAAATATTCAGCGTCACCACCTTAGAGTCGGCATCTCGGATGGAATAAGTGGATCAAAGGAAAGAATGGTTGAATTACTATTGGTTACCAGAAGACGATCCTTGTCCATGAGCTGAGCCAATTGTCGGTCCGATGTGAATCGCCTCTGGGGTAATTTGACCAACGAATCATAATTCACCCAGAGTTCTCCACAGACTGGGCAGGGATTAACATGGGAGTCTGGGACGACTCAAGAGTTATCGGCCGACAACTTTATTCCCCGCATTCGTGACTGTTTGTCGGACCGGTGGATGAACAATTAGGTATAAGAAACCCGAAAACAGACTTTCCGTATGACCAGCACAATTATCACACACTATTGCCTTTCACAACACGCCATGTCAGCCCAGAACCCCCCAGACAGACAATGGTGGAAAGAAGCCGTCGTCTATCAGATCTATCCCGCCAGTTTCCTCGACTCAAACGGCGATGGACTAGGTGATTTACCTGGTATCATCTCCAAGCTTGACTACATCAAGTCAGTCGGAGCGTCAGCTATCTGGCTCTCACCTATCTTCAAGTCTCCCCAGCATGATATGGGCTACGATGTCTCAGACTATCGCGACATTCATCGTCCTTATGGCACACTCCAAGATGTCGAGACTCTTATCAAGGGTTGTCATGAGCGGGGTATCAAAGTCCTACTCGATCTCGTGGTGAACCACACTAGCCACGAGCATGAGTGGTTCCGAGAGTCACGTTCTTCCAAGACCTCGTCAAAACGAGATTGGTATTTTTGGCGTGATCCCAAGTTTGACGCTGATGGGAATCGAAAACCGCCTAACAACTGGTCTTCTATCTTTGGAGGCAGTGCTTGGACTTTCGACGAGACGACAGGGCAATATTACTTGTCGTTGTTCTTGCCTGAGCAGCCTGATCTTAATTGGGCGAATGAGGATATGCGTCAGGCTACTTATGACGATATGAAGTTCTGGCTTGACAAGGGCGCTGATGGCTTCCGGATTGACTCGATGAATCTCATGTCAAAGCACCCCGACCTCCCTGATGCACCCATCACGCGACCTGACTCAGTGTATCAGCCTGGAGACAAGTACTTTGCCAGCGGACCTCGTATGCACGAGTATATCCGTGAGATGCGAAAGGAGGTCATCGACAAGTACGACTGCATGACCGTCGGTGAACTTGGCTTCACGAAGGATGAAGAGAGTGTCGCGAGTTACGTGGCCAAGGACCGCCATGAGCTGAACATGCTTTTCACGGGAGATATTGTCGACATGGACTTTGGCGCCAACCACAAGTATGAACGCGACGACTTCCGTTTGTCCAAGCTCAAGACTATTACCTCACGCTGGCAAGGCGCTATGCCCAAGTTCGACGGATGGAACTCAGTCTACATGGACAACCACGACTCCGGTCGCTCCCTATCACGCTACGGCTCCGACCTTCCTCAGTTTCGCAAAGAAGCAGCAAAGATGCTGGCCATCTACCTCAGCACCCTCAGCGGAACACTCTTCCTCCTCCAAGGCCAAGAAATCGGCATGGCCAACGTTCCCGAATCCTGGAAGATCGAAGATTACATCGACGTCGAAGGCTTGAACTACTACAAAAGCCAACTCGAGAAACGAGGCCCAGGCGCTGATATGTCGGATGTTATGAGAGAGATGAGACTCAAGGCTCGTGACAATGGAAGATTACCCATGCAGTGGACCGCTGACAAGAACGGTGGGTTTTCAGAGGGTGATAAGCCTTGGATGCGCGTTAATGATGACTACGAGGATTGGAATGTTGCACAGCAAGAGAAGGATGATGATAGTGTCCTTGCATTTTGGAGAGAGGTTCTTGAGCTGAGATTGAAGGAGAAGGATGTTTTTGTTTATGGAAGGTTTGAGAATTTGCCTGACTATGAGAGTAGTGAGGAGATCTTTGCGTATACTATGACTAGCTTTGATGGGAGGAAGGCGCTTGTGTTGTTGAATTTCTCGGATAAGGAGCAGAAGGTGGAGCTGAAGAATAGGTCTTGGGGTCAGAGGTTGGTTGGCAATAATGTGGATACTTTTACCAATGGGCTGACGCTGAAGCCTTATGAGGGTATGGTATATGCTGGGTGGTAGACCATACTAAGAAAATAAAAGCTATATCTTTGTATAAGCCTTTGTAACAAGGATGGGTGCTTAGACCTTTCGCGAACGGCGAGTAGAGTGCGACAAAGCGTGCGTCATATGCAAGCGCTGCGATATCGGGGATCTCATTCCTTCTGTAGGCTTATAGGCTTATGTTCTTTGCAGTATTTACTGCAACCTAGGGAATCCATCGCGCTGACTCCCTTAGCCTCAAGATTGAATTGTTGTTTATGAAAGTTAAGATCAAGAAAGCCTTTCAAGGAGCCAGTCCTTGTCCCAGTAATCTATGTGTTTGAGGGCAGTTTCACTGGGTTGAGACTATCCATAGGAGACGTAACCTGGTAAGAAACACAGTAAGCATAGGAGATACATAGTAAGTAGTCTAACCTCTCCTATCAAAACAAGAAAAATGCCCTCAATCTAAGCAAAATAGCCTGGTTACATTCCTATCGTTCTATCAAAGATGTCTCATCCATTTGAAATGAACCTGCTTGTAGTGTGATTCCTCGACGAAGCCTGCGTTGAGCTGACCGAGGAAAGTGTCGATCGCGCTGGAATCCAACAGAACAACACACGAATGGACTGTAGAGGTAATAGCAGTAATGCGAGGGTTATATCCTTGAACATCCTGGGCTTTGGACAAAAACTCGTCTTTAGGGAATCCAGGCAAATGTAAGGTTTGTAAGTATTCTCCCCGGTTTCTGCTGTCAAAGGGTAAGAGATGGTCTATAACAAACCACCAGGATATCCAGAAGCTCTCGAAGCTCCCTTGGCGCTGTTGCAAAAGATTGAGATATAGCTCAATGTACAGATCCAAGGCCTCTTTCAAAATATGATCTTCTTCCTGAAGTTCCTGAAGTTCATCGCTTGTTATAGGAAACTGATTTCGGCGGCATTTTTCCAACCGGTGACAGCACGTATGCGCCATACTCAACCGGTCAAAGATTTCGAGTCTGCAAATCTCTGTGAAGGCGTTCTGGTCTAAATCAAGACCAAGCGGTGAGTAACGCGGCAACAAATAAAGCCAACGGCGGCGTCTGAGAAGCTGGAAATCGTGTGAGGCGGATGCCACAACTGATTGTCTTTTTCTGAGGATTACGCCAACTGGGGTGCACCCCACAGTACTGCACAAGCAACGGCAATCGTCGTTCTTTTGTGCGCTCCCTTGAACCAACTGGCAGAAAAGTGCTAGCATATTGTAGAGTTTCTGCTTCTTGCTAATCCAAGCTCCCGCCGATACCATCGTCGGAAAATAAGTCGACTTAGTGAGGAGATGCGTCAAAAACGGTTGAGGTTCCAGAGTCACCCCCAAATCCAAATAGCATTGGATGAGTCGAGGAGAATCGAAAGTATCAAGACCGCATGTATGTATTGCTTGAATAAGAGGAGTCGTTCCATGCTCGTCAGATTTGTCAACGTCGTGGAAACCAAGCTCATAGAGCTTCATAGCTAAACTCGAGCAGTCGTGGACCGATGAACTGTGATAAATGGTAGTGTAGGGACCTGGCCATAATGCCTCCGGCACTGCAACACGATGAGCCTTTAACTGCTCATATATTTCGATTGCATTGTAGTCAAGCAGTGGCCTTGGCTGTAAATGATAGTTGCACCAAGATGCTTCCATCACTGTTTCAGGTAAATGATCCAAGGCCAGTTGGAGTAATTCCTGGCGCTTTCTAGCTAGCTTTTCGATCAAAATCAATAGCACGTCCGGAGATACACGAGAGCGAGTGGAAAAATCCAGTAGATCCCGTAATGGACTAAATATTGGGCATCCGTGGTCTAGTAATAAGCCAATGCTCTGAAGCTGTTGCTGCAGTATTGCTTCCTCGATGGCGACAGAAGGTTCGGCTCCTGCCTCGAGCAATATTTCAAGACCGGCAGGCCATCCAATAGCGAGGATCAACAGCGGAGGATTGTCTACTTCCAAGTCGACTTTGCCCAGATCAAGGAGCCTGCGTAGCTTTGTCTCGGACCTCTGCACTATGGCAAGATGGACGGGGTTCTGACCGTAATCTTATGACGTTAGCTTCACCATCTTTCAAGTTATGTTGTTGACTCGACATCTTACTCTCGAGTAAACAAGGATATTTGGCAAAGATGCCGACGAAAGTATGGCGAGAAATGCTTCTGCGGAATTCATTGGGTATGTCATCAAGCCCAAAAGAAATCAGTATTCCATCCAACCGCAGCTTTTGGAGCATTTCGGTGGCTATTGTGCTCCCTACTGGCGTCGAACGCAATATATCGTACATAGGAGTAGACCAAGCATGCTTCCTTCGATGTTTCATAGTCAGATACAACGAAGGGTATGTTGAGAACGTAGTGGACTGATCTGCTTACAGATATAAAATTGAATCAGTGTCATCTGGGGTTAAAATCTTTACTGTGGAGCTGAGTACATCGAAAAGGGACTCTTGGTACCGATATATGTTATTTGTGAAATCCAGGAACTCCTGCAAGAATGTTATTTTAACGCTTTTCAACCCAGCAATAACATTAAACAACATACAGAAAGAATTGTGTCACCTTCATGTGTCCGATCGGTAGGAAGAGCCCTGCCTGATGTAAAAGCTCGGAGAAGCTTAAATCGTAGAGCCACGCAGATCGACTCAATGTGTCTCTGATAGAAGAGATTCAATGGAGCGCCCTTATAGACTAAGGCAGTCAGGCCCTGACACGTGGTCATGGTAAACATCCTTCTCGCCGGCCTATTGGCTCCATAGTTAGCAGTCGGGATTTGATGCGCACTCCTCCTGGCTTCCAATATAGCAGTGAAAGCGGGCGATTGCGAAGGGTCAACCACATTGTGGGGCGAAATCTTCCCAAGCATACAAAGCGACCAGCCACCGAGTTTCAATCCAAGCATTGCCTGGATCTTCGGATTGAGAGCCCGCAAACCAAATGACCATGTAGTGGTATCTGTATGTCGTGAGCAACCTGTCGAATGTATATCTTCCCTCTCAAAGAAGACCTGGAAGTTCCATTTCGACACGTAAGATATCGCGAATGAGGGTGTACAAGTGCATAATCTATTTCTTTTACTTCCCTGACGACGTTGAGGGTCTAGCTCCGCCGTATTCGTTCCGGCATGGTGACGGGAGTGGAGTTTTATAGCTATAGATTGATCAATATCTATGGCTCTGGCTGACTTCAAGTCAAGTCAGTTCCTGATTGGTCGATTGTCTAGAGGGTTTCAGATGCCTGCTGTTTGAGCAAGCTTAGGTTTGACTGCGTTGTAAGCTGTGAGTGTGTGATTATTGATCTTTTCTATTAGTAAGTGTCACCAGTCTTAAGTCAAGTACTAACAGTTGATGCTCGACGGCTCGCAATCTCATGATGCCCTGATGTTGATACCACATTTGTATCGAAGATTTTAAACTCTCGATTCGGCGGCCTCGGTCGGCAATCTCAGTCTTTTCCTTCAGGCCTGCTACCGACGACCAAATGCGTTTGACCGAGCGTGAAGACTTGACGGACAGACGCTCCAACAAAATTGCAAGCTCTTCCGATTCCCTCATCGCATCATTAAAGATTGAGACGATACGGTGGGTAACGTGTAGGGAATTGGGGCGTGAATTTAATGGACCATCTAAGTCGCCACTGATCATCCACAAGAGATCGTAAAAATCCTGGGTACTCTTTTTGAGGGTCTCAATTTCTTCGGGCACGTTCTTCAGGTTAGTATACAGCTGCGATGATGCGAGCGCAAGACGGGCACTGAGGTCCAGCAGCTGCGTAGCACCCGCTACTATGCCCAAGATCTCTGCCATGGCTTTTCGGCTATCGTTAGATCCCAGTGCGAAAGGCTACGTTGAGACAGTGCAAGTCGCGCGAGTAATTAAATAATGTTGAAAAATGAAGGAGCAGAAGTAGTGTTGATTTTGCCGAAGGAGATTAAGAAAGAAACCGAACGAGAGGGTCATTTGTTATTTATCGCTTTGGAAGACGACGAAATGAGGGGAAATTACATGGTGGCGGTCCAAGGTAACAGTCAGAATTACAAAACTATTTATATCCAACCAGTTACAAGTCGACTTGTACAGAGCCTGCTGGCCTCAAAAGCGCAAGAGCTCTGATCACATGATTCCCTTTTGTAGAGGTGGGGATTAAGCTACCCTTGAAATAATGGTAAGTCTGGCGTATCATCTCTTGTACGAGAGTGCACCTCCTCTTGTGTCACCGATCACGCCTCAGAAGCACGCTGCCAGATTCTCGAGACTGTTGTAAATCACAGAGATTCCTGTCAGAGTTAAAAGGCACAGTGATAAACATAAAAGTCTTGAACTATCTCAATCTACAATTACAAAATTAGGAAAATAACAGCCACCGCTACCATTGCATAGAATACCCGCGATAGTTGACCTGTAATCTTCGCCGCAGACCCCAACTGCGCCCAAGTCTTACACCCATCCCCCTTCCTATCTCCTTTTAGTATAGCAAAGCTCTTGATGGGATGATCAATCTGCTGGCACTCTCCATCCTCCTCAGTCTGACAATCAACTTCATACCAAGGAAACTCAACAGGATCAACATCCTTCAGTACAGTCTCACAGTTAAGATGGGGATAAGTCCAAAGCACCCACTGTGCCTTTTCTTCACCGGGCTCCATCCCAGGTAGCGCAAAGCGAATCTGGGTATAATTCAGGCTGGAGTCAAAGTCATTTTGCTCCAGGTAATAGCTGACGTTGGAGTTACGGTCTTCCCATGATCTGTAGGCTTTCTGGATGCCGGAAAATGTCTTGTTGCCGGGGGAGAAAGTGTCGGTGAGGTTGAAGCAGACGAGGTCTGGCGGAGTGTCGCGTGTTGTGAGGATGGGTGCTTTGGTGTCTTTGTCGCAGTCTTGGTCGGCGGTGAAGAACTGAATTGTCATGTTGTTGAACCTTCGTTGAAAGTCAGTGACCGCGCTGAATGAGTCAAATACTACTTACGATCCTATCTTACGTGCCGAGACAAGAGCAACCAAGACTGATATGATTGGTAGCTGTAGCAACATATTGTATTCGGTAGGTGGTAAAATGTTGGTGTCGCTTCGTCGTTGGGGTTTGGCAGAGAGGCGTCCTGTGTCAAAGAAATAGAGTCGCCTCTCAGCCAGGTAAGCTTTAAGGAAATGCACTTCTCCTGATTCAAATTTCTTTACCCCATTCTTCCTACGTCATAATCGGCAGCGACAGGGTACAACCAACAACACAACCAACACAGCATTGCAATTCGACACGGCTTGGACGCACTGACATGCGCCAAGGTAAAGCTTAGACAGAGCCAACAGGATCGGCGTCGCGGATACAACTTCAGCCCCAGGTTCAGCGGTGGATCGACATGATAATCCCTGTCGTAGTGACAGTTGGCCAGCTCACAGGTGAAGACGAGTCATGTTCAGGTCCCGCGGGGAATAAAACTGATCATATTCTGACGGGATCGGAAGGAAAAGCTGGTCAATTCAAAAGACAGTTGCAGCTTTCCATTCAATAATTATTCTCGATCTTACTGCACAATTCCAGGTTCGGCATGCTAGAGTTTCATCCACTTGCGCGGCCCTCAATCTTCAACCAACAGATCTGGCAATGGCCAATAAGGAAGCCCCTGCTACAAGTATCAAGACTTGATCAATCAACATGTGTTTGGAATACTCATGCAAAAGTTTGTTTATTTCAGTTCGTGAGAATAGTAAAGCGAGTTCCACATTCCTTTGAAACGTAACACGGTGAACAGGTCACGATGTGAGTGACTTGCTCATAATGTTTATGTTGTGGAAAAGCGGGGAATAGTGGAATAAGCGAAACTTACCCCGCGGAGTAATTACACGGTTCGGGCCTTTCCCACTGGTCGATGGCCCGGACTGTCACCGGATCTATAACCCTGTAGCTTAATGCTCTGGGCTCGACCAACCGCATAGCGGGTATCCATTTCCAGCAAAAATATGTTGGTTCCCTCTTCCTCTCTCAGGCAATGCAATTCAATTCAAAAAACAAGTAATAACCAACAAGAAGTACTCTTGGCATTTGTAACTGTGCATAACCGATTGTAAATCAGGCTCCCTTGTCTCAGATGATGAGGCTTGTTGTAGTCGCAAGGCTAATTGTCAGTGGCCACTAGATGGTGGTGATCCGTGCGTCTATGGGCCCAAGGCTCGAGATGGCGATCTTCGACAATTCTGTGACACTCCAACGATGGTGGAGGAAGTATAATAAGGACAGTCCGTCGCGGTACAAGGTCGCGAACACGCGCAGTCCAGCCCACCACCACTCATTAATCTCTTAACACTGCTGGTTTACCGCAAGTCTAAGGCCTAAAACCTTAAGATGATCGACGCTATTGGAATAGTTAGCGGCGTTCTTGGTATTGTCGGGTTCATTCAAGGCCAAATTCCGGAGAAACCTACTGAAGGTGTTGCTATCAGGATCAAGGCTGGAAGCGGCGGCACAGACGATGGAGGCTCTGTAAGTACCACATAGCCTCTGGCACAAGGGTACTAACGAAGATGCTTAGGGTGGTGAAGTCTCAGCTGCTTATGCGTGGGACTTCGATAACAACTATCTGGGTAGAGTTGAAGGCGGCTCCATGGAGCAGGGAGGGGTAGTCGACACAGTGATCGAATCTTTCTCTAACGCCGCTCGCGCCGAGTATATCGGCATCTCAGTTGCCAAGGACGCCGTCTGTGTTGCCTGGATCGGTGTAAGCCAATATGACAATATTGCCGGTGGTGTTTGGACTGGTGATATCGGCTATGAATGTGGTCAGGCTTGGTACGCTAACAGAGAGATGGCCGGATACCTAGACGAAGATGAGAAGGAAGAGTACTTTCCGAGGTGCACTTGGCTTGACGCAGGCCTCAAAGAAGGTACTAAGAGTGCTTCTATGAAGTTCTATACAAGCGCGTATGGTGAAAAGGTGAAGGATACTGTGGACAACAAGGATGCGTGCGATTACACGCTTTGGGGCGAAGACGATGCTCCCATATCCAGTAAGTTTATGGCATCACCCAAAGGCTTGAGCAATAGCTAACGTTTCACAGGTGCTCCAGGAAAACGCGCCAACCGCCCTCGACGCGCTTGGATGAAAAACAAGCTCGTCGTCTCGAACCTCAAACAGCACAAAGCAGAAGATCTTTGCTCATCTGACACATCCTGGGGTCCTGACTTTATTGGCACAGATGGACAGTTTTGCGATATGGGCACCAAAAGTTTGACTCCTCTCTGCTCGACCAAGGATGTTGATGGTTGCATCATGATTGATGACGATAACAAGACACTCACCAGGCGATCTCGAGTTGTAAAGCGCGAGACCCACATTGCTCATAAGACCTACAAGGCTATTGACCAGTGGGAGTCGGATAAATAATTCCATTGCTTGACTGCTATCTATGGAGTAGTATCTTAGAAGCCATCGTATCTCATAATGTGATCCAATCTCCCTTATACCACGTCTAGTTCCAATATGAATTTCAGATCCTACTCAACATCAGCTATGTCCATGATTTATAATGAAACGAGAAAGGGAACTTACCTCCAAACTACCCGATACTCCCTCTCCTGAGTTCCCGCCCAAAGTAAACTTTGCAAGGGCTTTCTTCTTCTTTTGCAGGGCTAGAATACGCTGCTGCCCATTAGCCTCTAACTACATGGTCTTTTTACCAGGAGGGCATTACCTCTTCTACGGTATTCCTCATCATGTATCTGAACACCGTTACAGTCTTGGTCTGTCCCATTCGGAGGGCTCTCGCAATTGCTTGTTCCTCGACTGATGGGTTCCATTGTGGCTCAATGATGTGAACGTGCGTCGCGATAGTAAGAGTGAGTCTGTATGTTCTTTTTAGCCGAAGGCCGATGATCTGGGGACATGTGTCTTACCCAACTGCTCCTGTCTGCATGGTGAGGAGAAGGACAGAGATATCAGGGTTCGTCTTGAACTCCTCCAGCACTCTTAACCTGTGTTCGTTTCCTAATCGTCCATCGATGCGTCTCATAGCGATGTTCCGTTGACCCAGCAGCATTTCTAGTAAGTCAAGGGTCGTTGTCCAGTACGAGAACACAAGGCTAATTCAGTCAGCGATCGTGACCCAATAGATACAGCGGTTACCCGATGAGAAATAACAATACCTCTTAGATTGACGACAAATATTGTCTGCCACAGCTTGGAGTTTCGTCGACAGACCCGAATGCATTTGAAGAGGCCTTCTATTCAACGTTGCAGTATACGTATCCGCCGCGTCCATGGATAAACCTGTATGGATGGGACCGGGAGGTTGGGGAGATTGACTGACGCTCTTTGAAGAGCTAGGCGTCGATGCTGACAGTAGACGGTGGCACTCCGGGCATGTCGAATCTTCATTGATCTTCGCCATGTTGTCGTTATCAGCGGTGCTGCAATAGGCGCAAGACGTGTCGACATCCAACTCTGTCAGCGTCCTGGGGGGTTCAAGCAGTGTGCCGTGGTTACAGAGCCTCCTCAGTGCTGACATCATGGAAAAACGTAGAGTACTTCTTGTCTTCTTTGCCTTGGCCAGGCCACTGACTAGATCATCGAGCTCTCGACGATAGCTTTTGAAGACATCGTTGTATAGCTTTTCTTCGTCAGGATGAAGTAATAACTTCACAGTACTGTATGTTGCACTAGGGAGATTGAGATATTGCCCTTCTCGTCTCAGGCACAAGCATTGAAGTAACTGCTGAAGTGTGTTGACTGGCTCAGTGAGGCTCCCGTCGCCTAGTGGCTCAAGTATATATCTCTGGAATACAGCCATGTCACAGAAAGGCTCGAACTTGAGAAATCGAAGAAGGGACACCAAGTCATTGAGACAGTTTTGGATCGGGGTTCCTGAAACGCACCATCGGCGTTCTGTGGTGAGTCCGTTCACAGCCTTAAATTGCTTAGAGCTTGGGTTTCGAATCCAATGGGCTGATTTCGGTAAGTCCTTGGTGCACGAGGTAGATTTGGGAGGTTCCACTTACCCTCATCAAGGATAACCCTGAACCACTCCAAACTGTGAAGGACCTTCCGATGTTTGAAGTCAGCGACAAGAGTCGCGTATGTAGTTAATACTATGTCATAATCCATCAAAGCGGTTTGTTGAGTCGGGCGAGAGTCACCATGGAACATGATAGTCCGAAGCGAACCATCTTTGAAATGACTATTTCACCGGCATTAGACTGATTTTTGATCTTGGAAATGGGCTCGTACCTTGAAACTTCCTTCCGCCACACCTCCATCACCTCTTGGTGTCCTTATCAGCTGATGTTTTGCAAGGAACCAGAGTAGGGGAAGAACTCACGAGTCGATGTTACAACCACAAGGGTTGCTGTAGTTCGGGGACATGTCAAATCGTCGATATTGCCTCTAGTATTGGTCTTTTGGAAGTTGATCGCTGCAACCTTCGTGGCACAGATAGACGTGATCATTGTGAGTGTTTTCCCTAACCCCATCACGTCCGCCAATATTCCGCCCAAGGCCATAGATGGGATGACCTTAGGTGACCTACATCTGATTGTTAATGACTTTCCTCTCAACCCACTTATGGGTCATGCTCTTACGGGATACGCGTATGAAACAGGAGCTCCGTTCTGACTCGATTACAATAATCAGAGTTCTCACATTTCGAGATAAAACTCAGAGCGGATTTCTGATGACTTATTCTGTTAGCGTTGACAATCAACAGTGTGAAGCCCCTCCACTCACTCCTTCAAAGGTGTTGTGAGGTCATCCGGAATGACATCCAGCTCAGTGATGATCGGGTTTCCCAATGAATGGTCAAGTGAAGTGAGAACATTTTCCAATGCATCGGAGAGGGCCTTTGCTCGGATCTGGGACTCGTCCATGGCCACCAGATGCGTCATATACCCTGTATCTCCTTCGAATTGGAAGAACTGCGGATTCAAATACTCTATGCCGTCTTCAAGGTGATACGGATGTTGAAGGAATCCTCGAGCCTTGGTCAAGGCCGTTCCGACATCGCTAGCATCTGATTCGAGTCCGTATACATTCACGGATACTCTAAACGGCTGCTTTCCTTTTTTGGACGCCAGATGATTCAGGATATCAGTTCCGAAAACTGCTTTAGTGTAAACGCCAGGCTGCCCTTGGAGAGCATCTAGTTTCTTGGCAGTGATAAGGTCAATCATGATGAAAACATCTGTTTCTGGTATTTTGATACCGTAGACCTTATCTTCCAAGACGATTTCGAAGAGATGGAATTGTGAGGCTCTATTGCCCGAGACGCGGCGTATGTCGGATACCGCAGTGCATCCATCGCTTGGTGGGCGCGTGACCTTCGCTTGAACATCGCAAAGCTGGAAAGTGATGTAAGATCATTTTATCTTAAATAAGTGGTTATAGGCAAACGTACAGTGCCGAAGCATATTACCAACCCCGTACTAGGACCGGGAGATGATGTGTCCATGTGGTCGGGGTCCCATCTTTCTGCGGTGGTTTCGCCACTTGGGGAAGCATATAGCGTTGGGCAAGTACCGTTGCGATATGAATCTAGATTCTGTCGTTTAGGATGGGTATTCTCACTGTCATCATTGTGACAAAGCTGATGCTTCGGTGGCATTGAAATTCCCAGTAGTGGCAGTCTTACAATTAGTAACAGTAGATAAAGACAAGGGATGTTATGGGAAGAAAGAAAACGCGTCCTGTATCAGTAAACAATCGAGGGGGCAATGCTACACCGACAATTACTGGCGCCTGGTTCGCCTTGTTTGCCTCACCGACGCGGCAAACCAATGAAGCGCGTATGATCTGCTTAGTAAGATTGAGGCCGCCCGTGGTGGTGGCTATGCAGTTGTGCAACCAACAGGGCATCCGGCGAGGCGTTTTGAATGTTTCCATCATAAAGAGCGACCTTCTCGGGCAGGCCGCTTCTTTTTCCTTCTTGAACCTGATGTAATCAGCGTGTATGTATCAAGAAGAACATACAATGAATCCACCACTACCCCAAACATCGGCGTCAGGAGGCCAGAACCAGACACGTGTAGCCCTGGATCCCGTGTTCGCTCAGGCTGTGGCGAAGTTCAAGAAACGTCTCACCAAAGTCCAGGCAGACACTTTCGTCGATTGCACGATTGACGACGTGAGAAACCAAATTAGCGATATCCAGAATCATCATGGATCCCAGCGGCGGCAGAGGAACATGGTACGGCTGTCCAAGTTCGTCGAAGGAATGTCCCAGCTTGGAAAGGTCATGGAAGTATTCCTCAATCTTGACAATACCGTTGCACTAATATGGGTTTGTAATGACTACACTGAACGAAACCTTATGCTTATCTTAAATCTCAGGGACCTCTTAAATTTCTCCTCCTTGTAAGTGTCTAATGACTCTTGCGTGCAATCGGCTAATCCGTTATACCAGACAGCAAGTACCTGGATCGATAGTCTGGATAGCCTACTCGATGTCTACGAGCGAGTCGGAAATGTTTTGCCCAATCTCACCCGTTACCCTGAGATCTATAAAAGCTATTCTCATGTTCTTACACACCTCCAAGGCTATTATTGTGACATTCTCGAGTTCCACAGCAACGCTCTTGAGGTGTTCTCGAGATCCGGTGAGTCTCAATCTTGGTATCTAGGTCTGACTCAATCTTACACTTGCAGGCTGGAAGATCTTGTTCCATTCGGCTTGGAAGACTTTCAAAACCCAGTTCGACCCTATACTGAAAAGCCTAGAGCGGCACAGAACCATGCTCTCGGAGGAGAAGCTGACCGCTGTAATGGAGGAGATACAGGCCCAGAGCCTCGCTAATCAACAGAAACTTGATGGTGTTGTCGGAGAAACACGAAGACATGGCCAATGCGTCCAAGACAGGCTTGATCGTCTGGAGGCAGAATTACAAGAACGGGCACGGGTAGATGCTGCTAGGGACTTGATTGCTCATCAGGACCAGGTGCAGCAGCAACACCGGATCATTGAAAGCAAGCTTGACGCACCAGATTGCTATGTAGACCACGAACTCGCATCTCGGAAACGGTTTCAAAGCACATCAGGCAACTGGATTCTTGGCCATCCTCTGGTCTCAGAATGGCTTGACTTCAATTCCAAGGACCGTCGAAAGATCTACTTAAGTGGGATACCTGGAGCAGGTGCGTCAACTATAAGCAGAGAGTTGAGGAGTGTATGACTGACAAGAAACTAGGCAAGACTATTTTGACGAGTAGCATCATCAGCCATTGCAAACAACGCCAGTCAGGGAATGGGATAACAGCAGAGACATTCTCCCTATTGTACTTCTACTTTAAGCACCAGCACCTCAAGAAGAGATCACTTGTCTCACTTCTTCTCTCACTACTATCACAGCTAGTACACCAGGATGAAACCATACGCGAATATGTCTATCAAACCTGCTGTACTGCTGAACCAAAACATATTCAGTCGTTAGAAGAGGTCTCCCGCCATATCTCCATCGCGCTCAAGTCCCAAACAAGATGTTTCCTCATCATAGATGGCTTGGACGAGTGTTCAGAGGCCCCCGCCGTCTTGGAGTGGCTTGAGAGTAACATTTTTAGTCAGGATAGCACTTCAACCGGCACTGCCTTGAATGTACGCCTATTCATATCTGGTCAACGAGATGGAGTTCTGGAAGAACTAATGTCCGAATATCCAACAATCCCTTTGGAGAAGGCTCCCGAGCATAACGGAGGTATCAAGGAGTTCGCGGTGACTGAGGCAAGCAAGATTCGTGACAAGTTCTCGGTAGACTCGGGGATTGCAGAACAGATTGTTACACTGGTCACTTCACGTGCAGGCGGTATGCGGTTCACGGTATAAGCTTTAACTAAATATAGGTATGCTAACGCTTATGTTAGGAATGTTTCTTTACGCACAAGTCGTCCTGGAAAATCTGACCAACCAGATTTCAACATACAATCTGAAGCAAGAAATAAATGCAGAAACATTTCCTGTAGATCTCAAACAAGCGTAAGAGACTTTTGACTCCTAAGATCTCAGTTCAAGAAGATAACATCAGAACAGATACGAACGTGCTGCTATTCGAGTGCTCAGAAATCCAATTTTACCCGAGAGAGACGCAGCAAAGGAGATTCTTGGAATTATCATGTGTGCATGCCGACCCTTACATTGGAGGGAGATTCAAAGCAAGTTCTGCATCGACCCAAAACGTGGGGAGGCCAACATCGATCGTCAGCTTGTGCTGGGTTGTAAGCGTCTCTGTGGTTCTCTTGTTGACGTCATTTACCTTGAGCCAGAACGGTCAGCACCAGGTGAAGAGATCGTTGACTTCGTTCATTCTACCGCCAAAGAGTAGGTTCAACCATCTTTGCCAAGGGCCCTCGGGGCCGTTACACTTTTGTCAAAGCTGACCCAATATGCAATATAGATATCTTGAGGAAACTAAAGAGATTTGTCAGTCCCTCGAGAACGCCAAGATGGCCCTTTTCTGCGCCGACTATATGGTTTCAAGGCCACTTATCCCCTCCATTCCGAAGGTTGAGATTCAGGACCACGCAACCAAGGGATACTACGCTTTCCAAGACTATGCCGTCGGGTTCTGGTGGCAGCATGTGCAAAAGACTGTCGCCAACCCTCCAGACTCGGATACCGAGCTGTTCAAGACAGTGCTAAGATGCGCTCATCGGGCTTTGATCGAAGCTGGACAACTGAAAGACATTCAAATCTTTGACGATTCGCCAGATGGGATTCGGCTTTTGAGTAGCACGATGGAAAAGGTTCCTCGCAATCTTCGCGACTGGGATGCGAGTGGGATCTACGAAATTCGAACAGCTAGGATCAGGGAAGCAATTGAATTACTTCTCAATGAGCCTGACAAACCCTTAGGCAGTGTCCTATCTTTATATGGACCCTGGCGGTATAGGTGCATCAAACCGTGGTGCCAGAACTTCAGCAACGGTTTTGAACATGCAAAGGCCTTGAAAATCCATATTGGCCAACATGAATTGCCCTTCATCTGCGATATTCAGGGTTGCCCTGCTACTATTGTTGGGTTTGCGACAAACACTGAACGCGAGAATCACCTTGCTAAGTGTCATCAACAAGAGGATCATCCGCTGTTTCCCGACGCGAAACAATACGTGGCAGGTATTGGAGATGACAAAAATGCGTTGAAAGAAGCTATTAAAAGGGGTGATCTGGATATTGTTAAAGCTGTTATGGAAAGAGATAATAAAAGTTTTCTCTTGAAATTCGCCTTAACAAATGTTACAGAAAGTGGACATCTGCACCTTATGCAATATCTGGCACAGTCGGTATTGCCAGAGTCCGGATACAAGTTCTTGCTATCATACTTGTTGCGTCTGGCTACCAAGCGCCGTGACTTAGACATGGTCGCGTTTCTGTGCAATGGGGATCTCTTCTCTCAAGGCGGCAGGAGATATATCAGTGTAAGCCTACAATATAGTGCAAGGATGACACCATTCCCGAAATCCATTGTAAATCGGTTGCTCCGAAAGGCGACAAGTCACGATGTGTATCTGGGCCTTAGGGCAGCCATCAGGGAAGGGAACATCATAGGAGTGGGCATCTTCGCAGATAACATCGATTCGACCGACCTCCCGAAGGCCCTTGAATATGCAGCCGAGATAGGAAATCTGCCTTGTTTGGATACTCTGCTGGCTTCGAGTAAGGTCAACCCCGAAGCCCTCAATTTAGCTGGACCCCGACTTTTCCATATCGCGTGTTCAGACGGGAACCTTGCCATTGTCAAGCGCCTCAGCACTCTAGCTATCGACATTCACAACGTAAACCGAGATGGAAACAAGCCTTTGCATTCAGCGTCTATAGGCGGCCATAATGCAGTAGTGACATTTCTCCTGGAGGAGGGTGCAGATATCAAGGCTAAGAATAAGCATGGGAAGACGCCGCTACAGCTGGCCATAGAGAGCGGCCATCATGGAACTGAAAAGCTACTTCTAGAAAGAGACATCCTAGACCAGGATCTCTCCAGCCACGCGTCAAGCGGTACTGACTAAGACTTTCCATAGATTAGATTGAATATTTGCTATATATTGAGATAGAAAGGAGCTTTGCTACACGTTAAGAAATACAAACGGACTACTTAGATCTATCAATTCATAAAATAAAAGACGAACTCTTTACCAACGTTAAGAACTGTCCAGGAAACCTACTCAGTGATTGGCTTCAGTAGATCACCGGCGATCCATGGTATCCTGTGGGTTTTTTTATACTTGCATTCACTATTTCATTTACGTCTCTTCACTGACCTCTAACAACAAAAAGTATATTTACTACCTAAACTCATTCTTATTTTCGTCCCTCTGGTAGTGCTACATCCATGCAAGACGCAGTCCGTCCCACTGAGCAGGCCGCTCGGAGCATGTATGCTCGGGGTTACCAAACGTGGTATAGGTTATCTGAAAGCGCTTCTGAAGAATCGCATTTGCAGAGAGACAGTCTGCGGCGCTTACCAACCGCCTTTCCCAACCACCCCCATTTTCCGACCAACGTCGCTGTTGATGAATTGTTCAGAAACACTGCCTTGGTCAAAGCGATTACTACCTGGCTCCCCACTCAAGACCCAGGGCATTTGCCGCCATTCACAGAGGAAGCTGTTTTCAACATTGCATGGGATAAGCCAACCAAAGTCATCCTGACACCGGACACACGATGTTCCATGGCAACTCTGCCAGATATCTTTGGCGAAAAAAGTGTTCATATTCCTGTGCTGCTCCAGACTTGGGCATATATTCTTTCTGCGAGATGGGTCGAATTAATGCCCGGCGCACAAATATCTCTGCGAGAGACGCAACAGTCTGACGGGGGCTTACATAGGCCGAACCCGTCGTCAGACAATCAGGCAGTCTCCACAATCCACATTGGTGCAGCCTCTGAAGAGGCCACTCGCTGGTGGACTGCGATTTTATCGGTCCACAGCGGCTGGGATGCAACGATCCGCAATAACAAGGGCGACCTTCTTCATTCACCATGGTCTACGACACTTACATCGGAGCGCTCGTTCCAGATCTTGGCCCAGATCAAGACAACAATGGCAGCATCAGACACTGTGCCGAATTCAGCAACTGCAGCATGGGGTTATTTGGCCGACTATTGTATCAACCATGGCATCAGCGAGGACCTAAACCTAGCAGCTCTGGCAGCAGCTTTATTGATCCCGGCTGTCAAATATGATGGCCGGTCGATCGGGTTGCCAATCCCCAATATAATTTGGGATGAGCACAGACTAAAGGATAAGTCTCCTGTACCTTCCAGCTTCGTGACGATAGACCAACCCCAGCTGGACAAGCTCTTGACCCTCAGTTGTAACGCTAGAGCAACGAAGGCTCTTCTAACCAGCGTCTTTTTTGAACCCGGCGTTGAAAGCAACATATGTGGGATGTGGTTACGAGGCTCGTTTGCATTTCTCAACACTATCACAAACCCTCACCTCCTCATGCGGACTCTAATACAGCGTGATCCAGAGATTGGTTTCTTATGGATCGGCGCGTTCATAACAGGGACATCGGACAAGGCGTTTCGTGAGGGTCGCGCCGGTTGGTGGAAAGTCGATCTTGGAGCAGCTGCTTGGACGGGCACTTTGATGTCTTTTGTCCAAGAGCAAGTACCTCACCCAAAGGCAGGAGCAACATCAATCTCGCGGGCTGATGAATGTCGCCTACTATTCCTTTGTCATGGCATGGATTATACCACCCCGCCATTATTTCCCTTCCAACCATTCGGCTCTACCAACTTAGAGGACACGAACCTTGAGGTCCACGAACACTCGCTCTGTGAGCAAGATCATACCCTTAGCTATGTTGGCCTGACCTGGCACTGCAACGACGGTAAACAAGTCATGCAACGACCAAAGGTCCCTCTTGTTGCGATGAGATAAAAGACCGGGCCCACTTTGAGCCGGGGCTCAGAAGTTGAGGTCGATTACGATGACTATGACTCAGACGATGATAATTCGGAGATGGTTACCAGAAATATCTTCACTTGGCTACGTGGACAGGATGGATTTCCCGTTGCGGAAAGAGCCATACGTGAACACGAGTGGATTGATAACTTACATTCTGATGATGACGAACCAATTGAGGGGGATGTACGCTCTATTGTCGGGGGGCGTCTCCATGGGTGGCTGTTGAAAACGTCGACCCAAAGGTCTAATTCCATCTGACACCCTGGTCTATGTCAGGTATCTAGGGTTGATGAACAAATTTGTGCTATGGAACAGACGGGTCACTATAGCCAAGCCGAACCATCTATAGTAGACTTCTGAGGCAGGCCAATCAGAATTAATGAAAAATTGTAGTCGTGGATTTTCTAATCGGTTCCCGGTCAATATTCTTCCATTACATACCGCCACGAGCATTAGGCTTTATACTGCATTTCATCCTTCCATCACATCGGGATAAGATAAAGATGATTTAATAGTGCGATTGTCTCATTGGAAAGAACCCTAGTATAGCCAGAATATAAGATTCCCTCCTTGAAATCCGAGTCCTCGTATGTCTCGAAGATCACATAGTCATCGTTGAAAAAGAACTCCGTAGTCTCGACCTGTGTTCATCGGCTCCAGACAGTTGAACTACCAGCCCCGCCCTCATGCACATGCTCATGACCACCAGCAGGAGGGGTCAACAGCGCCTGCTCCTCATCATGATCGCTGTGTGATTCCGCTTGACCATGACAATGCGGGCAAGGCTGAGGTGAGCCTGACACAAATTCCCCCACGAACTCCTTCACAATTTCCCTCATCCCATTTGTCCTAAAGAGCACAACCAGCGCTAGAAACAAATGAAGAAACATATTGAAAATCAATGGAGTTGAAGAGTAAGCTACCAGGAACGTCTCCCCAGTATCCTGCCACCTATTCTTTGTCCATGTAAAGATAAGCGTCAAGAGCGATAGGGCACCCATAAATATATCTGCGATAAGACAATTTAATGGGTCAGTGATAGGTGTAGCGAAGGTTGCTTTGAGATGCGCGCCTTGACGGTGAAGGCGTTTGATGGTGAAGCCGAAGACGGCGGAGAAGATGAGCAGGATGAACGTGAAGAAGGAGGTGGGTCGGCCCATGATGCAGAACCGAATGAAGTTGAGGGGGAGACCAACGGCTGCTGAGAAGATAAGAAAGTCCCTGGTGGGATGGAAGACCGCCGCTGAGTTAATGGCCATAGTGCTGTTTTGTTCCTAATCGTGTCTTCAGAGGTATAGTGTGAAATGTATTGCGACAAAACGTATTATTATCAGCAGTCTAGAGGAATCGAATTTATATACCCATAATACCAGAAAACATCGAAATACACTGCCTCGATGATCTGCAGGCTATGTCCTGCGTGTCATCTTCAACTACTCGGTATTCTCAAACACCACATTTTCTAGGCAGTGATTTTATCATCGAGTAGAATCCTTCGAATCCTTCGAATCCTTCCAGGCAACAGGGTAAGCATGACAGTGCACAACGACTCTATGCACCCTAAGCTCGACCAATTAAACGTAGAATATTTGTGACTAAGCGAATAATCTACCTTAAAATGATAATGCATTAACGATCCACAACCACCAATCTCTTTCTATTGGCTAATGAACGATAATTATACCGAGTCTGCCTGATCTTCACTGTATCTGCCTGCCAATGCACCAGCCACAATACAAAGCCTCCCTCTATTTTTAGGCCTCCACTGCCCCTAACTTTGCTTTTTGACAGCTTGGCTGTCGCCCATACCAGTAATTCCTTGGCTCAAAACCAAAAAGTGCAGTCTCACTAAAGTCAAGAAGACATACGTTCCACCACAACCCCAATCATCCGACGTCCAAGTTCCTCCAAGTCTCCCTTGACGAGCCACGGCAAAGCCTACTCCGCTAATGCCTGCCAGGTCGGATAGCAGCAGTGAAAACTGCAAAATTCTCCAAACCGTGATGTCTTTCGAATATCGGGGGATGGCGGCGGACAGGTAAGCAACAGCTAGTGCAAGACCGCCGCTTTGATGGAAGAGAAAGACTTGGTCAGAGTCGTATTTTGAGTTGGGGGCCATTGAGGTCACTGCGCCATGTGGATCAATGAAATTCAGATATGCTCCTCCGAGTGCGATAATAGGATCAATCCACTTAAAGAAGAAGATGCAAAATCTAAAGGTTCTGCTGTCGATAGTCGACATGTTGCTTGTTGCTTGTTGGAATTTAGGGTAGTGTTTTTAATTGGTGTTCTGGATTGAAAGAGGGTTCTTGACTCTGTGGATAATGTGATTGATGCAATACCTCTCGTCAGAGTCTCCAGGCACTCGGGTGACTTATATAGAACGAAGCTTCTCGAATGAATAGTCCGTCGGATCAATTGTAGTGGTCTGGACTTTCGGCCATTTCCAAAAGTCCGTTGTCACGTAGAATTTTGATGTAGCGCCATGAATGATTTTGCCCGTAATCATATCCAGCTGTGGCTTGCTTTGTGGAGCCTTTATGATCCATGCTTATGCCCGGGGCACCTATAAGGTTATTTTTGCTTTACCTTGGGCTGCTTCAACTCCTAACCTTTTCACCAAGGATCCACACACCATATCTACGCGGTTCCACAAAGCTCAACCTTGCTCGACTACTTCTGCCTCAAATGGTTAGCGTCGAGCTCGCATTCGCCCCACATGAAATCCACGACACAATTGCTCCTGCATTTTTCTAAAACCATCTGCTATATCAAACAGAGGATCAAGCCGTCACGCTGCTAAGCCACTTTCGCAGCAGCCGAAATCTCAGCATCATGAGATAACGTGACGCATTGAAGAAGATAACCAAGAAACAATGGCACGCCAAGGCACGGAGAAGAGACGGACAGGGTGTGTGACCTGCAAGTGAGTGAGCCCCATCGCTGTCGTAGATGATGAAGATGGGTGTTAATGTTCCCAGGAAACGGAGGGTCAAGTGCGATGAAGCGCGCCCCGTGTGCAAGCGCTGCCATATTGGAGACCGGTCATGCTTGTATCTCGTACCTCCGGTAGGCTCATATACCTGGCAGCATCTGCTACAAGCTAAGCCGTCCATCTTGCCGCCTTCTACCGGCACTCCATACCAAAACTATGCTCGAACTTTAGACTACTTTCGTTGGGTTGTGGCTCCAGCCCTCAATTGGCAGCTTGGTAATACGTTCTGGACAGGGCCCGTAATGCAGCTTATGATGAATGAAGAGACGGCGATGCATGGGATTCTGGCTATCAGTATGCTCTACGAGGGCTTCGAACCGGGTTGGAAGAATGAACTGCCCAATGAAACGGCGCTCAACCATTATAACCATGCTATACGATTCGTTGCAACTAAAGAGTTGCAGGACAGCACTATCCTCGTTGCGTCGGTGCTTTTCACTTGCATCGAGTTCCTTCTCGGAAATAAAGAAGCTGCGATAACGCATTGCAGATACGGTATCATGATGTCAGGATCGAGCGTCACTCAAGATCGGACAGTGTGTGCGATGCTTCGCCATCTCAGCATCTTCCCTTACTTTTTCTCCACGGCCGAGATTCCTCTTCCTGCCAACGGACCGTGTGACTTTCGATTTAAGAGCGCATTAGTTGCAGCATTTGAGATGGATGAACTCATGGGTCGAGCAATCAGACTGGTACGGTCATTAGACGCCTACAGACTAGGAGCTAGTCCTGAACCTGTGTCAGTCGGTACGTGGAAGGTACGAGAGATGCTGTTGCAAGATCTTACTGCATGGAAGGTTGTATTTACGGCGCTTTCTCTACACCCAGTCGAACCTACCGACTGTAGGTCCCTACTGCTGATAAGGCACCTTGTTTGCTGGATATGGGTCAATATCGCGCCGGAGAGAGATGAGAGGGCAAGTGATGCCTTCAGGGAAGGCTTCGCGCAGATTGTTGGCCTGGCGAAGGGGCCTTCTCAGGACGTGTCGAGGCCGAAATTTACGTTTGATATGGGAATAGCGCCGCTTTTGCACTTCGTGGTCATTAAGTGTCGCCATCTGCAGATACGGTTGGACGCGTTAGAAGTCATCCGAACGATGGGAAATGCGAGGGAATCACTGTGGGATACAGCAACGATGTACGCGATCGGGAAATGCCTCATTGAGAAGGAACACGGCATTCTTGTAACAATAGGAATGTCCGTGGTGGAAAACGAACTCCCCACAGACGATAGAAGGGTTCGAGACTCCTATGTTGAGGATGGTGTATCGGAGCATGTCAATGAGCACGGAGAGGTAATTCTTCGCCGCAAGATCTACTTGTTTGTTCGTGAAGGAGCTACCATTGTGAAAAGGGCGCACTGGTTAACGCGGACGGTCTCCAGACATGGCTAGTTCTAAAAATGGATCACAAGATGTGACAGGATGCAGCATAAGGTCGCTAAATGGGTCCATTGCAACAATTTAAAATTATTGACGATGGAGTATCGGACAAGGAATCACAAATCAACTAGTTGCAAATGGTATTGGCCATAGGTAAATAACAAACGGGGTATCGTTTCACAGTTTCATCTTGGCAAGAGTGGGGCGAGTGCGAGGACTCTAATGAGATTAGACGTCTCCAGCGAGGCTATACGAAACTGAATCCCACAATTAATGTCGCGCCTAGGAATTTCGTGTGAAACTTGCCCATTGATCTGTTAAATATAAAAATGCTTCTTGGGCTGTCAAACTACCGATAACCTCAATCAGCTCATTCATTATATTCGTCCTTCTTTATTGGTCACTTCTTTTTACTGTTCCGGTCTCTCGTCTCTTAACAGACTCTGGTGATAATCTAACCTCCATACCATGAAGCCTAGATCATCCATCTTCGGCGCTTTCTGCGGTCTCATAGCTCTTGCAGAGCAGGGAAATGTCCCTTCAAGAACTGGTCTTGCCGGCCCGGCATTCCCAGCGCCAAAGTTTCTTCGAGGAAGTCAATCACTTCACTCGGCAGAAATCGCTTTTAACAATTCCATCGCCAACTCCACCATCATCCAAGCCAATGAGACGGCATGGGCTATCGCTGTCTTCTCTGCAGGTGACGATGAGCCTTTATATGAAAGATATTTCACCCCGGAATACGATATCGGGGTACCTGAGGTCAACAAAGACTCCGTGTTCCGCCTTGCGAGCGTATCAAAGGTCTTCAGTGTCTGGTCATTCCTTGTAGAAGTGGGAGATGAACATTTCAACGACCCTATCACAAAACATGTCCCTGAGCTTGCCATGGTTGATAATACTTCAATAACTGGAGTGGTGTACGATGACATTGATCGAGTCCGCTGGGGCGAGGTCACACTTGGGCAGCTTGCTAGTCACTTAGCTGGTATTCCACGCGATCGTGAGTCGCCATCACCCTTTTTAAGTCTACTGTTGACCGATTTTAGCCGCTCAAACAGATATGTCGGTCGGGTTGGTCCCTGATCAGGCCATAGCACTCGGGCTTCCTCCTCTCAATGACGATGAGATTCCCCAATGCGGAGTCACAGGCCTGCTTCGCCCATGCAGCCGTAACGGTAAGTCTAACAAGATATTTAGTCAACAATTATGGACTGACAATTATAGAAATGATATCACAACTGCTGAAGCAGCACCCCATCTTCCCAACAGGACATTCCCCAGCCTACACAAATGTCGCCTATGCACTTCTCGGCTTTGCTCAGGAAGCTATCACGGGCACACCCGTCAGCGAAGCCATTTCCAACAATATTCTCTCGGCTCTTAACATGACATCCACCACCTTCTCAAGAAAGCCTGATGTTGGAGGCGTAATACCAGGCAATGAATCGGTCGTCGGCTGGGACCGGGATATGGGACCCATCAGTCCCGCCGGTTCCTTGTACTCCTCGACAGCAGATATGGTCAAAGCTGGGCGCGCCATCCTGGGATCAAGCACCATGACGCCAGCGCAGACCCGAAGATGGCTCCAGCCGATGAGCCAAACTGGTATTCTCGGATCAGCGGTCGGGGCGCCGTGGGAGATCCGACATCTTATGATCGATGGACGTCTGACGCAGCTTTACACGAAACAAGGCGATACGGGCGGCTACCGCTCGGCACTCATATTGTCGCCCGAGCATGATATTGGAGCCGTCGTATTTTCTGCTGGACCAATCACTTCCAATTCTGGACCTGTCAGAGAGACATTGATGAACGCCGTAGGCAAAGCCTTTCTTCCAATGGCCGAGACGCAGGCTCGCATCGAGGCGCAAGACAACTTTGCCGGGTCTTACATAGACGAGACAACGAACAGTTCCGTGATAATCCAGGTTGATCAAGCTATCGCAGGCCTGGCGGTGAAACATCTTTGCTCACAGGGCGTCGAGGTCATTGGACCAAGCAGCCCATTTGTTCGAATCTATGGCGCCGGAAAGTCTGCTCGACTCTTCCCCACCAACCTGAAGACTATACGAAAGAAAGAGTATGAAAAAGGTACGTATGAATCACGATTGGGGTTCCGGGCAACGTTCTTTAATGCTACAGGGGCGGTGAATGAGGTACAGGACCCTGGTTTGATGCAGTGGACCTCACTAGGGGCACCGACATATGGAGCGATGACGTTGGATGACTGGGTGTTCGAAATGAAAGAAGATGGGAAAGCGAAATCCGTTAATGTGAGAATGCTAAGGTTGAGCATGCAACGCCAGCCTTAGGCATTTTGACCAGATTGCGCGACCAGGTGGCCTTAGATTATGCTCTACTATTGGGGGGCGTCTCCATGGGTGGCTGTTGAAAACGTCGACGCGAAGACTGTATTCCGCCTGGGGCCCAGGTCTATACTGTGCCATGTCATGTAGCTAGATAGACACTTGGTCAGCAGAATTTTGCTGTAGCATAGGCAGAACAAGATGGTCGATTCAATTTACAGATGATATACTAGAAAGTAACGTGTGCATATCCTATCTGGCGATCAGGGAAGGTTGCAGTCGCCCCATCAGCCATGCACTTGAAAATTCCAGGATATGGGAATACCTGCTTGAATCCGGAACCCTTGTACGTCTTGCCCTTCTGTCTTAAAAGCGGCATAGCCATCGCTGAAAGGTTGCTCCACAATTTATAATTGACGACCTTTCCCTCCATAGTAAACTTCCCGACCATTCTAGAGAGACTATTGCATTGCCCCATGAGAAAGCCAAAGTGACCGATGGAGCGGCCCAAGTGGAATTGATCGTTGATATTCGAAATCAACTCTCGCATCGTGGATAGCCTGTCAATCAGGTCATGGTTTTCCCCAAGCTCTTACTCGATGTCTTGAAACGGTATCGAGAGCAGCTGTTGTTGCTCTGTATATGTCGAGATAGCAAAGGTTTGATTGTTGGGCAAGAACTCCTTAATCGGAACCAGACGAGTATTGATATCCTTTGATATAGGATGTAAGGTCTTGATCTTGGGAAGAAGTTGGAAAAGGTCTTTGGTCGTTTTAATCTTGTTGTTTTTGAACAATGCCACGGCGGCGTCGCCCTCGAGATACCTAGGCAGGTCCAAAGCCTCCAGTACTCGTTTCAAGATGTTGTCAAGAGTGCTAGCGAGAGTAGATGGAAATCGGAGTGTTCCAAGATATTTGGTTGCAGCGATTTTACTTGCAACTGAAAAGAAGTTAGAAACTTGAGACTCCCAAATGTTACATGACAGTTACCTTTTTGTAGAAATTCTGAGACATGAGGCCCTTTGCAGCTATCAAGCTCCGTGCACATATCATTGATCTCGTCAAATTGGACTTGTGCAGATTCCACATATGACATGAACTTTGGCAGCAGTTGATTGAGACCAGTTGAGTCAGATTTGATAGAGGATAAAATCGCTTGCCATCTGTTCAGTGTTCCTCTGAGACTGCCGTCGGCTTCGCCACTCGCACTCAAACCATTTGTAATGGCGCCCGTAATCAGTGTCGAGTTGCAGACGTCTTGTTGACATGACTTAATGCCTGCAATAAGCTTGGGATACGTATATTCATCCATCTAATAGGATTGTCAGAATAGAACAGCACAGTCGTGGGGGGGGTCTTCGTACATCAAATACCTGGCTATTTGAAAAACCAGGCCCTGATTGAATCGAACCTTTAACTTCATCCAAGTTGTGCTGAAGATCGATTCCTCCGTTCTGCAAGCACTGGCATTAAAGATTAGCGGGACCCGAGACCATAGCCAGAATGAACATACTGTATTTAAACTGAAAATTTCATCAGCAACTTTGCCATTGGACAGTGACATGATGCCCTGAGAAAGTGACTTGAATTGTGCAGTCGTATTTAGCTGTTCAAGTCGAGGAAAGCATTTGCAAATAGCATCAGAGGACTTGACAAAGGCATCGCCTTGAGGTTGGCCCAGGACCTTGCGCACGGCTTCGCAGAGGTCCACCTGCTTAGTCGTGACCTTAAGTCCGGTAGGTACACGTTTCTTTATGATATCGTAACCTATGTCAATTAGATAACATCCCCAGAAGTAATGATCGAGAGCTATACTGACCGGAAACGCAGGTCATTGTATCACATGTTTTGGAAGGCTCCTTTTTGGTTGGGCAGGGCTTTGTCTCCTTTGTCTTGGTCTTGCATTTATTCAGCTGACGATAGTGTTGAGATTAGTAAGTAGTCTTCTGTGTTTTGTCTGGGCCTACTTACCTTTTTTTCCGATACTTCCTTGGTCTTTACGGTAAAGCCAGTCGGGACGGAAAACTTGAAGTTGCAAGAAGATAAATTCTTCAAGCCTGAACAGGCTTACGATAGGGTAGCTTGTGCCGCATGTACTAAAAGCGCATATGATAGCAACTGGATGGTGAAAAGATGTTTCATGATAATAGATTTAAAAGCTTGTATCTGGTGAAACTCTTGCTGGAATATGAGTTTGACAATGGGCAAGTGTATATCATATATGCGAAGAGTCACTGCATTCTCACCTCTATTCCAGGGCTTAGATCAGTGCATGCTGCTTCCGGACTTTTCGCATCGTGCGAAATCCGTACCAAATAGTGGCGCGCTCAACGGTCTGGAAGGTGGAATAAATGCCTTTCTGGCATTCATAACGCCTCAGGCACATCTAGACACTCAGCCCTACGCCACCGTTTCTCAGACAGTCCGAGTAAGGCGGCGAGAAGCTACTCCAGGGATTGTGGCGTAGGCAGGTACCCGGACTAGGTTCGCTAGTCGGTCTTTTGTGGCTTTCTATAACTAACCCACTGGTATGCAGTTGCAATAATGTCTAAATCTCTAAACTGGTGGATTGACCTAGTAGGAGCGGCGAATCCAGGAACGTCAAGGCTGAAGACACTGATACAGTTATTTTTAGTGTGTCAATGAGTAAATGGTCTACGTGTAACGAGGAATCATTCGATCCATTGCTTAGTTGGCGCCCTTGTTTTTTTTAGGACTATGTCGAAAATTATCTTAGCTTGTTAAACGAGGGCATAAAACGACCTCCTTAGTACAACTTTGTAGCGAAGTGGCATAAATCAAGACCAGTCTTGTTGGTTGTACAATATTGTGAAGACACGTGACACAGACCGCCTTTGTTGGGCATGCAATCTTGCTGCCTAGCCGTGCAATGTCTATTGTCTATTGAATTCTGCTCAGCGTCCGAACCTTTGAGTAATCATACAGCCAGAACAACATTTTTATTTGAACTCTGTGGTCTACTATCCCATCGTTCCCATTTCGACGCAAACGTTACAATTCCAATCGAAATGAGTAATCAGTCAGAACCAGAATTCTTGGATGACATTGCAGTCTATCAGCTTCGGGATGGTAATGGGGACGGTGCAGAGATGCGATTCAAATTTAATAACAAGCAAATCTGCGTCTCTATCTTCCCCAGCAATGGCTCATCAACGAATGATACTCAACACATGGGCCCAGGAGAGCGTCCTCTACAGGACCATCTCGTCGATGTAATAGATCGTTCTATGACTAAAGACCACGACAAGCATGAAAGCCTTGTGGAAGAGGCTCTTATCGTTATCCTTGACGTTGGAAGAACACTATTCGGAGGCCCAAAATCTGCTGCCCAGGATGACGGCTCACTTCATCCACTCCTGTTTCCTGAGATCCTTTATCTTCGGCTAGATGCTCCTGGCCAGACCGCTTCTCTGAAGCGCATCGATGCCAGTGAAGGGTACAGCGATGAGTCTGCTGTTGATGACGATTTTGATGAAGAATTGGAACTTCGCCAGGACTTACCTCGTTTCACTCCCGACGAGATCACGATAACTGACTTGTTTTGCCACGGTGCGAACAGTCTCTCCGCTCTCGTACACGCCGGGGGACGGGAAATGTTCTGCAGGGCATGTGGTGTTGGGCTGCGCAACAGCAGGCAAAGTCGAGGGCTTCCACGTATGATCGACATTCTCAATGCCTTCCCGGATCCACACATAATTCAGGTTCCCCAGCTTCTCGGGTATATCCACCATAAAGACACGAATCAGATTCTAGGCTTTGTTCGGGAGTGGATTCCTGGACATGGACTTGATGATTCCGATATCACCCCGGAGAAAGGTCAGAAATGGATAATGCAAATTCCTGAGACTATCGAGCGTCTTCATTAACATGGAATATTCTGGGGCGATGGGAAGCCCAACAATATTGTTATCGATGGGAAGGATGATGCTTGGTTGATTGACTTTGGGGGCGGAGCGACAAAGGGTTGGGTAGATGCGGAGTTGGCTGAAACAATGGAGGGAGATAAGCAGGCTCTGGAAAGGATTGTCAAATTTTTGCGAGATGGCAAGGCACAGTCGTTATCGTTGCAGTGATATTATGACCAGACCATCGCCAGTTATTAACAAATATTTCCCATCTCAAAAACATGTCATAAGCTCCACAAAAGAAAAAAAAAGCATTAGCAGTAGCCTAGTTTTCTCTTTACCCAAGTCTTGGTATTTTTGACACTGTGGTCCGCGTACCGATTGGGATTGCAGCCACTGTCTCACTCATAACATACTAACTGGTCGGGCGGCTTCATGCAAGGCGGTGCAGTATGTGTTGTCAAACCACCTCTAGTAAAGCCTCGCACGGTGCCCTCACGCCACTCTTCTACCATCTACAATGTTAGTTTTTAAGGTTGGACAGTCTTCCAATGCGGTCTCTTTCATAAGTGGGTATTGCTTTCAAGGGTTTCTCGCGCATTCCAGCCACTTTCTTGCAGGTTATCCGTAGTTCCGGTCCTGTTATACGGCCTGCCGAGCCACGGTCTGTCTCCTGCTGCAAACGTCGGCCATGTCGTGATTCAGCAAAGACCGGCACGGGTTAATGGATTAGAAAAGGTGGTTGTCGGCTACTAGTTGCTTCCATGCAGACTGACTGAGGCTATGGTCAAAGCAACGATAAGCGGTAGAGCAATAGCCACAATGCGTTGTCAGCAGTTTTCCCAATGAGGTTGAAAGGGACGTCACAGTTACAGTGCCATGGCTGCACAGCCCCAAGGCAGTCGAGCCTCGAACCAATACAGGCCGCCATTTCAACCTAGCTGGGATGAGCCTCAGCCTTGATGATTTGGGCATGTATCTGCAGCCAAGGCTGACAGGATCTCGCAGCTGCTTCTTGACATTTTGCTCAATATTCGCTAGACTGGTGTGTAGGATATAAGAGGACTTGTCGATCCACCAATGCTGTTTCTTCATCTTTCCTCTCCAAGGCCTAATCGAACGTGAGAAAGTCTCGCTAAGTTTCTATCTGTAGTCACCAATGAGACATCTCTACCCTGGAGTGATATTGCTTACAGGTTGCGAAACATCTCGTAATGACCGAAGGTTCTCACGAGAATATGTTGCGGAGGGCTCAGGTTTGCAGGACCTGTACTAGGAGCGATGAACTTTTTGTCGACCAGTCAAGTCCACGAAAGCCGTATCTTTCTTTCACGATAGGGCCGTATCCATTGGGTCGGCTCATCATCAAAATATGGTCTCACGACCAAGGTTCGAACACTATTACCTTCGCATGGATTCTCATTACTGACAATTAGTAGGCCAGTGCGACATCCAGTACGAAGCCGATCAACCATATGCGAACTCGCATACATGGTTTGCCCTCGGCCTCCTTCCGAAAAGTCCCGATTGCTTGAGCCCTCCAGAAGAGCCGTATCTATGCGAAATTCAGAGGAACGTTCGTGCGTCCACTGAGACAAAGTGCCACACCCTTGAGTGGAGGCTTAATGCACCATTTGAGGAGGATGAAACCAATGAAAGCGAAGTTCAAGGGTGGCTGGAGTCGATCTCGAGTGGTCCCTGTGTAGAGGTCGGTGTGTTCCCTCTTGCAAGATACCCAGGCTGGGTGAACCACGTGTACCAGGTCAAGGTCGAATTATACGACGATACCAACATGACACTGTTACAAGGAAAGGTTTTGGCCTCCAATCAAGCTGCCTCACCAATGGTTGATAAGGCACATTCAGGTACAGAGTCACCGTACTTCCTCACTAGGCAGAGAGACGGAGCACAAAGAATCTTGGATCAGACGCGCACCAATGATCCAACTACCGGAATGGAATGGACCCAGCTAGCCATAAGCCTGACCGAGCGCTGGGCGAATACATGTTCGATTGAGGCACTATCTGGAGCCATCGACGCTGCCCAGAAGGCCATCAAAGCGATGCTCGGTGATCACCGGAACCTCGCTATTGGCTTGAACAACCTTGGATTCTTGCTTGGCATACGATACTGTGGCACAAAATCAATGGACGACTTAACAAAAGCAATCGAAGTAGGTGAAACGGTGATCAAGGTCACATCTGATGATGACCCAGATCTTATCCAATACTTGCAAACGCTTGCGTCCAGACTACGTAGCCGATACGAACACACAAGAGTCCCTGAGGATCTGACGAGAGCGACCGACGTGTACCGGAAGGCCGTCGAAGTCGCTTCAGATGATCATCCAAAGCTCGCTAGCCTCTTCAATAAACTTGGAAACTGTCTAGGGACCGTATACTGCAGAACGGGGCGCATAAACGACCTAACGGCTGCGATTGAAGTGTTTGACAGAATGGTCGAAGTGGTCCCTCGGCACCCCAAACTCCCTTGTTATTTAAGCAACCTTGGTGTTTGGCTTTGTGCCCGCTTTGAGGCTACTGGTTCTATGGAAGACCTGGAAAGGGCTATCGAAGTGAACCAAAGAGCTGTCGAAATCACACCTGATGCTGATAAAGCAGACCTTGCACTTTTCTTGAGCAACCTGGGAGTTTGTCTAGGCTATCGGTCTGAACGGAAAGGTTCAACGGATGACCTAGATACGGCAATTGAATTATCAGAACGAGCTGTTGCAATAATTCCTGATGATGATGCAAACATCGCTGCTATTCATAACAATTTTGCAAAGGCTCTCCTCCGCACGTCCGACCAAGGCTGTGTGACGAGAGACAGTGTCACAAGAGCCGTGCAGGTTGCTCAAACGGCCGTCGAAGTAAATGGCGACAAGCAATTGTATCTTCCTCTGTATTTGTGCACTCTCGGTGAAACGCTTAGACAGCGGTATGAGGCGACTGGGTCCGTAGATGACCTGACAAGAGCAATCGAAGCAATCCAGAAATCAGTTGAAGCCACACCTACTGGCCATGCAGAACTTCCCATATATCTCGGCAATCTTGCCAGTTCTTTGGCTAAACGACACGAGGTTTTCGGGTTAGCGGATGACCTTTCCAGAGGCCTGGAGGCTGCTGAGAAGTGCGTTGAAGCAACACCTCGTGATCATATATCCTTTGCAGGAAGGCTGACCCAGCTTGGTACCCACCTACGTAAACTTTATGAGCGCACAGGGGAAATGGATGATCTAACGAGAGCAATTAGCCTGTCTCAGCAAGCCGTTGAGATGTCTGATCCTTTTGGCCTCGCCTTGTGTCTAAGTAATCTCGGCGATTTACTAAGCGACCGGTATGATCGGACAAGGTTGCTAGATGATCTAGACCGCGCTACTCAAGCGGCCCGAAAGGCTGTTGAAGCGGCACGAGATGACAGGCATCTTGCCGGTTATTTGATGACTCTTGGGAGAAGGATGACTGACCGATACGACCGAACAAGAGCGATGGACGACCTGACGAGAGCAATTCAAGCGGCTGAGAAAGCCCTAGAAGTAATGCGTCATGATCATATAAGCCGCGCTGCATATTTCAAGAGACTTGGATTCATGCGAGGTCGCCGGTATGTACGGACACAAGCAAAAACAGACCAGGATGCTCAGCTCTCAGCGTATGTTCAAGGTTGGAGTTGTTTAACGTCTTCGCCATATGATCGCATCGCCGCAGCTGTGTGCGCTGCCGATATCGATGAAATGAGGGCAGACTGGGACAAGTCATACAGCTTGTTGCGGGAGGCAGTCCTCCTCTTGCCGAAGCTCAGCCCACGGTCTCTGAGACAGTCTGACATGCAGAACAAGCTCAGTCCCACTCTTGGCTTGGCTACATATGCCGCTACGACAGCTATCAATGCTGGAAAGCCCGTGGCAGAGGCTTTATCCATTATCGAACTCGGCCGTGGAGTCATCGCTGGTCTCCTCATAGATACCCGTGGCGATCTTTCAGGTCTAAGGGGGCCACACCCATCACTAGCTCAAAGATTTGACGAACTTCGAAAAGAGCTGGACTCTCCCTCGCAAGATAGCGGTTCGACGCGACAACACTGGGCTAGTCGTGAGTTCGATGAAGTCATCGAACAGATCCGCGCCCAGGACGGATTTCGCAACTTTCTTCAACCACCCTCAGCTGAGACTCTTATGGCAGCAGCTGAGTCAGGCCCAATTATTGTAATCAATCTCTGTAACTACAGATGCGATGCGATTCTTGTAGAGCGGCACGAGGTCCGGCTCTTGGAACTCCCTGGCTTAAAGGTCCAAGACATCGAGAAGCATGTCGAAAACATCAGCGTTTCCAAACATCAACCTTGGCAACTCCTTGAATGGCTCTGGACCACTATTTGCCAGCCTTGTCTCGACGCACTGGGGTTCACAGAACCCGTGGGTAAGGGCGATAGTGAGTGGCCGCATGTCTGGTGGGTTCCTACAGGTCTTCTAAGCCAGCTACCTCTTCATGCTGCGGGTATCTACACCCCAGGGTCCAAGGAGACGGTTCTTGATAGAGTGGTGTCATCATATGCCGCGTCCATCAAGGCGTTGCAACATGGGCGTCAGAGACGAGTGGGAATGATGCATGAGCACGGACAACAGAGCGACGCGATTCTCGTCGCCATGGAACAAACTCAAGGGCAAATGTCGCTTCCAAACGCGAGGACAGAGACCGATAAAGTCGAAGCCCTATGTCCATTACTCAACTTGAACGCCTCAACACCTCCTCGGCGTAAAGCTGATATCCTGGAACATATCAAAAGATGCAAGATTCTTCATTTTGCAGGACATGGAGAGTCCAGGAGAGATCCTTCTCAAAGCTGCCTTCTCTTGGAGGACTGGAAAACAGATCCCTTGACCGTCGACGACCTTCGTGAGAGCTGGCTCCAGGAAAAACAAGCCTTCCTCGCCTACTTATCAGCCTGCTCCACTGGAAGCAACCAAGGAAAGGGTCTTGCAGATGAGGCGATCCACCTCGTCAGTGCCTTTCAGCTAGCTGGCTTCCGGCATGTTGTTGGGACTCTATGGGAAGTATCGGACCCACATTGTGTCGATGTGGCCACCGTGCTATACCAGACTCTATGTGACGAAGGCATGACGGACGAAGCTGTCAGCCTCGGTCTCCATCGGGCAGTCCGGAAGCTACGTGATGATTGTTTCCTGGAGGGACGTAATAGGGATATTGTTCTCGTAGGAGAAGACGAAGAGCAAACCCCGGGATCGAGTGTCAACACGTTTTGGATCCCATACATTCATTTTGGTGCCTAGATCGATGGATAGACAATTCACAACGAATTCACACTTTCTCTAAACAACTATAACTCCAATGGCTACATGCCGACATTTGACGGCAATATAGAACGTTCCGTATTGCTAGTCGATCATTCTTTCCTTAAATCTTGCTGATTGGTGAGGAATGAAAGCGGTACTTTCCACAACAACATCGTGGAGATGTATGCTCACATTCACACACAAGAAAGTGCCGCAGGCCCAAGTGATTTCTGAGCTCTTATTGATATTAAGGTGTTCTTTTAGATGGGAAAACGCGATTTATGAAGTATTACGTGTAATTCAAACAATTAATATTTGGGTCTACGTTCCAATGTAATTGTTAATTCTACATCACAGAAACTACACAATGGGCTTAGGGTAACAGTTCTGATTAAAAGTAAGGGCAGTGGGTTTATTAGCTAAGTTTTTGAAAGTCACGCCTCTCAACGCGACGCCTCTCAGGGTCTATTAGCATCTTGTTGGATGTTAGTGCATTAGCTACTGCAAATTGTATACAGACTAGGATTGCGACAACCGTTTTCAACAACCCTATTCGGACAAAAAAAAGCTATAATGGAGAGTTTTATTAGTTAAGATAAAATTACCATAGAGGCCATATAATTTCCAACCTCAATGCATCACGATATATCTATGCATAAGTCCTGGATAGTCGCATCCTTATAAGACAAAACAGGTGACAAAAACGCGTCTTTGCAGCCGAAAAGGTTACGCCTCAATCGCCTTGCCGATGCAACTGCTACGTGTCATCCTTTCTTGAAATACTACGATACTTCTATCTTTACGTTTCGAACCATACGGTTTACTTTTTTGTATCTGATACTATGGAATCTGGATATCGATATCTTAGGATTCCGAACATGTCGAGAAGTGTCAGAACCTGAACCTGTTTCGCTTACTGACTGAGATTTGTGGGGTCTGCAGAATTCGCGTGATTTATTTACCCCGCATAACTTCACAGTTCGTGCCTAATAAGCAAAGATCAGAATACTGCCAACTACCAAAACCACAACATAAGCTCAATTTGACTCCTATCTCACATGCAGTCCATCAACAAAGCCATTGAATACTGGCTCTGTTACGCACGAACCATTTTGCCATGGGAGATCCGTTGAGCGTTGCCTCAGGAGTGATTGCTATTGTCACAGCAACTTTGCAATCTAGCAAACTACTTTACGAAACGATCCAAAGTTTCCGAAATCACCAAACTGCAGTTTCTGATCTTGTTCGTGAGCTTAAAGCTCTTGAGTCAGTTCTTCGGTCGCTTCAGGATCATGTACGCACCGATGACAGAGCGTTTTTACCACTCAAATTTCCCCTCATGCAATGCCGACAAGCATGCGCAGATTTCCAGACCCTCGTCGAGCAGAACAGCAGGCGCTCTCGGGACAAGGCAAGAACAAGCTTTAGAGATTGGGCCAAGTTGATGTACATGAACGGAGATATAGTCTCCTTCAAAGAGCTTTTGGCTGGTTACAAAGCTACTATCACCATAGCGCTAGCTGATGCCAACCTGTTAGTTACTTATCCTCACTGCTAATCTTTCTAACTCGTTTATAGGCGTTCTTCCAAAGTTACTCTTGAGGTACTCAATGACTATAAGGACCTAATATGTGACACAAAGCTTGATTTGGAAAAGCATCTCAAGGACATTGACACGAAATTGCACGATATAATGACTCGAAGCACAACGACCGAGACTGATGAGGTCCGGACCAATTTACAAAGATTCGAGAACGAGAAAGAAAGTACTGAACGGTGTCTTGCTTATTTGAGGCATGTCCTGGAAGAGATTAACGGGATGCATTTCCAAACTGTTCCCGCGGAGAATACTTCGCATGCCGCTGCATCATCTATCTCTACTCAGAACGTGACACTGGCTGATTCCCTAACAATTTCCACTCTCAAAACATGCAGCGTCAATCTCTCGAACACCATTGACCGGCTTGAATCACACCGTGAAGATACCGAAGAAAACCTCCGGCTTAGGTCTTCGTTGCAGACTCAAAATTCAGAGATTAATCCCGAAGTGAACCGTGAGATGCTTCAGAATGAGTTGGAAAGCACAAGGCAATGCTTAGGCGTCTGCGACCGGGCATCGGAATGGGCATCGTCAGGCAGGGTCCACATCGTGGAAGACATCCGCGTCGGGAATGACGGAAAACAGATATGCGTGTCTACTTTGGGAGATCTATTCAATATCAAGGGAGCTAGGGCCGGAAACAGAGGCTTTCAGTTTTTCGGGTCCGTTTCAGAGAGGAGTCTTAACGATATTTTAAGATCCCAAAATCAGCAGCAATATGCACGGAACGAAACCACCGTAGACGAGATCTGCGTGAGCGGACAAGACACGCGCTCAATAACATAGCCAATTTGTATCATCTCCTTCCATCGCTCATTGCCCTTATTTCTGACGAGTTCCATTAAGAGAATGCCCTGCTCCATGGGTTGCTGCAAAGCGTGATGCCCCAGAATATCCAGATGCCTGTCGAGTTGTAATAACTTGGCGCTGATTCAAGATTTTAGTCAATTCCTGAACTGAGCTGTCTTCCCAAGAGCCGATGACTTGATAAGAGTTGTCTGCAGCCCCGACGTCTTTTGCGTCATAGAGATGGTCTTTTGTCGATACCAAGAGCTGCACGCTGTTCTCTCCGACCTTTATCCCTTCCAAACGATGTGTTGGGCGGCTGGTGGATTCCTCTACATCTTGAAGTGGAGTATTTGTATCTGCTTCCACAGGAGGAGACATTTTGTGGTATTGAATTGTGAAATAGTGATGTGATGAGCTTGATAAAAGAAGTGATAGTGTATGAGGGAAATTTGGGAAAACTACCCCGCTAAGAACGGTTTAGCGAATGGGGCACGTATTCTCTCGGCTGACAAGGTTTCCTGTCAGATCAAAGGTTTATAGTGGAGAAAGACTTTAAAGATACTGGGTCGATAGGACAAGATGCAAATTAAATAAACTTTGAAAAGGGTAACAGAAATTAATAAGATAATCTTAGTATTATACTGCTATCTAGGTTGGTGTATTTATGTAATTCTTAATTCTGTCTTAGAAACTGCACTATGAGATCAAGGTAATTGTCCTGATAGAAAGTAAATGCCGTGCGTTAATTAGCTTTCCCTTGAGTATCAGTGTGATTACTGCTGCAAGTTGTACATAGGCTGTAGTTACGTCAACTATCTTTAACAATCTCATTCGGCCGAACAACAATACAGGAGCGTCGTGGTTAGTCATGAGTATAGTAGATGCACGACGATTGACATTCAAATCAGTCCAGGGCGAATGGTTTAGTGGTATAATACTCCCTTAGCATGTTCTCTCTGAGATCAGATTTGGGAGTGGTCCAGGGTTCGATTCCCTGTTCGTCCAACTTAGGTGGTTGAAACCCACTATTATACAATCTTTTTGCTTTTGCTTCACACACTATACTAGCGTGACAGTTCCCTCTCCAGCTCTCTCCAGCACATCAGACCCCATTTCTGGATCCTCGTAGGATTTCCAAACAACACCAATGCCCAGTCTTCCATGTTCCTTCTTGTCACCAGATAAGATGAGAACGAAATATTCTTTATCTCCGTCCATTTGAAGGACAAAAAGACATGTGATATCCATCATCTCAAGGTCATCAGGAAGGCGAGTATCTAGAAATGCCTCGCCTAGAATGTCGCTGCTGTTTGGCTCAGCAACTATGTAATGTCGAGACTCCTGTGTGACGGAACGCTGGCCCAGAGTTGCGCGAAGAATCTTGCCCTTGACCGTCAAGCTGATGTTCGAGGCTCGGTTAACCTCAATCAATTCTATCATTGGCGTCGTAGGAGTTTTGTAATCCAATCCTTTGATGGGCCCTTTCACGGAAAGCCAGGACCACGAAGGCGCATTTGAGCTTTGTCGAATAATGCCTCTTTTGGTAGCTTCCCAAGTCAGTCCAGCTGCCAAATCCTCTTGCCATAGACCGGCTAAGTACGTATACCCAGTTTGCTTTTGAAACATATCGACCAACCCAGCAATCGCATTCTGCTTATCACTCTCGTAGGTCAAATCGCGTTTCGAGTAGTTGGTGATGAGACGATACCAATTCCTGAGATAGTTCTTACCATCCTCGCCCGGTCCCTCGTGTGTCAAAGCAGGCCACTGCGGAAGTCCATTGTCGATATATCTGGGACCGTCAATTAACCCGTCTTCAGTGGCGTAACGACTGGGACATTTCCAAAGCCATTGCTCTTGACCGAAACAGACGAGTCGTGATGGGAGAACGGCTTCTTGTAATGTCCAACTGCGGGTGTTGAGAGGCTCGGACGATGCATCAATGGTGAGATGTGACTCGAAACGAATGTAGGTGAGCTCTCCATGTATATCGACCGTCCTGGCTCCTGTGAATGGCGTATGGAGGCCCCCATCAGGCGAGGACGATGATGTTGCTGCAAAGGTAATGTGGGCATTTGAGTAAACCGAGCCCATTTTGGCAGATTCAATTTGCCAATCCTCATGGGAGTCTTGGATAATGCAGAGTGAGTCGATCCAGATATATCGAATGCCAAGATGTAGTGTGGTAAGGATGGCCTCGCGATGAGTAAGTGGCAGAGAAAAGAATGGAATGCCTGATTTATGATCCTCCCAAGTCGCATGTGTCGTCATGAAATTCTGCTTACTATCACTGCCCCAGCAATAGCTCAGCGTAGTGTAGGTACCGACTTCATCTTTATTGGTTTCCCTTAATCTGACGACAATATCATCTCCAGACATGGGTAGATCTAAACTGCCTGTCAAGTCCAGCACTCGATTTGGAAGGGGCAACGATCGGGTGTCTGGTAAACACGCTTTGCAAATTTCATGGTCGTCACACTCGCTCATCCAATTCTTAATCAAATCTTGCCGTTGGCGAGGTTTAGATTCATCCAACTCATCAGGATGGATCCAAAATCGGCGGGAAGCGAGGTCGCCTATCACCTATTAGTTGTTTTCTTACAGGTTGAAAGAAACCTTACCCAGGCGATTGGGTGTCGTGATTGTCAACGCCGCACCACAATTCCGATAAAGGTCCCTATCCCCAACCCAGCACAATGCTCGAGTGGACTTCTCATGTTGGATCAGCTCGACAGTAAGAGGACATGAAGTACTATTCTCATCTCGCAAAGCAAGATCTTCCTCTTCATAAAGGGCGACAAGACTAGGAGAGCCACTTTTAATGCTCATATTGAGCCATTTGCAGCAGATGCAAGTATCGCTCCAATTAACCAGTTGCTGTAAGTTCGGATGATGCTGTACGAGAGAGGGTGCATTTGGGTGTAAGACAAGTTGGCAATATTTGCAGATTCCGTCTGAGGTTGTGGAGGTGAAACCCCAATCTTCTGGTAAGGCGGGGTCCACTTTGTCGGGTTCGGGACGGATATCTTGGATGTCGCTTCCTCGAAGGCCGAACTTGAAGATCTCTTCGATAGGCTTCGTGGTGTAGACTAACAGGAAGTCCGACTTGGATCGGGGTAAGTCAGAAGCAATGTGGCTTTGTATGAGATCAAGTTTGCGACGATCAACTCTGGCAACTATGTGTACATCTGGTTTTTCTTCCATGGCCATGATTGTGATCTAGTGTTATCTCAAGCCGTTTGGTACGACATAAAGAAGCTATCGACTTGCGTGCAAGATGAATGGTAACATTGAGGGGCGTCAGCAATATGGAACAAGCTTATATCTGCACGTGATAAGTGAGTGGCAGGGATCAAGCAAAGTGTAAAAAGTCTCATGCATATCCCCACTCTAGATCGGGACCCATCGCTCTGGATCTAATCGTGAATGATAGCGCAGTTACCTATTTGTGTAAGGAGTGCGACATTAAGCAATTTATATCTGATGCCATAAAATGAAATAATTACTTCCTACTACGCACGCTAGGCAGTGGATAGACGTGCTTACCCAAGAGAATCATGTTCTTGTTCCACACCTCTCATCGCCTCATTGGAAATACCCTCGCAGGATATGGCCCCATCTGGAGTTGCGCGTTGCTACCCTGCAGCGTTCAGAATGGCTATTTTAAGCTAGTGCTTAGTTCTAGCAGGTGTCATACCGGACTACTGACTTGAATAGGCTAGGATGAAAAAAGATAAGGTGACTCTCGCCAATAAGCATTGCTACGTATTTCCACGATGCTCCATGTAACCGGGTTCTATCCATGACAATAACAATTTATCTCCCGGTGTTTTCGCGAAGTCTACCATATTTGAGGTATATCATGGGCTGGCGACTACCAGAGGGACGCTACCGGTGGCCTTTGTGTCTCTCTATCATTCTTCTCCTTGAAATTTCCATATCTTGTCACCAGCATGCCCGAGCTCAACGTCCCCGGCGCCATTCTCCACTACGAGACCTTCGGCTCAGACGGTCCTCTTCTGGTTCTTATACCCGGAGCCCAAGGCTGTGGCAGTATCTTCCACTCCGCCGCCAAGTGTCTCGCCGCTCACTTCACCGTTGTGTGCTACGACCGCCGCGGATGCTCGAAAAGCTTTCTTGATGGCAAACAAGACTTCCAACAGCGCCTACAGACTGACGCTGACGATGCTCAACGGCTGATCGTTCACCTTTCTCCCGATGGGACCGCCGCTGTCTTTGGAACGTCGTCCGGCGCCATCGTGGCCCAACAGTTGCTGGCCAGTCATCCCGAGTGTGTGACAAAGCTTATTTCACATGAGCCCCCATCCTTCTCCATTCTTCCAACGGAATTCCAACAGCAGGCCTACGGACTCATCAGCCACATCTATGACACATATCGAGCTCACGGTCCTGGCACGGCAATGGAGGTCTTCTCTTCGAGTCTGTCCGAGGGTCCCGAGGCGAGCATGATGAAAACCGCCATGGACGCAAAGCGCGGCGACGAGGTCCGCGCGAATACTATGTTTTGGTTCGAGTTTGAGTTGAGACAGTATACGAGTGCTCCAGTCGATGTTGAAGGCCTTGTCAAAGCGAAAGAGAAGTTGATCCTCGTCATGGGAGCGGACAGTGGCGAAGGAGCGATGATGGGTGTGATTAAGACCATTGCCGGACGAGTCGGCATAGAGGTTCAGAGCATATCTGGCGGCCATTTGGGTTACATGGTTAAGCCTGAAGAGTGGGCAAAAGACGTAGTAGAGTTACTCAAATAGAGAAGGTTAAGCAATTTATAGGGATTAGGATCCAGACAATCTTCTTTAGTGCCGATACTACTAAACGTCGACTTTTACTACCCATTGGCGCAGTAGCCTACGCAGTGAGCAAAGGCGAAGCTACATACATATTCATGAAACCCTTCTTCAATCTGTCCGGCATCCCGGCAATGCTCCTCATTGCACTTACATCACTCTACCCCAAGCTCTGTGCCAGAGTATCTACGAAGCTTTGTTGGTCCAAGCGTTATCACCACTGAACAAGACGTGAGCGTCGTATGTCCGATGTCTACCTCACCGAGCTTCTGATATGGAGAGACTTCAGACAAGTTGCGCTTGTCCTTGTCGGTGACTTTGAACGGACTGTCAGTAGTCAAGGCAAATGATTTTTCTTCACCATTAAGATTGATGCTTTACATTTGGGATGGATTGGTGATGTGCTGGCCTTCACCGATTTCGGTCGGAGGCTGAATGGGCTCTTCGGGGTCGGCATCTTCTGTTCCTGACCAGAGGGCGAGACCAAGTTGTGCTTTTCCCATGCAGTAGAAGAGGTTGGTGACTTTACCACCAGCAGTTGACTTGTCAATTAGAGCTGTGATGGGAGCCATGGCAATTTGATGGTGAGTTCGCTTGAGGTTGCTATTATCTTTGACTGGGAAGCAGTCTGTTTGAAGGAAGAGCGAGGATCTTGTCGGATTGTTCGAGGTGGGCAGTTCGATAAGCCCTTCATCTTGTCTCTTGCCTCTTCTACACGAATACAGCATACCTTCCCCGCTCATTGCCCTTTCGTCATACTGAATGAGGCATACACACCGGATGCAAGATTCCGAAGAATATTATCACAACATGAGCTGAGCAACCTCTAGAAGACAATGCAATGTGGCTTTCTCGCTTCAGTCATGATCGTCGTGGCTGCAATATTTGTTTGTGACTGTGGTTGTGTTCGTTTCGGCAGATACGTGAGCTATGCTGCGAAAAGTTGATACACGCATCGTGATGAAACGGGTAATACCTCAACGGTGCCTGTATAGGTGGTACAAAAACTATTCAGGATACAGAAGATTGACAAAATAACTTAGACTTTATTAGGCACTAAGCTTAGGGTAGACTATCCTAACTTTATGATACCCTTAGCCAAGTCCTACCTTCTTCTTTGACTGCTATGATACGGAGCCGGGCAAATTGTGGATGCTACAATTCCGCCCCCATTTCTGCAGAGAATCGCATCGGAACATTCCCCGCTTCCGCTTTACCTGGTCAGGACTAGACTCATCTCGCGCGGAATCTTATCACTCCGGCCCGTCTCAAGCCGCCCCTCCTTTATCTTATCTCTTATCTGACCAAGACTGACACGGCGGATCGTATCCAGATTGCAGAGCAACGATCATCTACGTTGTATTACGAATGTCATACTTCACACCCCCATGTTACTCGATTGTTGTAAAATGCAGATCTAGTATCCCACGAATGCTGCAGTACTGCCAAATTCCTTCTCCGCGCCTCGTTAGATGCAATTCTATTCTGCAGAATGCCGTAAGAGTTCAACGTTGCACTCTTGCATTGTGATCATGTAGCTACAACTGCCGAGGACAATGGTCTCGGACGAGGAAGATATTATCTTCTGGGGATGAATCTATTTGCAATAGCTGAGCGGTGTTCCAGCGATGTTGCGGTTATCTTTTTCACTTATCCGATCTGTGTTCGAATTGTCAACTTGAATTTACTTGCCGTCAACCGCCATCCACAATAACCACCATTATTTGATGACCTAAATCATCATTCTCTGTTGTCTTTCGACCTTCATTAAACATTTCACATCTCTTGAAAACAATTAGCAAATACAGGGCTCATCTATACTGAGCTCTAACAAAACATCATGAGGATCTACCCTGGAGGAAAGAGCACGCGCATCGACTCTCCGCGCCATCTCACCCGACGTCACTGCCGACGCGTTATTTCCACCAATCAACTTAGATTCGGACGCGACTTCCCCGAGCCCGCTCTTTTCCTCGCAAATAGCGAACCTGTCGAAGAGGAGATTGATCCACTTCCGCCTGGCGAACAGAAGCTCAATTCATTCTGGGCTCCTGGTATCGAAGCGGGTCCCAAGCACACTATTTCCGTAACTCAAACTGTCACTGCAAATGGTAGAAGGCTGGACTTGGAGGCTGATCAGAGCTTCTATGTTGATGCACCGCAATGCTCTTTGCCTGATGGCAGCGTGCATTCTACGTACCCGCCAGCAGGATATAGCGATGATCATCGCATTTTACCCCATGTCGTCTTGACGGATCCTCATCTCCCTTGGGAGCGGCCGGGGAGCCCGAAAGGTGGGACGAACGCGGAGCTTAAGGCTCAGATGAAGATGCTCGCTTTGAACGCTACTGATAAGGGTGCTGCACCGCGCAACCGTGTCCCTTGGCTTGTCATCTTCTCGTTTTCGCAAGATGAGCTGAGATTACCTCCAGAGCACTTGGATGGTTCGAGCCGCATCTTTCGCAATACCAGCAATGGTGTCATCAAACCTGTCAAACAGTCATCGATCATGACAGTCAACATGAGCATCGCAGACTTATGGAAGCTCAGCTCTGATGTTACAACACCCGTCACGTCAAGACTCGGTCCAGCCTCCGTGGCAGACAGTCGTGGAGACTTCATCTTCGTACAGCCAGACTTGTTCACCAGTCTCTTCTCCACCTTTGACGGAAATGGCAATCGGGTCAGAGGCACTGGACCGAATACTTCGCAGTATCAGTACCTTGCGCATGTCCGTAAGATCAATGGTTCTGGGATGGCTCTTGCTGGTTTCGAAGATACAGCTGTCTTTAGTATCGTCGTGGGTAATAGGTCAGGACCTCTTGACAATACCATTCCCACTACCATGTGTGCACACCTTGTCTCAATTGAGGGTGTTGAGGCGATGAGCTATCCGACCTCGGCATATAAATATGTGGCTCTTTGTTCGCTGTACAGCTGGAACTACACGGTACTCCCACCGAACACACTCAACGTCTCAGATGCCTTTGAGAGTTTAGGTCGCACTCTAAACGTGTTGCGAGCACCGGAAGAAGTCATCACGCCTTTGCAAGATTCAAAGGACAAGATCCAGCAACTCGTCGGACGTCGCCTCAATGATGGATACACCTTGGTCAAATACCGAACTCAAACAGGTGAGGCCACTGTGGCGCTGTATCGTGGTCCATTCACGCCTACATAAGTCCCCAACTTGGAACGTTTGACCAAGTGCTCGACATCAGGCTTGGATTTACAAGTCCTTGACAAGTAACTCGGCATCATGGACGTTACGTACTCCGTCGCATGGCAAGTCGGTCGAACAATGGCTCTTGGCGATCAAGCATTCGTAGCTGCTCCAGGCCGTGTTGAGACGTCCGAGATCAAGGTCGATATCAGACGACAGTACACTGTTGACCAGGGTATCCGCGAAACTGACGGGGATAGACACAAGGCTTTGAAGCAAGTTACGTACACCCCATTAACAGCCGAGAACGTGTTTATCTGGAACTCTCAACCCAATCAGAATATCGGTGACTTGCGTATCCTCCGTTTGCCAGCATTTACTGATCTTCAATTGAAGACTCTGCGGGACATGATGGGGAAACAACATGGAACTGGAGTGTCTTACTTTGACGACAACACGTCTACATCAGCTCTGTTCGCTATGCAGTTGAACGATCCAATTTACAACCTGACCATCAACGTTGCTGGTTCAAGGCTCACAGAAGCCCTGGCTAGTCTGGCACCACCTGATGTCGGAGATGGAAGCCCGGGGCTGAGAACCATGAATATGCTACAGGCAGTGCGAGTGAAGAAGCTGTCTGCCTCTGGTGAGGAGGTAGCCGCGACAGCTTTCGGAGACGATTCAGAACCGAATGACGAAAGCGACATTGGGAACTACGAAGGGTGGGACTACTCGAGGCCGGAGGGCTACGCGCCTTCACCCGATGGAGTCTCCAGTCACCTGGCTCCTCATGTCAGAGCCATGCCACTTCATCAAGGTCCAACGACCGAGGACCCAGTGCTTTTCTCCAGCGTGACCTCCAGATCCAACGCCGGAACCCTGTCAGTCAACAAACCACCAAGATCAGAGCCAGTCTCAGCACCAAAATTCCTCATGCGCGTCAGCAGTAACTCAACCGAAACTCACGATCAAGTCATACTTGACAGAACAAACCTCCCTCAAGACCTCATCTTCTCTATCGTCATAAAGCAGAGTGAGATTAGTCGGTATCTGCTCATGGAACTGACGATCGACGTCGCCCTTGGCTCGAACAACCCCGAATACTTCTTGATGTCCAACTACACTGGTCCAGGAGCACACATGCTGACAAACCTACGCCTCAACGTCGTTTCCATAACATGGTATGATCAAAGCCATGATCAGTATTTTCTGCGTGTTCGTCTGCTTCCTAGAGCTGAGAAAGGATGGGTTATAGCAACGGCTATTAATGAGTTGAGTTTCCTTTTGGGGTTGGCCAGTATTAATGCTCCGACCGGCGGATTTGGAATGTCGACTGCAAGTGTTCAGACTCGGGCGAGGTATTGTAGGAATCCGGCTCTGAATATCAATGACGTTAACACCATGATTGTCGAGAATCCGCCGGTGGAGGTACAGGTGGTAATGCATTGATGGGAGCTATGGATACTGTTTTATTGTTAGGCTATAAAATTGTAATTTCTATTATCATATTCAGAAAATGAAGTTAGCTTCTATTCAACTGTCCTGTATAATACCTGGAATGGCATGATGTGACTCCTTGTTATTCTAAATATTGAGGACATTCATTCACAGTTTGTGCACCATATCGAAGATGTTTTCGTGCCGCGCCACCTTGCATGCGAGTGAACGATATAAGAACATTTTTTGAAGATGCATTTGAAGCTAAGGATCGTTGTGTAATATTCAAGAAGGCTCCACTTCGATTTGCCGCGTATAGACCTCGGGATTTCGGATTGTATACGAAGAGGAAGTAACAGCAATTGGTGGATATGACCTTTGAAACACTCCACAACAAATACTCGGATTCTCCCACCGAGGCCTCTACCGGTAATTCTATGAAGTTACAGCAGCAATGCACTGTCCTTAGCGCGATCGTATAATTGTTCTCCTTGTGTTACATAACAGCTGTTTCGAAATACTAGTATACTTTTAACAACTGGCCGTATAGCGGCTAGAACGGCTGCATCCATGTCGGGAAACATAACTCCATTTCCCAGCACACCACATCAGCCCATTTGAAACAGGGGATAATAAGGGCCAATGGTAGTGGTGACTGCCGCTCACTTCCATTTCCATCGCCGGAACCAGTTGTTTCTAGTTCGCCTATTCTGGCCCAGCCTCATGGTTGAGCCAAGGCTATTTCGGAGAATATCTCCATTTGCCATTGAATAATTTGACGGACAGACTGTGGAGCCTGTGATGTGTCCGCCAATCGTGGCGGATGTTTTCTTGTATCTAATGATGTTTCGCATTGATATAAAGATGCTGAACAACCCAGACGAATAGTCACTGTTCAATCTTGTTCAACCAGTAAATCATCAACCCTCAAAATGCCTTCTTCCAGCCAGATCTTCTCCGTCCTCGCGGCTATCGCCGTTGCCTCCGTCAACGCCGCCATGGGCCCTTCCTTTAGCACTGGCCCTGTTGGCTCTGGCTCATGGATCCGTGAGGCCACCTCGACTCTCATCCTCCCCGATATTCCCCAAGGATCTACCGGTGTTGCCTCTCTCTGGGTTGGAATGGGCACTGACAAGGGCGACTTGATTCAATCTATTGCCGATAACTGGGACTCAAACGAGTGGAGCATTTTTGCCTACACTCTCACCAAGACTGGAGAGAACTCTCAGCTACCTGTTCAGGATGAGGACCCTACTCCCGCCAAGAAGGGTGACCGCATTACCATGCACTGTACGAAGCCTTCTAGATATGGATACACGTGATGAAACTGACCGCATATTACAGACAAGTATGACGACTCTACCCAGGAGTACGTCCAGTACGTCTCCATCAACGGAAAGCAGGTCTCTACACTCTCCACCTCCAAGGACCACAAAGCTATGGGCTTCGGCAGCTCCGTCGAGTGTGGTGCCGAGGACTGTGGTACCATCGGTGCTCACCGTAAGTCGCACACAGCAACTAATAAACGACAATATACTGACAGATACCAAAGAGTGGGTTGACACTAAGATCACCCTTGACACTGCCGACTCCGACTACATCAACACCTTCGGAAAGGGTGAGGGCGTTTCTGGCGAGATGGCCACTGAGGATGGTGGAAAGACCTGGGTTATCAGCGACGTTGATATCCCCTCTTACACCTTTTAAGCGGTATTGTTGTTTTGTACATACATAAATACTTGTATATATCCTCGTAGTTTGTCATACCGAGACGTGTAAGCAGTGTAGTAGACGTATATTTTTTACTATGAAGATAGCCAAAGTGTTGGTTAAAAATAGTCAGAGAATAAAACTGTCCCATAAGAAGAGGGACAGTGTAGTCTAAGCCTTAGAAAATGAATCTTGGAAAAAAGAAACCCCACTCCCACTACCCTAAGTTCCTGAAAGGAACATCAATGAATCCCTGACGAAGTAAACAGTTGGGTCATGCCAGGCACCAAATCTTCTCTCCAGCACTAACCGGAGATGCAGTGGAATGCACCCTTGCAAAACGGACCTAAAGGAGTCAACAAAGGATCGGTCAACATGCAGAGCAGTAAACTTACGGCAATTTTCAATACAGGTAGCTGCCCCATTCCCAAGCGGAGCACAGCCAGTGGTACAGCTTGCAAGGCAAAGGGAACGACCTTTGTGATCGCAGCATGCATCACTGTTGCGGAATGACCAGATGTGGTCATTGAGGAAACTCGGGACAGTCGCCGCATCACCCCAGTTGTTCCAACTGGATCCTGTGCAGTCACGTTCCCTGTGATCAAGATATTAGTACAATAACCATTTTCTACCGAAGGTAAATAAAAACATTCTTACCTAAAGAAAGTGGTGCATCCATTTAGGCCTTTGACAGAGCTTGCTTGGTCGCCTTTACCATTCAAATTCCCTGTAATAATGTTAATTACCAATGATAACGTGGATATGGGAATGAGCATAGCATACAGCAAGCGCCATCGTCCCCACGTGTCTCTCTATGAGACCCGCCTTTGAAGTTGGCGTCGTTGTACAAGGTGAAGTCTCGAGCTGATACAAGAGACGCAAGCAGGGTAGCGGTAAGCAAAGTGAACTGCATGGTTGAGGTGGTGGGCTTTTGTTAAAGCGACGAGTTGGTTGTGTTGAAAGATGGTAAGTGTTTGAGAGTTGTGAGAAGTATGAAAAGCGGCGATGAGAGAGTCTTTATATACCTGTGCAGCGAATTGGAAACTACTCTTCTGGAATAGTATAATAGAAACAAGCGGCTGACAACTCAGGCTTACTGATAATGCTGTGCTGTAAATCCCAGGTGGTGAATGGACCGCCTGTTGAAGTGGAACCGCTTGAAAGGCCAAGTCGAATCCTACGGATATGCCTGTTTAGGCAGGTTGTGATAGAGTGGTTCGGTCTTACGTCTAGATAGACAGCCTTGTCTGACTGGATCGTGAAGGATCGTATACCATCAAACGACTTGTCTGGTAGATTCAGGTCTCTCATGTACAGGCCGCAGGGATACCAGAGGGCCAGACTGGTCTAGAATCCACATACTGCGCTATTGATCTCAGAGGAGCGAGCCATTATGCGGATTTGACCTGTGCGCGTTAAGAGACGTGAATTTCAAGAGACCTAGCAGAGTAGCGAGTACTGGTACTAATCGGTCGCCACATAGACATCCCATTCAAACTGGCGCTGCTGTTCCAAGGTGTCAAGACATAACTATAAGTGCAAGTATTAGACCCTCAGTGCTTGTGGTCTGTAGTAGTGGTATGGACTAGGATCCAATACCAGATTTTAGGGGACTGTGCGGTGAGGCAGATTCCTTTTCACGGTAGAGCTTTTTGCAGTTAGAAAAAGAAAACTCAGTGCTCGCTTTGTAACTAGGTTAGGGAAGGTCATTGCCTTCGCCCATGTAAATAACCTGTAAGTGGCTCATCTAGCATTCCTTACAACTACCCAATTACCGATTTTTTTCTTTTCAACAATGGCGATTGGAACGGGTAAATATGGCTGATCTTATAAAGTGCCCAGTCATTTCAAGGGTTGCCATCCTGAGCCGCACTAAAGCTAAATACAGGTACCCTAGTAATGTCCCAGCGAATCAGCTTTTACCGAGACCGACAGTCCCGTCGGGCCAAATAATAATTACTAATTCTATACATCAATAATTATCGTGAAAGTACTAGAATACCTAGGTGAGATAAATTGCAATCTCTTCTAAAAATTAATATTGAACGCGCATTGTCAGATGTACTAACAACAGCCCACAATCACATACTCGACTTGGACCCAACACTGTTGTTCTTACCAATCTTGAAAATTTGTCTTATTTCGCGGCCCTTACAGTAGAATGCAAGTGAACGCAACCTTTTACTCATATTAGTGACTGGTTGTGTCCCTGGGCTAAGTACCTCTCGGCTAATTACGCTATGCGGCCTGAAAACTCCAACCCTGCAAACTGAGAAGGAACGTGATGGAACATTATGTCACGAGGGATGCTGAATATTACAGGACATTGAATGTAGGGTATATGGACTTTGTTAGCCTCGTGGACTCTATTGTCATACGTAAATGGTCAGGGTAAGGAAAGTTGTGGATAATCTAGTTTAGACTTCAAAGTGCTGCTTTTTTACGCTTCCGAAGATACACGCACCGCGCACCCACCAGATTGACCCAAGTAGAGGTAGCTTCACATAAACCTTGAAACAAACCTTGCTGCACAGACATTTTCTGCCAGTTATAAAAAAAAACACGACATTCGCCCCAGATCCATTTCTTTTCTTCTTTATCACTGTCGACCAACTACCTGTACCTCGACCGCACCGAACCTTTCAATACCACCACTAAGCAACAACCTACCATGGCGCTGTCTTTTCATAAATTCCCCGACTTACCTACCGAACTGCGACTGCAAATCTGAGAAGCGGCATGTTGCCATATTGTGGCGACATATACTTATGGCGGCCTACAATACATCAGTGCCCGGTACCAAGATGGGGTCGTCCAGGCGTTCAGCGGCTGGTCTCTGTCTGCGGGACAGTCCACAAGTAGGAGAAAGAACAGATCCGCCTACTTATATGACAGCGGCCTTTGGAAAGCGTGCAAGGAGTCCAAGAAGATCATCTCGCAACACACAGCCTCTTGCAAATGCTTAAAAATACAAGAGGCAGGCGTGGATAGGGTATGGAAGGGCACGCAGGTAATTGCAACGATCGACGTAACTAGCGACATGGAGACAGTAAGGCGGTATCATCAGCAGGGCGGATACCGGCCTATCCCTGAGCTCCTCCGTTCCCCGGAAGGTGGGAAACAATGTCCTATGCTTGCCTACTCATACAACGACATCTTTTGCATTCAGGTGGATGATTGGATGCCTTTGAGAAACATAGTGGGGAATTTTCCGATGATACAAATGCCATTTCGAAGTTGGGGCCAAGACGGGAGGGAATATCCGGTCAGGAACTGGTTAAAAAACATCGCACTTGAGTACGAACCTAGTTGGGTTACAGACCTTCCGCATCCTCTGTTTAATCTTGCATACGAGAATTCTGCGCGGGGGTACCTCGCATATTGTCTCAATTCAAGATTGGCCTGCTCAGTGAGATTTCGGCGAGAGACCTCGTTCTGGATCATTGATAAGGCGGCTAAGTGGTTTGCAAGTCCTCCTCCACCCTACAGAAAGCAATCTATTTATTGGGACTGCGATGCGGAGTATGTTGAGGCAGACTGGGACTACGTCGCTCATCGAAACAGGGTATCGGACGATGAAGCTGACGATGCAGCCGGGTTTATTCACAGGCTCGATCGGTTCTGTTGTCAGGCGCGGGACCTTTATCCCTGGCATAGGAAGTATGTGCCGTACGGCCCTCGAGAACCCACGCCTTGGATTTATCGTGGCGATAACCCATCATCGCTCAAGCAGATTGTTAGGCTTCTTGTCCGTCGGGATAACCAAGTCAACCCTGTCACAAAGGAATGCAAAGCGGAGTGCCATACGAAAGGGTGGTGCATTTGCAGCGGTGCGGAGGGAGAGTAGCGGGAAGAAAAGTGTTTAGATAAAATCATAATCTGTTACGTATGGTTCAGGTATTCTAGCGATCGAGAAAGGCGGGATAAACTTAGTTGCGGGGTCCCTCGAGTCGACAACAGTCATAGCTCGACTCATCGGGAATCGGACCAGCATGTTCTTCCCTGGCCCTAGGTCGGTTTCAACTGTCATGATATTTGCTTAGTAAAAGAATTCATTTGAATCAATGCAGCAAAGCCACTACGTAATACGGTAGACGGTAAAACAAACACTGAATTTGAAGGCTATCAAGCAATAGCTTAACCCTAATCAGACAACCTCCTTGGTAGTCTCATTCGCCCCATGAGTGATATTTCCCAATTTCCTCTGCTTCCGCCACTCCTCCGCATAGCTAACACCAAAGCCGTGCTCAAATACAACACGGACCTCCTCCAAGGTCATTGCAGCAGCCTCAGGGTAACAGAAGTAGACAAAAACAAGCCCAATGAAGGAAAGAGCGGCATAAAACCCAAAGGTTCCTGAAGGCGAGATTCCTCGCATCATAGACAGGAAGGTAGACGAAACGATAATATTGGGACCCCAGTTGCAGATATTGATCATCATAGTACCCATAGCACGGACTTCCATTGGAAGAAACTCGTTTGCTTGCCATGGCACACATCCCAGACCGGCAGCGTAACTGGCGACAAAGAGGATCATGGAAACCAGGACGACAATAGCTGGCCACCCAATCTTATCGTCGGTGAGTTCCAGAGTGTTTCGGTCGATTGAAATCTTTGTAAACACAGCAGCTGCCAGTACCAAAAATACAGGCATTCCCCACATTGTCCAGAGTAAGAGTCTGCGACGACCAACTCTATCGATAAGGAAGACGGATAGGAAAGTAAAGATCCAGTTTGTAGCGGTGACAATGGTTCCAACGGCAATGGGATTGTTGAAGCCGACGATCTGGAAGAGAGTGCTGGAGTAGTACATCATGGTGTTGAAACCGCAGAGCTGCTGAGTAGCCATGAGACCACAAGCGACAATGGCTGCTCGACGGTTCGCAGGGACCGTAACAAGACTCTTGAGAGATTGTCGGACTGAAACCTCCTCATTAAGAGCCTTTGCTTGAGTGACGCCAAGTTGGATATGGGCCATCATCTGGTGAACCTGAGTCTCGTTGGCGGTGGGATACATGCGTCGGAGAACATGAAGACATTCGTCAGTTCGGTTGTGGAAAACCAACTGCCGTGGTGATTCTGGGCACCAGAAAAGTAGTACTCCAAGCAGAACTGAGGGAATGCCACCCAGTCCAACCATGTATCGCCATCCGTGTGGAACTTTGTAAAAGGCTGCGTCGAAAGCATACGCCAGGAGGGAACCGGTCGCAAGGAAGACCATGTCGATTGAGATCATTCGGCCGCGGTACTTGGCAGGTGCGATTTCTGCAATGTATAGAGGGATAATCTAGAATGTTAGTTGCCGGCTATGGAGGTATTGCAGAGTGTAACTCACCATTGAAGCTGAACCGACGCCTAGACCAACAAGTACCCTGCCCACACACATTTGCACGAGAGAGTAAGAAGCAGCTTGCACAACAGCACCCAGGGTGAAGAGAACCGAGGCGAACCAAATAGCAGGCTTTCGTCCGTACTTATCAGCCGTGACTCCAGCGATGATGGCACCGATCAAGGCGCCAGCAGCACAGAGAGAGGTAATCAGCTCCTTTTCGCCATGGCTCATCAAGCGTCCATCGAGGTCATCCCCAAGGACTACGAGAACACCAGAAATAACTCCAGTGTCGTAGCCAAAGAGCATGCCTCCAATGGCGGTTGCGAGAACACAGAGGTTGAGGAAGAGGCCGGGTGTAGAGTCCTCGATGAAGTCCTCGCCACCTTTGGCGTTGTCTTCGACATGGCTTGCCTGAGATGCTGCCACGATATCTTCTTTCTTTGACATGTTGATAGACAAGGGTGAGGAATGATGGGATGGTGAGTGTGATGATGGATGAATTAATTCAAGTGCTCATCCTGGGCTTTTTATCCTCGTTTGTATCACGCACTCAATCAGGTTTGTCAACACAACAGGAATAACCGACCTCGAAAGCCGTGCCTAGACCATGATGATGTCCTGTGTATCCAATCGCGACCTTGGCATTTCCCAAGTGTAAAAGCTAGATTCTGGGGTAGAAGCGGAGAACCATGCTGCCCCATGGGGTTGGGGGAAGCTGATCCGATTAGCGTGAGAAGAAGCTGAGATTGAGTGATTTCACGAAGATACAGCAAGTCTATCCGTTAGTGGAGTAATTGTTGTGGTGGCGTAATAGAGCTATGACTCATATCCACCGTAGTGTGTCTCAGGCCGTAAAGAGCAAGTCTTTCCTGAACCAAGGTTAGCTCGCCCGTGGAGAACAACTAGCCAATGACTGGATTTCCGACAAGCAACTGTACACTAAATGACGGCAACTATTTCCGGCCTCATGGTAATTTCTAACACCAGCGACGTTGGTTAACATCACCGCACATCAAAATATTACCGAAATGAGAAGCGACACACATCATCATATCCAAAAAGATGGAGAGAAACGCGGAGTAGCTAGTTTAAATCTTCTAGAGAAGTCCATTTTAGAATGGACAACATCTTGATGCCATCGATATAAAGAAGCCCTTTCAAGTCCTCATTTACCTGCCATTCATCCACTGCCAACCCTCTCACTCCAGAGCTCTACATCAATTTCTTATAATGGCACCTCAGAAGCTCAAGATTGCTGCTGCCGGCCTCGGCCGCATGGGCAAGCGTCATGCCATCAACTTCCTCAACAGAACCCCCCGGGCTGAGCTGGTCGCTGCCTTCACACCTGATCCTACAGAGATGGCTTGGGCCAAGGTCAACCTGGAGCCTCACGGAGTCACTCTCTACGATAACTACCAGAAAATGATCGACCAAGAAGGTCTTCAGGCTGTTGTTATTGGTACTGCTACCTCTGTGCATGCCGAGGAAGCTATCCAGGCTATGCAGAAGAACCTCCATATACTTTGCGAGAAACCTCTGTCCACCAGCATTGAAGTGGTAAGTAACATCGTCACTCGATATCATTCCACCTCTAACAACGTCTAGTGCCGTCAGGTCGTCGACGAAGCCAAGAAACACCCCCATCTCAAGGTCATGTGTGGCTTTTCCCGCCGCTTCGACGAGTCCTACCGAGACGCATTTGGCAAGACCCAACAAGGTGCCATCGGCCGACCTACAATCATCCGCAGCCAGACCTGCGATAAGCACGACCCATCGGGCTTCTTCGTCGAATATGCTGCGTGGTCCGGCGGCGTGTTCGTCGATATGTCAGTGCACGACATTGACCTGACGCTCTGGTTCTTCGGCGACGAGGTAGTTCCCAAGAGCATTTCGGCCCATGGCGTGCGTGCTGTGCAGCCTGACCTCGCCAAGTACAATGATTACGATAACGCTGTAGGTATTGTGGAATTCTGGGGTGGCAAGATTGCATACTACTACTGCTCTCGAATGATGGCCCACGGACAAGAGGATACCACAGAGGTTATCGGTACAGAGGGTAAGCTGACTGTCAACGGCAACCCGCAGTCTAACCTTGTCAACTATTACCACTCTGCCGGTATCACCCGCGAGGTGCCTGCTCATTATTACGGCCGCTTTGAGATGGCGTTCGTTCAAGAGTCCAACGAATTCGCCGATGCATGCCTTGACAACACCCCGTTGCCTATAAAGTTGACGAATGCTGTCCGTGCGGTTGAGATTGGCTCTGCTTTGCAGGAGGCTCTTGTGAGTGGAAAGCAGATCAGATTCGACGAGATTGGACGTCGCATTGAGGAATCCAAGCTATAAGAGATAGGAGTTATTGGTAGAGAAGATAGTTGGAGAACTTAATAGACTAGTCATCTTCTGCATCTTGATTCCATTGTTGCCGCAACGTTGAGCTTAAGGAAACTGTACGCCAGCCTGTCTTTTGTTGCACATGGTCCAAGAATGTCACTACCATTTCTTGGTCATCCTGTTCCGCAAAGACACTGCCCCCTGTAAGATGTTAGAATGCGATATGTTTTGTCTTCTATCCACGATGACTAACAAACTGAGAGTGAATGTCGGGCTGTGAACAAAGCGTTCTCGGCTCTTGCATGTGAACTTGCCAAGGCTATAACTTGGAGTAGATGGTTTCTCACGGTTCGCTGAGTCTGTCAGATTTGGAAGGATATTTGGGCTTTGATATGCTGACCTCGACTTTCTTGCCTTGTCGTATGTGTTCAAACACTGATGCTGTGACGATCGGTGTTGACATTACCAGCACGATCTTCGCGATGTGGTAATACTGCAGACCAACAGGTAAAAGGTCAGCATATACGCAATGTTATGCATAAGCAACATACCATGGAAGGGGGAGAGAACCCAAATCTCAGGCAACAGTCTTCCCTCCTCCTTGTTCCTAGCATTCTCTAGAATCGGATTGAACGCAGCAGGCTTCGAGTCAAACCAATTCTCCACCTCTAGCCGGATGCTGTCCAGCTTTTCGTTCGAAAAGGACGAAGATGTTGGAAACACGTAGCTGAGGGCCTTTGCCAAGAGAAACACCATTCTGTTCGCGTAAGCTGCATCGTCTACGCGTCTAAACACATCTGACTGGATGTATGTTTCCAAGTCAGATCTCAGTGGTCGTTGTTTCGTAAGTGAGACGTAGATATCCTGTCGGAGGCAAAGCCACGCGGCGGCTTCACCGAGGCCACCGTTGAAGTCGAAGAGTGACATAGAGTTGACGATTCGTGATGTACCTGTTAGATGCATTTCCATATCTTCGGCTAAGAGTATTAGCCACGGGTTTAATACTTAGGAGCAGGTCTTACCGTCCATCTCTTCATATTGTCGAAGTATTGCAATCGCGGCAAGAGTCTCTTCATCTATATGTCCATTAGACTCGCCAACTGCTTCAATCAAAAGCCTCAAGCAGTGATCATAGTATTCTAGTGCTTCAGTAGACGCGTCTAATTTATCGCGATTAACGTACTGCGATGAAAAGGCGAACACTGCATAGCGGAGCACGGGGAAGTACATGGCCCGTCGTGGGACCTCCAATTCGAAATGGCGTTTCAGGTCAGTCGCATCGGCCCAGAGCGCCATGTTCTCGGCAAAGTTTCTAATCAATACGGCCTCTCGCGCTGTGAAAGGTATTGCAGGGCGTGAATATGATGATGCGGGAGAGCAGTATAGGTCTGAGCTATCGTGAAGATGACGGGTTATTCTTCCACTGCCCGGTGATTCTATCACTTCCTGCCGGCTCGTTGCTGGAGAATTCGATTTGTGTGAGTGTTGATATATGTGAGAGGCAGGTGATACCTGAGTTGGTGTCGTGAATATCGGCTCATTTACTTCAACTAGGTCTGGCTCAAGTGACATAGGTTCTTCTATGGGTGAACTAAAATCGTCAGCTTATTTCCATTACTGCTTGTATACTCACTCTTGCACTTCATCTGTCTCGTAAATCTCCGATACCTGACGTGTTTCATCGTGATATTCCACTACATCCGTTAGTCTGAAACCTAGCCACTATTTCTTTGACATCACGTACACGACTTTCTGTGTCGGACCCAAACTTGATCAATTGAGAATTCATATCCAGCCGAGGGACCAAGCCCAGGGAGGAACCGAACCTGCAGAGCGCGTTCACACTCGATGCCGGCCTTTACACATGCTGAGCATGAGGGCATCTCCTTATCGCCTATTCATGTTAATGGGGGAACGCTGTTCATGAACATGCTACTTACAACGAACATGACGGACTGCGTTTGTCAGTGATAGCTCTGACCTAAACTGTCGACCTACCTCTACAAGCAGTACTGTCGGTGTTAGCCTGATTTTGACAACATGTGGGAGCCACTCACCATCCAACTGCGACACGACTGTTTCTCTTTTGTGCAGACTTTTCTACTTCCATGGCCAATTCGGATTACTTGATGAATGGAGTAGGTGTATCCATAAGAAAGGCAAATCGCCACGCAGCTAAGCGGGCTTCTCAAGAGTCTCACGTGTTGACCTAGGTTAAATTGAACCCCGCATTGTAGTTAGCTCCACAACAACACGAACTTTATTATCGAAGAGGCAGTAAAGCATCACCTTAACTATAGGGTATGATACACGAACCCAAGGCTATAGCTAGCTTACATTAACTTGATAGAGTATATATAAGACGTTGGGCTTCCGCAGTACGCCCAAGGTACGCCTGAGCTTTTACCTATTGGTAGGCGATTGTTCTCCGTTGATATCACTCTTATGAAACAGGTCATTGTGTTCCAGTTGACATGACCTTCAAAGTGGCTAATAGCGTGGGAGTGATCACAATATTGGTGTTACACCATCCCTAGTTTTCGGATGGGAATTGGAGAAGAAATGCCGCCTATGGCGATTACAGTTATGGAAAGTTTATCATCTCATAGACTCGTTTAGTTTAAGACAATCTCTAAGCCACAGATGTCCATCACCAGCCGGATTATTCCATCAATTAAAAAAACAAAGCGCAGGCTAGAGTCCCTGGAACGTTCTTCAGACTAGCGACTTTGATAATCCGAGGTATTGCAATGACAACACACAGCGCCAATTTGACTATTGGGGTACTAGCTCTATGCAAGACTCTCCGATGAGTATTACTTGTCTGTTTTACAATGAATAGCGCCCGATGGATGGCAATCAATATGCCGAGAAAGTGAGCTGTAGGATTTAAGAAGCAAAATGCTGGAAGGGAACGTAAGATATCGGTGTCACCGTCGCCGTCAAACGTATCGCGGTTTCTTCTTTTGCTTCTTCCGGATGGTTGAACTATAGCTGCTGTAGCTCGCGTGATGGGATCACAGAATATGGCATAGTCACTAACTTCTTCAGAAGCGTCTGCAGGTAATAAACCTTTTAACATAGTAATAGAATGTGGTATTCCAGCTCTGAAATAACAAAAGGTTATTTCATTTTCCCAAGCGGAGTGTATAATCTCATTAACATTAACACTACAGCTCAGTATTAGAGTCGGCATGGCTCTACTACCCCGCTTGCAAGAAAGCTCTAAAAATCACAGATATCTCAAGTTTTCTGCGGAGCTATTGAAATTTCCCCGCAGAGTTTACGCGGATCTTAGCGCCGGCTAATTATCTCTCCTTCAATGAGCATTTCGCAGCTTGTCGATCTCATGTCCTTACTATTAAAGCCTCCCCGGATGATCAGTTCCACCAAGCGTTATTTAGGTCATCTAATCAAAGTTGATAAGGAATACGGCGAGGTATCACTACATGACCTTAATAAGGAAGTTCGGAGCACATTCAGACTTGGATCATGTGGAATCATGATGGGCACGGTGCATGGCGGGGTACAGGGTTCATAAGAAGCTTCTCTGCTTTCAGAGACTGTGAAAAAGAGTATAAGTAGGCTTGGGATAGCTTGGTTACCGTCTAGAAATTTCATGCCCTACCTCAACACTACTGTCGCCTTACCCGATCCAAATGCCGACCATGAGAGTGTTACTGTCCCTCGCCGCCACCATGTTGGCTGGTAGCACTGTCGCCGCTCCCCCAAGCGCCCAGGTATCTTATTCACAACTCATGACAGACTCCATGATCAGACTCAACGTCAAACCCTCATACAACTACGATCAAGCTACACTATACACGTCTTTCGAGGATATGTATGAGTATACCAAAAACAAGACCTACTATGACTTCTTCCGTAGTCAAATGGATGCAGTGGTACTCAAGGATGGGACAATAGCCGGCTTCAACTACACCCACTACTCCTTGGATCACTACCGCTTCGGCAATAATTTGCTCTGGTGGTACCAGAAGACCGGGGAGAAGAAGTTTAAAACTGCGGCCGACGATATTAAGACGACCCTGGATCATCATCCACGCACAGCCACTGGTGGTCTCTGGCACCGAGATGTTGTTTACCCTGACCAAATGTGGCTTGATGGTATCTACATGGCCGATAACTTTTACGCCAAATACACGTGTCTCTTCCAGCCAAACAATGCTACAGCGTGGAATGATATTATCCTCCAGTACGATAAGATTGACAAGGTTACGCGTCGCCCCAATAACCTCCTTGTTCATGGCTTTGATGAAAGTAAACGCGCTGTTTGGGCTGATCCAAAGACTGGCGCTGCACCACTCATCTGGGCTCGTGCCGTTGGTTGGTACTTCATGTCACTCCTCGAAGCAATCGAGACTTTTCCCAAGGGCCACCCAGGTCGTGAGAGGCTCCTCGGTTATTTCACCAGTCTGGCGGAAGGTCTCAAAGAGGCACAAGATGAGAAAACTGGTGGTTGGTATAATATCATGGACGAGAAGTACGAGGGCGTCAAGGGCAATTACATCGAGGCGAGTGCTAGCGCGATGTTCACCTTTGATTGGCTGCGTGGCCTAAACCGAGGTTTTCTTTCAGCCGAAGACTACTCTAGTGTAGCGGCCAAGGCATTTGAGGGACTGGTCAAAAGGTTTGTTACCAAAAATGCAGATGGCACCATCAACTTTGAGGGAACAGCTGAGGTTGGAAGCCTCGGGAGTAATGCGACATTCCAGGTAAGATAGAGACTCCTGCATCTCAAATCCTTTACAGATAGATATTGACCTCCTTTGTGTATAGTATTACTCTAGTATCAAGACCAGGCAGAACGATCTTCGGGGCGCAGGTGCTTTCATGATAGCAGCTCTAGAACATGAGAGGGGATTATTCTCAAAGGCTTGAGGGCAAACAGGAAGATACTGCCATACCGGATATGCGAGACCTTGGGTAAAGAGAATTGGTAGCTAAGCGCGTGTCTTCAAGGTAGATACAATGTATGACACAGTTTTGCAGTGATAGTTAAAGTGTTTGCTGAACATTTGAGATCCTCAATAACACCCTTTGTTGCTCTATCCTACGATAAGATAAGGCTGCTGCACAAGATGTCGTTCCTGAATTGCTTTCTTCTGTACCTTCTCTTTCCCCTCTACCGATGCCAACCACACACAACTTACTCAACCTCGTATGTACAGGTCCTGTCAAAGTCCCGAGATTTAATGGAAAGGTGCTAGGGAACCGACCCTCAAGAACCACTGATAGTCCTTTGCCAAACCTCGTCAATAGCCCTCCAATACCTCTCCGGGTCCTTCCTCATATGGTCGACATGACCACTCTCGAAAGTCTGACTCTCCGTTTTGTACCCACACCTCAACCCGTCAGCAATGTGCTCCTCAATATGCTCCGCCGGGATCAAGAAATCCTTTTTTCCATACATGAACAAACGTGTACTATCCTTACTCATCCACTTGTCATCAAAGAATAGTCTGTGGCAGAACTTTGGCGAGGACTCACGACCGACGACAAAGTCAAAGAGATGAATGAAGATGAAGAAGCCGATGCATAGGGTTTGTGTTACGAAAAATGGCCAGGGAAGTTTGGCCGCTGGGCCCATTGCCATTGCGTTGGACCAGCGCTTGAGATTGGACCAGGTGACCTTTGACTGGCCGGGGGTTGAATCGTAGACTGCGAGGACGTGAGGCATTGATTCGTTGTACAGCTCTCTATAAGCGTTCAACGTGCAGATATAATTTCCAGCGCCGGAGTTGGACAGCACATGGCAAATGATCAGATTCTCAGAATGATTATTGTCAGTAGGGAAGAGTTCGTTGACGATGGGCTTCATGTCTTCGGTTCGTTTGGAGACATGGTCGAAGAAGCCTTGGGCAATCGGTGAGAGGACGGCGATTTGTTTGGCGTTGGGAAAGAGCTTGCGATAACCGTCTGTGAACTTTGACACGTGCTTGGGCGGTGCGTCACCCCAGCCAAAGACGACAACAGCGTGGGGATGATGAGGGATTGTCTGAAAGTTTTCGGGGTGATGAACGAAGATGCGGTTCGAAAGAGCTTCGAAGCCAGAGAAGCTGGGTGTTGCCGTTTTACTCATGATGACACTAGAATTTGTAAGATTCTACTGGAATTGTCAAAGTCAGGGTAATGGTCTTCAGGGAAGGAGCCTGGAATTTATACCTCACCATGAGGAGGATCTGGATAAGCTTATCGGATCAATACATGCCAAGACTGGAATCAATATTCCACAATCTTTCTCATTGGTTGTCCTGTGTACATCTTGTCTTATGTGAGATCTGGACTTGAGGTCTCGATTGATCCATCGCCACGGGCAAAGACGTGGCGTAAGCACTATCACCTATATCGCGCTTAGCCGTGGTACTTGTTGTAATCTTAACACCTGTTTGAAACCTACAGTACGGAAGGCAACGCGACGGTTTATGGGAGATCCTACGTTCACAATGCGAGGTGAGAGTAACAAAGCCAGAACTGTTCAGGATATTCAAATCGAAATCCATCGTAAGACGCAAATATTGACTAGTGGTTTTGTTTCGTGGATGCTAGATTGATAATGAGATGGAGGTTTGTGTGTCGCCTGCAAGTCCCAGGCTCCAAGCCGTCCAGACTCACCAACCCATCGCAATTTCGATACTCTTCACCACGCCGAGCGAAAATAATAACAATGCTATCTAGTTTCCTCTCACATAGAGAATCAAGGGATGTGACTTATAAATCATAGAAATCATTGACACTCGAGTATCAAAGTTGGGCGTCACCCCCATGCTACTAACATCTGAACGAGGTACCCACAACACTTTCTTCGAACCCCTCATGATCCATGTTTCGGTGTTGGTAGAATCTGACCTCAGGAAATTTGGATTCCAGACGGGTGCCTGGTCATTTCGAGTATGCACTAAGACCCTCTCCTCCCCCGTCTCTTCATCGGTATCTGCAAACCTTTCGATATCTAAATTTAGAACACCATGACCACGGCCTACGATTATTTGAGAGTCGGAGCCTCTAACAAATCTGATATATCTAGCCGACGACGGGAGGCGGTATTTCGCGAGGTATGTACCGTGACTCACGTCAATGATACTGAGACACGGCAAGCTGTCCCTATGAAGCCACAGTACCGCTAACATGCCATTCGCATTGAATGATAAGGACCATGGTTCTCCTATCATGCTCCATACGGTTTTTGTTTCATCCTTAACCGCTGAGTCCCAGGTATATATTGCCGTTTGTCCAATGGGCTGGATTGCGACACGGTCATTAGCAGAAGCGATCATCCCAACACCGCAGGGCCAGAATTGAGATTCAATTGTACGCAAGCAATCGCCGGTCGTCGGATTCCAGAACCTTATTCTGCCATCTCCGTGGTTGGCAGATACTAATTGCCCGGATGGATCAAATCGGATAATGATATGCGACGCTCGAGTATCGTTTGCATGCCCCTTTAATTTGTGAAGGCAAAGACGTGATTGGATATCCCAAATGTTTATCAGTCCGTTGCCGTCAACGAAAGCATATTGGTGGTCTGGTGAAAATGCCGACTCATAACAAGTAGGATATGAGCCAGGAATGTGAAATCTGCACAACGTATTGTCGACCGCTGTGATGATGATCTCAATACATCCAGAGTCTTGGGCTAGTTCAAGCTGTCCATTTGGTCCTGGTTTGAGGTAGTCAATTGACCTTGACGCCTTTCCATGAACAAGAGTGGCTTCGTTTAATGTTTGCCCAACGCCCAGCATCTGGAGCGAACCTTGGCCCAGGAGGGCGAGAGTGGTTGTACTGACATAGCATAAATGTTCATAGACATCGTGAGTTACTGATACCCTTCCGATTCGGGCCTGTTTCGTCGGGTCATAGAGTATGACAGCATTATATGTGGATATAGCGAATGACCGGCCATCAGGTGCCCATGCAATGCCACGAGAGGAAGCGAGATTTTCACCATCAAACATACCCCGCAAATTCGTGAACATCTCCCCATCCCATAACAGCAAGCATAGGCTTTGTGAAATGAGGAGACATTTGCCATTAGGACTTAATGCTGCGTTCCAGCCGGAGTTTTGAAGAGAAAAGGGCTTTCTTACTAACACCTGACCTGTCTGGGGATTCTGAACAACAAATTCAGCCTGGCATTCTGTTGAAACGATTGAGAAAACACATGGCTCTTCGAATTTGGTGAGGCCAAAGTCAATCCACTTAATCTTTCCTTTCCCGTGTCGTGGGTCTATAGTGTACTTGACAGATCCATTCCACGGATCGCAGACACGCACTGATCCACCACGCTCAGCTAAAGCGAGATACACCCTGTTTTGAGAGAGGAACACGACGCCAGTGTCACTTTCAAAAGTCTGTATAAAATCTCCACTGTGTGTGTTCCAGATGGTCACATGGTGGTCTCCTTGACCGTCGCAAATCACTGTCGCCAGACGCTTCCCTTCCACGTCGAAGCCTAAAATCGATATGATCTCCTGAGGACAGTTGATTTTCCGAACAATCTCTCCAGTAAAGCTGTCTAGAACAATGATGATGCCGTCGCTTTGTGCCATTGCGAGTCTTCGACCGTCAGGCGAGGCTTTGAGACCGCAGTAAGGATCCGCTATGTTTTGGACCTTGAATAGACATACATCCCATTGCTGAAAAGAAGACGGGAAAATGCTGATGTTGGAGGAAATTTCGGATATGAAGTTTTGCCTCACTTGACTTTGCTCAGGACTAAATATCAATCCCGAGTCATAAAGTTGAAGTGGGGCTGTATCGCAGATCGCCCTGTGATTCAGAGCGAATCGAAGAGCGTCCTCGGCCAAGTCTTTCCATTCTGGTGACTTCGTTTCTGGCTGTATTAACAGGTTAGAAGGAATACGATGAAACTGGACGTATTGCACAGTACATACCAAGTCGGACCCTAGTTGTCCAATTGCTCTTATTGCCGTTGAAACGCAACGTAGTAACGACATAGCTTCCAACCAGTATAGGTATCTAGTTTTGAGAAATGTTTCAACTAGTAAACAGGTAGACGGACTTCGAATTGCATGCGCAGGCGATTTAGAAAGGTGCTCGACCCAGTAGATGCATCCGTACCTGATGGAATCCAAGACAGTCGATGAAGGCTTTGAAATCTCATGGATATAGAGAGTATCATCAGGTGCATTGTAAATGTTTCTGTGGAGGTTCTCTTGAATGCTTTGCAAGGTACTTTGGAAGATCGAATAGTGCTGTGCTGATATGCTCGAAGGGAATATGTCAGACGAAGATATCAGGTAGTCCCTCACTGATTGATGGACCGTGTAGACAATATTGTTTCGAAGCGTAAGGAATGAACCACAGCAGGTGACGATACTCGATAATGTTTGTAGATCCGATTGGAAGCACGTAAGCCTATCGTCAGAACTAGCTAGTTCTGCTAGGCTAAGAGGCTCAAACGCAGCAGTAACAACTGAGAGGATAGCCTTACAAGTTTCTTCGTCTCTCGAATGAAGTATTTGGTTGATCATCCGCTGATAAAGCTTGTCAAGCCCAGGAGGAAAAGATTGCAAGACCTTCGAGGTGTGATGTGGCAAAACACTATATTTTGCCAACTCTTCGCAGACCACGGAAACCCATAAGAACGTGTCGTCCGCGTTCTCAAGGAGATGTTGTAGAACCGCGTCACGTGTCGACTCAGTGTACCTCTTCCTCTTGGCTAAATCCTCGACTCTGCGAATTATGAACCTTTGCACAGCTTCGGCGATTGAGGAGTGATTGAGCTCTAAATGTACTCGATTAGTCATGACCCCGTCCAGCTGAGCTTCTATTTCAGGCCAGTTACGACTGGAAACAATCCATTTTGCCTTCGAGGTAGAATAGAATCGGGTTACAAGTTCAATAAGCCTCTCTCGATCTTCCAAACACTCATCAAGGGCGTCGACAACAAAAATGCAGTCACTGGTAGTTTCATCATCGAGAATCAAGGCCATGATGTTTGATAAAGCTTGCCAAGCGTTGTGATCTTTGAAAACGTCCTTCCCAGAGTCGTCGTATTCCTTGCGGATATAAGCGATGAGGTTTGGTCGTCTTCGTGCGAGGAACCAGATGAGGCCACGAAGTACGGCCGAGGCACTTCGTAGTCGAGGCTCGGAAGCTTGACAGAAAAAGTAAAAGACAGTGTCAGGTGCAGGAGAGCTTTCCAGTTCGTTGATGATGCCACACAAGAGCATGGTCTTGCCCTTTCCTGGGTCGCCCTTGACCCACAGTAAACGACTCTCATTGTCCTTTGCCCACTGTTGGTAGTCTTCATTTTCCATGACCCACCAGTAGGATTCAACGAGAAGACCGCCTTTCGCCTTGATAATCATCTCTTTGTCATCTTCTGGGTTCGTGATACGTAAGTCTCTCAGGCATTCCTTGTCCTTCTCGTCGAGATAAATTTGAAGTTCCTGCTGGTGTTCTAAGACCACTTTGCAAACAGCCAACTCTTCCAGAAACTCCCTTGCATAAGCAGCTGCAGTTGCTGCAGCATACTTCTGCCATTCCTTTGCCTTGTGGGAGTCTGAGTAATCACAAATGCCACGAACTGGGAGGCATGGGCAAATGTCCATCATTCCTGCAGCCTCCATCTCAAAGCAAATGATATCCAGCTCTTCCGCAAGCTTATCTCGAATTGAGCTGTCCTTGATAACTTGGTTACCCGAAGCAATTGCCCCATAATGTATAACGGGGTCATTGGAGATCCGATGTGTACGTTGTACGAGCTTCGACTCATCGCAGCGTGTACAGTCTGGGGTGGAGGATTCATGCTGGTATGTGGCTACAAACAAACGATCTGTTGAAACAGGCCGCTCGAAACCGTTGAGTGCCTCGGACCTTTCTCTTAGGATGGACGGGACTCGGCTGGATGTTGAGGAATGTTTCGATCGCAGGCTGGAAATAACAGTGCTGACGGAGCTGGGAACCGGCCGTGGAATGGATGTCCGATTTAACAGCCCGTCACTCATAGCCTTGCCCATATCGTGCTGTATAACCGCTGATCCGACAACGATATCCCCCAAACGTAGGTCGGCTTTACTTGGTGCACCACCTCCGATCCCCACCATCAACCCCAGCTGGATATTTCTGAAGGTCCGCCTCATATTCGTGAAGACGATAGCAGCGTTATTCGTTCCATAGTGGCCATCTGGTAGACATGCAATGGTGACACTGTGCTTTCCGACAGTCCCAAGTGCGTAGCAATTGCTATCATTGACATCTTGCGGCAAAGCCTCGTGGACATCATCTAGCATCGCTCGAGCAGCGCTCATCTCTAACGGTAACGCACATATCCATGCGACGGTATAGCAGTCGTGCGATAAGGTGTTCCGGGAGTCATGGTGGAATTTCTTCTGGGGACGAGAGGAGCTTGCTGCAGCCTGGTCTTCGCTGTAGTATCGCTTTCCGCTCATAGCGAGCGGCTTGCTCTGTCAGATCGACAAGGTCGTCTCTGGCTGTTGTCGACGTAGTAGTTATAACAGTTGACTGACTGGCAATAGCGGTTGTTGACTGGTTCATAAACCGGGCGGTTCCAAGTCGAGCATGCGGAGATGAAAGCTTGAGGAGGGAGCCAAAACAAATCAGGCTGAGTTTTGACCTTCCAGGGGTCGCCTCGCTGCGCCCCGCTCTTTCCCCGTCGGTCATTGAATGTTTGAGAGAAGAGATAACAAAGTAAACTGTGAACATTAACCTTTCGCAAATTGACCTGCTGTGCCCCGCGCCTCTATTTATCTATAAGTAATACTGTTTTGGCGATATCAGTGTTTGTGTTTGGTGTGGTCAACAACTAAAACTTGAAAGTTTGTTGTTTTATCAAGAGACGTGTTTCCAATTAACCTATTGTGTTATGTTTGTATAGGTTCCACCATAGGGTAGCTCGGAGGACGACAATTTGAAGACATCATGTAATACTCTACTACTGAACGATAACTCACCTTTACAATAGAGAAAGGTGCGAGTAGATCTAGAAAGGTTTCATCGAACAGGTTTCTTCATGCCAATAGCGAAGTGAATCAGGAGTCGGCCTCTATGACAAATGATTTTGATGGTTTGTTTGTCACTGGAAACATGCACATTAACCAAGTATAGGATCCAAATTCTCCCAAATTAATAATCTTTGTTGAGGGTACATTTGAAGAAAGTGACGTTGACATAGTGGACTGGCATGTCAAAATCACGAAAACCTCCTTGAGACAGCTGATCTTTCTCTTTATAGCCGCTGCCTCTACACTAATCATGACATCTCGCTAAGACAACTCGCTTGTGTTACCTCATCTGTCCAAGCACTTGACATCCCCAGTCTGGACCCTTGATAATGAGACGAATCACACTATCTAAGTCCGGGAACTGATCGCTTGACCGAAAACCCCGTATCTAACGAGAATGGTAAGTCAGCTTGAACCGGCGATCGCTCCGCAGTTGGCCGATGATCCAAACGCAACGTTCCTTCTCCAGGTTGGTCATGGCTGTCATTGGAAGAGACGGAGATACGAGGGTCGCACGACCAAATCAAAAGCGGGTCCAAACCTCTGAATGCTACCCTGCATGGAGGGACTATGCCGACTAGCCGATAAGCTATCGCTGAGTGGTTCGCATGGTACGATAAGCTTAAGAGCCACGGATGTCTTTATATCCTGCCTTACCCCAGATGATACAGAGAAGCTTGTTTAGAGTTTACAGTTGTCTTGAAATTTGTAATTGTATCTCCTGGAAAACAAAGTCTATTCGGCAAAACTTCTTGCCCAAATGGATAGCACAAAGCACGATGGGGGCCATGGTGTTGCAGTCAGCCCAAGACGGAGCATGGACATCCCGGCACCAAAAGCGGAGATGAATGCCGATGAGCTTCGTCTGGCGCAAATGGGTTCGTTCATCGGTTCTCTCATTTTTCAATAAACGGCCTTACTGATTTCTTACGAAAAGGTCATACACAAGAGCTGAACCGACATTTCAGTACTCTAAGTCTCATCGGCCTAGCCTCCACTACAACCATTTCGTGGACGGGTCTGGGTCTCGGCCTAATCACCGAAATTGGAGCCGGAGGCCCTGGAGCAGTCATCTATGGCTTTATCCTCGTGACTATTCTGCAATGCTTCCTCGGGGCGTCACTGGCGGAGTTTGTGTCTTCTTATCCTACCGAAGGCGGCATGTACCATTGGATTGCTGCTGTCGCGCCAAGAAGGACGACTGGTATTTTGAGTTTTCTCACTGGCTGGTTCAGTGTTCTTGGTTGTAAGTCAAATCGTGAGCGGGCAGAGAAACAGTATTGACAGCCTTTAGGGATCTTTACTACTGCATCAACAAACATCATCTATGCACAAATCCTCATGGCTTTAATCGCTCTGTACATGCCCGACCTCGAGATCAAAGCCTGGCAGACTTTCATCGTTTACGAAGGCTTGAACCTGCTCACCGCTGGCGTTGTCATGTTTGGAAACAAAATCATCCCCGCCTTGAACAGGTTCTCGCTCTTCTACTTGCAGATTGGCTGGCTCGTGGTGTTGATTACCGTGGTTGCATGCGCCCCCACACATCGCGATCCTGAGTTCGTTTTCAGGACCTGGATCAACACGACTGGTTGGGAGAACAACGCTATTTGCTTCATCACAGGATTGGTTAACCCTCTGTACTCTCTTGGTGGTCTCGATGGAGTGACCCATATTACAGAAGAAATGCCCAACGTACGTCCATCCACTGTCGGACCATATTAAATGAAGCTAACCAATACTCAGCCATCGAGAAATGCTCCTCTTGCCATTGCCATCACACTGATCATTGCGTTCTGCACTGGTATCACTTATTTAATCAGTCTGATGTTTTCGATACAGGACTTTGACCAGCTTACCTCGGGCAACACTGGTATGCCTCTTGCTGAGCTTTTCCGACAGGTCACACAAAAGACTGGCGGCGCATTTGGTCTTCTGTTTATTCTCTTCATTGCCCTTGGTCCTTGCGTTATCAGCTCGCAGCTAAGCACTGGCCGAGTGTTCTGGGCATTTTCCCGAGATGGAGCTATGCCCTTCTCCAAGGTGTAAGTGAACCCACAATCCATGTTGTTAGTCTCAAAACTAACCGTCATTCAGTTGGTCCAAGGTCCACTTCAGTCTGAAGATGCCTTTCAATGCCCAGCTGGCAGTAACAGCCATCATTGCTGCCTTGGGTTGCTTGTATCTCGGTTCATCGACAGCATTCAACTCCCTTCTTGGAACGGCCGTTACGATCAACAATATCTCATACATGTTCCCAATTCTCACCAACCTGATTACTGGCAGGAAGAACATGCACAAGGGTGTTTTCCACATGGGTCCGACCATTGGCCCCATAGTCAATGTTGTGACCGTGTGCTGGCTCACTTTTGCGATTATCTTTTTCTCCTTCCCGTACGTTATGCCAGTTGAGGCTGCAAACATGAACTACACATGCGTCGTCGTGGGTGGCTTGGCAATTCTGATTGGTGGGTGGTGGTTCAAAGCAGGCAAGGAGTATACAGCAAGGATGATTAAAGCAAGAGAGTCATGAGACTTGTGTTAGGACCATAGTAATCCTTTAACATAGTAGTGAGTCCTGGGCGCCGGCTACATGACCCTAAGTGTAATTGATATTGTATATTGCATGGTAGCCGGCGCCTATTGGAACCGAATTAGGATAGAACAAGCAATAACTGTATTGGGCCTTTTTGCCATGTTGCACTAAGTTTAGCACGCCAATGGAGTTTCAAAAAGGCTTGTCTCTCCCGATCCTTTGCGGCACAGTCGTTTCAAGCTACGTCATGTGCCCCTTGGCAAGGCTGATTTGGGAGATCTTACGCCAAGCTTCTCTAAACCGGAAATTAACACTTCGGTCAAATACCCCGCCTCCGCTACTAAAGTTACACAACACCGTCTCTACTAGCTTCTCATTACTCGATCGACTAGTGTAAAATGATGTCTGATAGCGATGCCATTGAGTTACAATCCAAACGACTGGTAAGTTTAGTTTCGGCTTTTTTATATAGTTCATTATGCTGACATGAACATCAGCCTCCCAGCACGGAAAAAGGCTCAGTTTGGGAACCACTCGTTGAATCGGAATCGGGTCACGATATCTCGAGGCGAAGCTCAGTTCGTCCTCTTGAACCTTCTTACGTCGAAACGCCTGAGAACAAGAGCCTTTCGATAAAGAAAGCCTGCAGACGCTTCCTCTTACTTATTCCGCGCATACCCCCTCTTATTCGCCACTTAGCCTTGGTACATTTCCCACCTGTTGCAATCACCTTGGCCGTTCTCTCTTTATACATCGCCAATCTTCGCTGGAGTAATCCCACAAATAACGCCTTGAACGCCCTTCAGTTTGCAGCCAAGATTCACGAGGCCCTAATCATAGTATCCATTGGTGACATTCTACTGGGACGAATTAACCACCACCTCTTAAACAAGGGGGATTCTCTGCCGCTTGGATACCTTCCATCACCATTACTTCTCAATTCGCCGTTTCTGTACCTCATAAGCCCCGAGCTATGGGCTCCAATACTATCTTCAAGAGGCCAACATAGGACACGGAAGGCCACAGGTGTCATGATCCTTCTGTCCGCCCTCTTGTGTATCGCTGCGAGCCCTCTATCCGCCATCACTATGATACCTCGTCAAGGCTGGCGACCCGCCCAATATCTCACAGCGAGTGAACTGAAGACCACATACACTCCCGGTACTCTTTATAACACTGACTTAGACGCCGGAGACGTTCCAGTCCACAACTATACCCGATATTCTGCATGGTTTACCACACCCAGCCAGAAGTCGATTTTGGAAACCACTATCACCAACGAACGTTCTGAAGATCCTACTCCTTTTACGAATGTGACATATTCAAACTATCAAGCGACGGGTCGGCCTATGTCATACAAAACCCTGGGTATCACGGCGGTTGCGACGTGTCCACTAAGCACTGTAGCTCGGTATCTTGGAGACAGGAAATACCGACGCGGGTGGGGTGAGTTGTTCAAAGCAGAGAACAAGGTATATGGGTCTTCTGTACTCAATAAATGGAAACAACCACTTGTTGTTACAGATTGCCGGTCAGCAACGGCGAGGGACGGTGTCGCGAAGTTCTATTTTGGCCATCCATTATTCAATAGAACTGCGGAAACACCAACAACTATAGAGATACCTATCGCGCAACACCCCTGGCTACTCAAACTCAACGAAACAAAGAACATGAGCAACTCAGGAGGCCCTCTGGGACATAGTTTCATCAACATCAGAGATGCAAATCAACTACCGGTCAGCACCGATATCATGTTTGCATCAATTATGAATGAAACTACGGATGAATATTACGGGTACACCATCCCGCAACGGCCTACAGTCGTCAGTTTCACCTTATGTCTCATATCCGCACGATGGACGGAGGCGGATGTCTGGGCTGAGGACGATAGGTCCCGAGATGCTCTGAGTCATTTCAGCTTCGCCAATGGTCAAGAGGTCAATGAAGTCAGAAATTCCTTTGGCACTCGGAGTTTTATAAGCATGAACGAAGGTTGGATGGCTGGAATAGGTTCTGTGCCAACTATATCCGCAAACAGATCATCTTATGACGAGGCACTAGATTTCTGCATCACAAGAAGACGAAACACGATAGGACTGATCCCAAAAGGACGGTCCGGATATGAGCCGCTAAGCCCAGACCACGCTTGCATTGAAACCTTCCTTGCGATGCATGTCGCAGATGCACTAGCGGAGCTTGGTGGATTTCAAGAGGCCATATCCAATAAGCCTTGGAACAGGTCTTTTAGTCTTGACGGCAATTCAGTTGTCTACACATCATATGAGAACGTGTACTCGTACCAGTTCGGCAGCAGCATCGGTATACCTATAGCGTTTTCAGTTCTTCTCTTTCATGTTCTTGTGGTCTTGATCTATATTCCACTGCTGTTCTTCTCGGAGCATCTCCGGAACAGACCAGGGTGGAGTAACCTGGGCGACTTGCTGGTACTTACATTGTCCTCCGACGTCGACGTGGACCTGACAAAAGGTAAAGCCTCTGAAAAGTGGACAAGGCCTGTGGTCGTCAGGGACCTAGGTCATACGGGGAGAAAGGATATTGTTGTAAGGGATAACGGTGATGACATGGACTGAGGAAGCATACTTCGCTACTGCGGCAAGTTTTCAAATATATCATTCACGCAATTATTCAATGGTTTCGTTTTTTATCAAATCGTCTCAAGGTTGCTTTACTTGATCCCACAGTATACTGACTTTTTGTATTTGTGCTACACAATGTAAGAACATAAACTTCAAACCTTGTACTTTCCTACTAATAGTTCTACTTCTCCTCAATCTTTCCAATCTCAGCATGCTGCCCAATAGCCTTCTTCGCCTTCTCCCAAGAATCATCGCCAGGATACAACTGACTCATCAAAAACGCCCAACTAACCCTCTGGACAGTCGCAAGTCTCTCAGCACTCTCATCCTGACACTCCAGCGCATCCCATCCACTGACGCCTCCAAAACCATGCTTACCGCCCTTGATCGCATACGAAGCCTTCGGACCAGGTGCCTCGTTGTACGGATCAGCGTGCCAGTCTGCACCGCGAGTCGTCAAGTGGGGGCTGACATCGCTGTCACCCCATGCTACGAGGCAAGGTGTCTTCATGTTTGAGAAGTCGATGTTGTAGAAAGGCATCATCTTAGCGCCTGCTTCGGACATGTCGGTGGTTCCGTTGCCAATAGCGCCCATGATAAAACCGGCCTTGATGCGAGGAGAGTAGAGGTCCATTTTCTCGTTGTCGCGAGGATCGGTGTTTACGGCGCCCATGAGGATGTTTGCTGTCAGGGAGCCAAGAGAATGAGCTGCGACAGCGATCTTGTCCTTGTCGAGACGACCTTTGATGAAAGGGACAGTCTCTTCGATGTTGTCGAGGTTGTCGAGAATGCGATGCATATCTTTGACGCGCTGATCCATGAACAGTTCGCGGACGTTCTCGGCGTCGAGCTGGTAACCCATCTGACGAGAGCTGAGATGGGTAGGTTGGATGACTACGAAGCCATGGCCGGCCCACCAGTCGACAATGGGACCGTACCCCTTGAGGGAAGAGAGGTAGTTACTGGGACCGTGGCCGTGAGATAGAAGAATGATGGGAAGGTTTGAGCCTGTTGCTGGGGCGGTAATCTTAATGTCAAGAGGAACTCTGCGGCCTTCGGCTTGGAGAGTCATGGGCGAGTAGGACATGATGGGTGAGGAAGAGTTGACGGGGATGTCAGCCGCGCCTCCAAGGAAGGGAGTGTTTGGGAATTCCATTGTAAAGTTTTGGTTGAGGGTGAGTTGAAGTTGTATAGTCTGGATTGGTTCTCAAAGAGATAGTAAATGATGTAATTGAAATTGTGGTGATGATTGTGATGATGTTGGTGCTTCTTTTCTTTCGTCAAACGGGATACTGCCTCAACTTATATGCCAACTCATCTTGACGAATTCCCTAAACCAGCTCAATCGGATATTATGCATAGTGTAAGCAACGGAGCTCAATGAAGCAGTTGCAAATTCCTTCTAGATGTCTATAGATCAAGCTCACCAATCAGAACTTGCCTGGCTTACATCGATGCGGACGTTGATTGGCCAGTTTACGTGCCCACCCCACGGCCTTTCGCGGACAATTTTACTTTTCCGCTGCGAGGGACTTAACACGGACTCTCAGACGGGATTAACCAACGATTCCTCAGCTTAATTATAATCACGTTTCGGATATAGCTAAAGACCGTACATGACTTCATTATATCGGACTTTATCTTGAGTTATTGTATGATGGACTCAATTTGGCCAGAGAGGAACATAGACGATAGAACAGCCCATACTCTTCATTCGGATTTAGCCCCACTCACAGTCTGCAAGTAAGCCAAAGCGGATCATTTGTTTGTTACCCACGATCTAGACTCTGTATCCATTGCAACTGCTTACTGAACCCCCGCTTTCTGAGCTGCAGCAACCATCAATCTGCTCATCTCCTCCACAAGTTCCTGTATGAATGCCAGATGCGAAACTTCCGCGACGGTCAATTTTCGAATGGGAATCTGTTTGATTACTCTTGTGAAATCTTGAAGAAGAGACAAATTGATTGGAAGGTAGCCTGTCTGGGTGTTAAGAAGGGCGATTGAGAAGACGGTGAAGATTGCCGTCATGGGATAGAATATGATGATCCTTCAATGGACGTTAGACTACATGGAATTGCAAACACAGAAGGGGGAACTTACCAGAAACATTCGTGCGCCACAGCCGGTAATGCTTTTTCTAGATATGTCAAGATTGACTTGGACGCATCAACCAACAACTGGAAATTAGCCTCATGGCCGTCTCCAACCAGACTAGACATTGGGCCAAGTATTCTGCATCGTGCCTTGTGAATCAATATGACACAATGATGATAAGATAAACGAAGCATGATAGCTTGTGTATTCGTATTGGCATCAAGAGGCGTCTTGTCAAGAAACGAAAGTGTTGGTCTGTGATCCGGTGCAAGCGTAAGACGCCAAACCTCCAACTCCTCATCCAGATACCGAATTCTTCTTAATATTTCAGCTTCCGGTTGGCTTGCCGCGCTCATAGAGTAGAGGTCTTCATAAATCCGCGATTTGATGATTGATAGTCGAAGATCCCAAGGGTACAACGGGACGGTGGTCGGTTCATAAATAGACGCGTGTCCAATACTAAGAATATTGGAATTCTGCATTTCAGCGTAGTTCGGAGGGAGGGTCAAGTCGCAATGTGCATCGTTTATCGAAGGTGGTTGTCCGATTCTGTGACAGAGGTCTTTGTCAATGCAATAGCATACCCAGAACAGATCACGCATATGATGTGCTGGATTATCCTTGTTATATGGTTCGTTGTGTGGAGGTGGCATAAAAGCGCCGTGTTGGAAGATCATCCGGCCAGCCATGGATATAAGGAATGACGCTGAGTCGAGGTCGCCAATGAAATATTTATATATGATCTACTGATGTCAATGTCAATATGACTGAGAAAATGCAAATGAAGCTTACCAGCATCGTTAGAGCCTCAAGACCATCCAAGGTGGCCTCTCTTAGAATCCCCGACAAAGACTCCTCGACGTCCGCCACATACTTCTCGATGGGCTGTGCGCCGTCCGCTATAGGATCTTGCCCGTGGACATCCCCAGTGACAAGCATAGCTAATACACAGGCTCTAGCACTGCTAGTGCCGGACTGACCATTCGAGCAAGCGAGGGGGAGTGTCTTGTTAAGTAAGCGTTGGTGGCTGAGAACTGGGAAGACCAAGTATTCCGCCGACGAGCAGAATCTGGTCGCAAATCTCTCAACAGCATGGTAAGGTGGAAGATGTATTCTGTTTGGTGGCGAAGACTGTGTCCTCGGTAATGGGTCTTGCTGGAATCTCTCTGTTATGCTGTTCGTTAGGGTTGATTCGGCGACGGTCTGTGCCATCCATTTTTGGCCTTGTTCGCTGAAGAATGGGAGACCGTTGAGAAGCTGAAGACCTTGTAGATATGATTGGTGAAAATGTAGATCAGGATCCTGCGTGGCTGTAGCTCACTCAGTCTAAATCGGGTTGTCACAATGATAAGTTTCAACTTACGAGAGGAATGGGAACTGCCCCATACAAGTTCTCCCAGGCCCGACAGCAAGGGATCCGTATTTTGTGGTGACGTACCCGCAGACCTAGAGATTCTGTCAGCTGTTGTCCGAGACTGAGAGTGCACCGGTCAAAGACGTTGAGTAGTGAGGACGAAGTTGATTCGTCGAAGGTATCAGCTTACCTGGGAGTTGAATCTCTTGCCCTGATGGCTTTCTCATAGCTACAGGTCAACCCATGGTGCTTGCAATAATCGCATTTCGGCACGACTCTATCACATTGAATCTAACTCTTGATAAGCCTAATGCTCGCTTAAAATCGACGTTATTTACCTTCTTCTTGCGACAAGAGTCACATGACTTTGGCTTTCGCCCTCTAGAGGTCGGCATTGCTGTAGTGTCGAGATCTCGTTTATCGGGGTAATTGCAGAAATGAGCCCCTAGTCCGGCATTTGAGACTGAATTTTCCGCTGACTAATCCAGAGCTGGAACTTTGTATGACGTAGAAGAACGGCAGTTGAAGCTACCCTGTAACCATCAGCCGCGGTGGATTTCTTCGGGTTTTCTACAACGATTTAGGTCTGAACAATGGGATTCATGACGATCATGGGATTGCAAATGTTTCTCATCCATATCTCGGTCTCCGGTACAATGACAAGAGCGTGGTGGACCCAAAAGTGGCCATCGACCCGCTGAATCAGCGGTAAATATCGTGGTAGACCCATCGTCTGCGAATTTTCGGGAATGACTTCACGATCTCGGCTGGGCCCCACTCGTTATGGAATCGTGTTCTATGCGTGAAATGCGATGTTATATAAAGATGTGAAAGCCTCCAGATATGTTGATTTTCTACCACCACTCATCGCATCAAAGAACTTCAATCTTGTAAATCTCATCATCCGATTCCGCAATGGCTCAAAAGACTGCAGAGAAGAAGCGAGTCGTCATCGTCGGCGCGACCGGCCTACAAGTAAATTCTTCCCCCAACACATGCCAAATTTGGGAACTAATCATATCAGGGCGGTTCCGTTGCTCGAACTCTCGCCGAGTCCCCAGATCGCTACCTCATCCGCGGTCTAACCCGCAACCCTTCCTCGGCCAAAGCTCAGGCCCTCACTTCCCTCAACATTGAAGTCCAACAAGCCGACGTCGACGATACTGCAAGTCTCAAAGCCGCCTTCCAGGATGCGCACATCATTTTCGCCATGACCGACTTTTGGCAACACATGTCCGCCACACGCGAAGAAGCGCAGGGTAAATCCATCGTGGATATCGCTTCTGAGCTGCCCCACCTTGAGACTTTCATTTGGGCGGGTCTTCCTGATGCAAACACTATTTCCGGGGGCGTATACCCGCATGTTTATCATTGGCAGAGCAAGGCGGCTGTTACCAAGTATATTCGGGAGGAAAAGCCTGAGTTGTGGAAGAAGACGGCTGCGGTCCTTTTCCCCAACTATCTTGAGAACTGCGTTACGCAACCTGGGACATATTTGCCAATTAAGGTATGTCAACTGAGTCCACAGAGTAGGCAATTACTAATAGTTTGCAGCAAGCGGATGGAACCTATCTGAGATCTTTCGTTTTGCCCGAGTCTACTCCCCTTCCCAACGTCGCTATTTCCGACACCGGAAAACTGATTCAGTACATTCTCGACCACCCCGAGAAATGTCTCCAGAAGGAAATTGCTTTTTACTCCGAAGCCATTTCGGAGGGAGAGAAAATTCGGGACATGGCATCTGGTAAATACCCCACTTAAGATCGACAAGACAAGGACTGACCAACGCGTCGCAGCATATGGCATTGACATCCGCTACAACGAGTTGACTCCGGAACAATTCCAGAGTAACCTTCGAAAGCACATGAGCGATATTACAGCGTTGGATTTTGCCGAACAACTTCTTATCTTCCGAGACTTTGGAATGATCTACGAGCGACCCGAGTTTGTCCAGGCTAATCAGGCAAGTACAATAATTAATGCTGTGAGAGGGAATACTGCTAACATGACTTTTCTTTAGTTGCCTGGACTCAAATTGATGACTTGGAAGGAATTCATGCAGGTGAATGACTTGCACTCTTACATGACCAGTGCTTAGATCTACTATCATTCGCAAGCAATGACTTTAAAGACTAGATCTTGGGGATATTCAAAAATCGATATAGTAGATTAAATATATACTGATAATTATGTCTTCCTAATTTCTAGCAGACTAAGCTCTATAGTACGATTTACAATAACTGGGAGTTTTCCGGGCACTAAGTAGAGTAACTAGGAAGAAGGATATTAGGGATATTCCCTGGTATATCCGAGGGCCGCATTGTTAATTTAAGCTTTGCGTCAACTATTTTAGGTTTCTAGGACAGCCACGTGATAGGCGGCATTTTCAGGGGAGACAATGTCACTCGGTATTTGCACAGCCTCCTTGTAATTTCAGGGAGATGCGGGACTTTCCCTCTTCATTTTATCTGTTTTCCCTTTTTTCCCCCGAGAGGATTTCTTGGCTTCCTATTATGCGTCGCCGGTCCTTTTTTCTGATACTGCGGGTAACTTCGTATCTTCCATCAGGCGGTCGTCGTTCTCTCGTCTGACGCCGACGCTGTTCTCCATTAGGAATGATCTTCAAGCTACCACCGAACGTCGCGAACCCTATCACATTCACCTTCTTCCTTCGATCATAATTATCCTTGACATTATTCTTAGTGTCATTTTCGTCTTCCACCCTTTTTATACCCTTCACTTTGATTTTTAAGTTGCAAGACGGTGACAAACAGTTTTAACTTATCTGGACAAGCGCCAATAAATACGTCTGACTCTCTGCCGCCGAGTTGAAGAGCGATGCGATCACTTTATGCATAAGAGCCTAAAAAGCAATCACATGGTCGTTGGATACCATTATTCACCTCGTCTGCTGAGGATAGAAACAAAATGTCAAGCAACGAAGACGGACGTTCCAACGCCGGATATCTCACCTCATCGCCTGAACTAGATGACCATTGCTACCAGATTGCCAAGTGCCAGCAGCCAGATAGTCTGGGAACCAATCGAAACATTGTCGATTCTTCCTACGGTGTGCAGTCCTCTGCTACCCGTGTGTTTTCCAGTCTTCTACCAGCATATACCATGCCAAACCCTGCTTGTGAGGCGACTTCAGATGGAGAATTCATCAACATCCTGCCTAACAAAGCATTTATACCGAAGAGAGAAGCCGAGGATCAGAATAACGCCAATCCCTCACAGCAGGGAGCAAACCTACAACGATTCAGCTTCTTTTCCTCTGCGTTGGAGTCCACTATCTATGCTGCCGAGCTTAGTGGCCTAAATCTTCCTGGAGGAACTGTCCAGGACCTTTTCAGCTCCCTGGATGAAGAAAACAATGGAGTATGGTGGCTCAATATGAATAATCCTACTGGGGAAGAAGTCCAGACCATCTCCAATGCCTTCGGCATACACCCCTTGACCACTGAGGATATCATCACTCAGGAAACCCGCGAAAAGATTGAACTTTTTCCTTCCTACTATTTCTCCTGCTTCAGATCCTTCAGAAGCGTGGACCAACCCGCTAGAACCGACTACATACCTTTCAATATGTACGTTGTGGTCTTCCGTGAGGGTACTCTCAGTTTCAGTTTTGCCCCGGACGCTCATGCAAGCCGAGTGCGGACTCGAATCTCCAACTTGAAGGAGTATGAGTTTCCAAGCAGTGATTGGATCTGCTATGCTTTGATGTAAGCTTTATTTATCCAGAAGCTTTAGTATATTGACCAGCCTCCAGTAACGATATTGTGGATTCTTTTGCGCCCGTTGTTTCTAAACTCGAATGCGAGGCAGAGGCACTTGAAGAACAACGGTTTATTGCTCGACCTGATGACAATTGGAGATTCCTCCAGAGAATTAGTATAGCACGAAAGAATACCACGAGCCTTATGCGTCTCCTGGGTGGAAAGGCAGATGTCTTACGCGGCTTTACGAAACGATGCACCGAAAACTACAAAGTCACACCCCGTATGGACATTGCCCTCTATCTTGGTGATATACAAGATCATGTTGTGACCATGACGAACAGCCTGGTCCATGTCGAGCAAATGCTCTCGCGATCACATAGCAACTATCTGACTCAACTGTCGATCAACAGGATCGCTCAAGGTAATCGGGTCAACCAGTTTCTGACCCGTGTTACTGTTTTGGCCACCGTGCTAGTACCTCTAGTGGTGGTTACTGTACTCTTCGGAATGAACATCTCGATCCCGTGGAAAGGTGGAACCAAATTGAATGCCTGGTTCGGGATTGTGGGTGGTATCATTGCCTTTGCTCTTGCCTGTATACTTGTTGCAAGGAAGAGAAGGTACATCTAGATGCTGTTTATGCTTCTGTCAAGTTATGTGTATTTATTTTGTAGTAATACTTAATAATGTAGATAAACCAGCAAAGAGCCAAATTGCAAATTGCCAGTATTGCTACCCGGGGTTTGCTTGTGGTGTTGCCTGTACCTCAGCCGTAGCTTCACTCGACCCAGTAGGGTGGCTTTTTCATAGCGTTAGAATTGCATAACATAACTCTAGTGCATAACTCTGCAGATTCCAACATTATGCAGTTATGCAAAATACAAGATTACGAGTCGAAATCAGCTCTTCACATGCACGCTCGGTCTCTTGTTTTGCAAGGTTCGTCATCGCACGTCGATCAAAGCTGATCCTTGTGTCAATCGTCAACAATCGATACCATTGAACTGAGACAAGCTTTGCCGGGACTAATTCAATGGCCATACCCGGATTCCAGCTCGCGGGGAAAACAGGAAAATACAACGCCAGATATGCATCCTGTCAATATCTTTCCTTATTCGCTGTAGATGCATGAATAGTTTCACTAGCTTAAACCCACCATCCAAGCGCTGAGACCATAAACTCAATGGCCAATCTTGCACCACTGACGTTCTTGCATGTCTTATCTCTGTCGGACAGCTCTGTTCCCGTCTGAGGCAAGGCTAGCTGGAGCTCCCAAAACAGCGTAGTTGATCGACAGCGGGGCCTTAGAGTTGCCTAGCGCCCGCAGTGTCCCGCTCGATTGGTTCGGATGGCTCAGGTTGTCTTTCAGCTGTGACCTCTTCACTTGGCGATCGAAGAGAGATCGGTACTCTGTGCCTCGTAAGTAATTACTGCATTATGATGTATGCAGACGGATGCATTCGTCTCTGGATGGTATAAAAACACCTGTGATATCCCCAAAATAGTTCTTGTCATTCAACACATCTCATACAATTATTACCTCAATACACATCATGTCAGGTCTCAGCCAAGAAGTCAACTGGTCTACGTTGACCCAGGCCCTCTCAGAGGACCAAGTCCTAGTCCCAGGAACCGAAGCTTACTCTAAAGCCAGTAGGTATCATTCCCCTATTCCTAATACTACCACTGACAGAACCAGTCTTCGTTGGTAACTTGAACTACCGCAACATCAACCCTGCCGTCGTGGTCAAGGCCCGCTCTGTGCAAGATGTCCAATCCGCTGTCTGCTTCGCCAACCAGAACAGCGTCAAACTCACAGTTAAAGTCGGTGGACATGGTTTCATGGCATACTCTCTCAACGAAGGCGGCATGGTCCTTGATATGAGTGCCATGAACGGCTGTCAGATCAACAACGACGCGAGGACTATCACGACGGAAGGTGGACTTCTGTCTAGTGATGTTCACGACAAGCTCCAGGATAATCGCGATGTTGCCATCACTGGACTATGTGGAAGTGTCGGCTTCAGTGGATTTACCCTCGGCGGTGGTATCAGCCCTCTCTCAAGAAGCTACGGTCTCGGCTGTGATAGTGTTCTTGAGATGACTGTCGTCACTGCTGAAGGTGATGTTGTTACCGTCTCCAAGGACGATCGAGATGAGAAGAAGCGCGATCTCTTCTGGGCTTTGTGTGGTGGCGGCGGTGGTAACTTCGGTGTCACCGTCTCCATGACCTCGAAGATGCACAAGTTGAGAGATGAAGCTGGTAAGATTGTTTCTGGTGAGCTCATCTGGAACCTACCTCAGCAGCAGCAAGCCTTTGATGAGGCTATGAAGGTTCTCAACTCGGGCAACTGTCCTGCTGAGCTCACTGCCAATGGTGTTTGGTCTCATGGGAAGAACAAGCAGTTCACTGCCGGTCTGAAGATTATCTACAATGGCAACATGGATGAAGCCCAAGAGGCTCTCAAGTCTATCTTGGCGCACGAGCCTGTTGAGAATACTCTTGAAGAGATGAACTGGACCGATGTCAGCGAGAGCGACGAGGGCTGGGCCGCGGACAGCGAGGTCTACCTCCATGTCGCATCCTTCATTTTGCCTGAAGGTGCCATCACACCCGAGCTCACTTCCACAGTCAACGGCCTCATGAGTGAAGCTGCGACAGCCGTCGGCATCACTGATGAGGACAAGCGCAACTCACCCAAGTGCAGCTTCAAGTGGCTACATATCGGCGCTCAAACCTCCGAGATCCCCTCTACAGACACAGCCTTCTACTGGCGCGATGGGCACTACGTTGCAAGCATGAAAGTTCAATGGACAGACGTCTCCAAGCGCGAGTCAATCTTGAACTTCATCGCCAAGTGTCAAGACCAGCTTCTTCCGTTCGCCATCGAGAAGAAGGCTGCTTACGTAAACTATATCGATGGTGCGGTTAGCAATTGGGAGCAGGCGTACTATGGCGAGAACTACGCTCGTCTTCAGAAGGTGAAGACGGAGTGGGATTCCAAGAACTTCTTTAGTAACGATCAGTCTATCAAGCCGATTGAGAAGACGGCTGCGAGAAAGACCGTGGTCGGAGTTTGCAAGATGGCGCGGGGCACTCAGGTTGGACAGAAGACTACGGCAGTGCCAGTCGCTGTCTAAGCTCAGCCTATCGTAAAGATATTGCAATGTAAATAATTCGAATCTCGTCTCATTAATGATATATCTGCGATTACCTATTTCTGTGAATTGGTCGCTTTTTGATGCCATAATTGGGAGTTGTCTATTCACCTGTCTTCGTTTCGGTTCGGCTTGTTTCATACTGTGTTTATTTGCCAGGAATAAAACTGATTGTCGTAACTTTGTCCACTAAAAGATAAGTGGCTGCAGATGCCCAGCTTTTCCAAGTACCTAAGCCAATAAAGTAAGAGCGCGTAGTGGAGGGCTAGTCAGATCCCAAGACAGTCTCAGAGCGTGGGGTATGATGATTGGCTAAGACATATAGCTGTGGGTAGCCCAACATTCACCTACGATTCAGATCATACCTCTCTAACTCACCAAACACTTTACCTCAATCATAACTTTATCGCAACCATGGGCTTCGCCGAATCCGCCAGATCTTGGAAGCTCATTGACAATCACATCCTCCGAGCCGAGTGTCCCAATCGTGCTGGTGAATGGATCGAAAGCGACCTTGACCTGGACACATGCCTCGGCAATGAAAACGGTGCGTTCCAGTGGGGTGGAAAAGGTGAGTTCTGCGACGCTGAAATAGCAATAATCTACTGATAGTGATATAATAGACTTTTCGGGGAAGGCGGGCGAGATAAAGCTTGATGGGGTTTTTCTGACGGCGTGGCTGCCTGCGAGGGATGGTCAGATGAAGGGTGAGTATGTCATTCTTGATAATCGCATTAGTAACGATGATGGCAAGCTACACTTTGCTTAGTGAAGAGCATATTTTGTACTCTTAGCACTACTTGGACTTGTCTCTTTGAATAGACTTGAGTTTATTGTGAGAATAAATAAGAAGACCAGTATACCGTAGCTTGCTGAGTAATGCGTTCGGGAAAGGCACCAGTCCTAAATTCCGTTCAATTATAGCCGTCCAGAGAGATATCGTCAAGTCCCACGACAACGTCTGCCACGGCTTACTCAGATCAGTGCTTACACACTTATTAGCCCACCAACGACAACACCTTTACGGTGACATTTCGGAGACAATTGAAGTATAATAATTGATTCAATCTCATGCCCATTATGCAGCTGACCAGAAAGTCACTTATACAGATCGATAATCCAATCCATCATCATGAATGCACCAGAATCCAACAACCCATATATCCCGAAAAAGGCTCTGGAACCTACTCCAGCCCTCTATGGCCAGCTCGTAGGAGACGGCATGGAACAGCTCGCTGCTGCTTCGATCTCCTGCATCGACCTACCGTCATCAGAGGTTGTCTTCCACGACGTTGGTTGTGGTCTGGGCGCAGCGACTGCAGCTGTTGTATCCGCCTCCACTGACAGCAAGGTTAAGATCATAGGCAGTGATATCAATGACAACGTCCTTAATCTTTATCGTCAGGAGATCGCGAAGAATAATTGGCCTGCTGAAGCCGTGAAGGCGGACGCCACAGCTCTGGAATTCCCGGATGAGAGGTTCACTCATGCCATCGGTAACGCTCTGTTATTCGTTCTTCCGAACGATGGCATCGACGCCGTGAAGGAAATTCACCGCACCCTCAAACCAGACGGTGTCGCGATCTTCAATTCATGGGCTTACACCCCAACCCTTCCCGCGATCATAGCCGCATGCGAAAAGACTCGTCCAGCAGGGACACCTCTTCCACGCCAAGGACTCGAGAAGTGGGAAAACGGTAACTTTCTTCGCGATGTCATTATCCAAGGCGGCTTCTCATTTCAGAATGTTCAGATGGAAAAGAGGGATGTTTTTGTCACGGTTGGTGAGCTGAAGCATTTCGCGACAATGCTGTGGAGTTTCATTGGTGGAACTTCGAGTATGGGGTGGTTGGAGTCTGATGAGGAGAATTGGGATGTTGCTGTTGATGCTGTTGTTGAGGCTCTGCAGAAGAGCGAAGGATTCAAAAGTCTTGGGGATGGTAAGAATGTGGTTATGTTCAAGGCGAACATCGCAGTTGCGACCAAATAGTGGAACGCTCATTAACATCCCCTGCCCGATATGGTCGAGTAACTCAATTTATATCACACAGTCAGCAAGGTCTCTTCAATTCAATCATTATAATTCATATTAACGCTCGTCGAGTCATCATAACATCATTAAGCCTTATCCGCAGATCGATCCTTAGTAAAACCACCAGTATCAGCGCGGATCTCCTCCTTGCCCTGGGTACCACCACGACCACCGGGCTTTCCAGTAACGGAGTTAGGGATGTCGTGTCCAGTAGCGCTCATGACCTCTCCGATGCCTGACTCTCGGCCTTCGTTCTCGTTGAGAGCGTTGTCGGCTGCGTTGGCGAGGTTTGTAGCGCCAAGACCGTCGTCGTTCTTTTGGGATGGGTGGGGCTTGGAGGGGATTGTGTTCATCTTTCCAGCATCACCGGGGACTGAAGAGTATTAGTAATTGATCAGAATAGACAGTATAGGTGAGAGGGGACGTACTGGATGTGCCATCCTTGGCCATATCGAAGAGGTCGCCGCCTTGCTTAGCACCGGACATGATGATTGATAGTAGTTGATTTGGGTATGTAGGGTTGAATAGATTGTTGTATGATGAAGAAAGAGAGCTATGAAAAAGTCTGGAAGAACTGTATTTATGTTCGTCATTCTATCAAGGTTCGAATGATGTCATGTGTCTTCAATGTTGGAGGGCTTGGTAGTGACGTCAAAAATCTCCATCACTGACGCATTGATATTGGAGAATCCACTTATCGCGATCGTGATGCCAAGAGAATCAATTGCAAAAACTATCTATCTATAATAAAAAGAGCGATCTATACAAATGAAATAAAAAGCAAAATCTAGTGGTTGACTGGTCGTGTTCGTCTTGTCTTGTCTTGTTGTGTTGTTGTCCCCGTGGGTATTGGTATTAACCCGACCGAGCCAAAAGCTTCTCAAGCTCATCCTTCCACAGCTCCGCATTAATATAACTATCATGACCAGTAGTCTCATTACTCGCAGGCAGAATAACAGCCTTGCCGTATCCAGGCTTCATATCCTGCAAAACATCATCCTCCAAAAACGTGAGCTCAGGTGGGTTCATCCAGTCATCAGCGGTATTCACAGCCGTAAGCGGAACACGGATCTTCTTCAGTCCATCCTTAGGATTATAAGTCACTGACGCGTTCCAAGCGTACATTTGATCATTCGCGTCGTACTCTTCCAGTCTTGGAATGTAAGCTTCATCGACGAATTTGTCCATTGCTGCGCGGGTGGGAAAGTTGCGCTGGTAGTATGCTGGCGATGAAAGCATGGTGAGTTGGATCATCAGCGAACCGCCAAGACCCCCCACAGGCTGGCTGGTGTAGTTTCCGGCTTCGTATGCTGGATCGAGGGTGATGATCTCGGTGATGAATTTTCGGAAGAGACGGTTGTGGCCGGCGATTTCGACAGGTGATGAGGCGATTGGCATCAAGGCGTCGGAAAAGCCGGGATATTCAGCGCCTTGCATCCAGATGTGCATTCCTCCCATTGAAACTCCGAGAGTCAATCTTGTGCGATTAAGTCCAAAGTGCTCAGTAAACAGCTGATGGTCGGCGCGAACCATATCAGAGTACTGATACTTAGGAAATGCAGCCTTCAAACCAGTGTTGCTTGGTTTACTCGAGTTTCCATGGCCGATACCATCGCGCATGATGATAAAATACTTCTCAGAATCAAGAAGCTGACCCTTGTTGAAGAGCACAGCCGCGAACTCATCGCTGAAAAATTGTTCGCTGGATAGGGTTGTAGAGTGGAGGATAACGACTGCATTGTTGGACCCATCCTCGTTAACTTTGAGCTTGCCGAGGGTTTGATAGTGGATTTCGAGGTCGGGAAGGGTTTCGCCGGAGTCAAATTTGAAGTTCTCGATGTTGAAGAATCCATGCTTGGGCTCAGGCCAGGATGATTTGGCTGTTATGAGAGGGAGGAAGGTAAGAGACAAGGTGATCTTGGGTAGGAACTTCATCTTTGCGATTGTTCAGTATGCTTGAGAGTAGGTAGTTGTTGCAGTGTAGTGATGAGATTGATTGCTGTGTAGTTATTTTGTCTTTTGGGAGATTTCCTCTTGACTTATACACATTTTTCAAATCATTACTTCGAGAGCATTTCCTGTTTACTCATGGTGAGGCTCATCTCTGTTGAATTCGGAGTCGCATTTCGAAGCGATTGGTCCAACACCATTGGCAGCATGCAACTGGCTCACCAAGTTAAGCGAGTGCGATGTGGGGCAAGCTAGCGAGATCAGAGGCCAATGACGATTCTTCTCGCATTCTAGAAGCGGTATTTGGTGGACCCATGTCAACTCGAAGTCCGTAGGGCTGTAGGGTCAGCTCCAACGGTCTTGATGCAATGCGCCGCAATTTGCTTACGAGGACAAGTAGGCTTAGATTTATGGTTAAATCAATGACGATTATATCTATTCTTATTCGCTCTATAGGACCGGAGTTAAGCACTTTTTCTAACGAACAAGATTGATCATATTTGTGATGGGTAGGCTTAACATAATCGGAATATGTCATCAAACTAAGGACCACGGCTCAAGCATAGCGTGTCCCATCGAACGCCGAGGATAAAAAAACAAAAATTGGCCACACGTATTTTTGGTCTGAAACTGTAGTATTTACGACTCTAGGTTCCAAGCTGGAGTTGATCTTCAATGATGTGAAATCAGGAGGCAGTGCAGCCGGAGTCTGAAAAGAATCTTGATTCACCGTCTTACTGGCATGCTGACATGCATGACTCATGCAAATCGTGACTCATAATTGGCTGGTTCAAAAGAGAATCCTCAAATTTGTCAATCCCGAACAACATTCACATCGTCAAATACACGATCAATACCGCGACTATGTGTATGCACGACCACCAAGAGAGCGCGGGTTCAAACTCGTCGCCCAAAGAGGTGGAACCATTCCCTTGGCACATCGGAGTATTCGATGCGCACAACCACATCGGCGAACGCGTTCACTCAATAACAGATTTACCAACCATGAAATCCCGAAATTTGGCAATCATGGCGACGAGAACACAAGATCAGCCTTTAATCGAAGCAATTGTCAAGGAGCATGGTGTCAAAGGCCCAGAGTGCTTTTCGCAAGACAAAACGACTGTCGTTGCAGGCTATGGAAGACATCCATGGTTCTCGCATCAACTCTACGATGATAGTGTCGAGAATCCTACCTACGTAGCATCTGATGATATCGAAGAAGAGAAAGGAAGACACTATAAAGCTGTTCTTTCACCACCCCCCAAAAACCCAGCTTGGTGGAACCAGGAGCCCGTGCCAATCGCTCTTTCAACCTTCATCGCGGAGACGAGGACACGACTTCTGCAAGATCCATTCGCTATGGTCGGTGAGATCGGTCTTGACAAACCTTTCAGACTACCAATGCACTGGCCCGACCGAAGACCAGAAAGAGATCCCGCACGTACAGATGGCGGACGCGAAAGGAGACCACTAAGTCAACATCGCATCACCATTCCTCATCAAAAAGCTGTATTTACGGCGCATCTCAAACTTGCCGGTGAACTTGGAAGACCTGTCAGTGTACACGGTGTACAAGTTCATGGTATTCTATACGATGCTTTGACAGAGTGCTGGAAAGGCCATGAAGTCAAGGGCCGTCGGTCAAGGGATAAAGAAAAGAAAGCAAACCCCAACACAGAGGACGAGGGTATTCCAAAGCCCTATCCTCCGAGAATCTGTCTTCACTCATTTAGCGGCAAGTCAGACGCCGTGAAACAATATCTCAAGCCATCCATCCCAGCCAAGATCTTCTTTTCCTTCTCCAAAGCAAACAATCTGTCATTTGGAGCGACGGAAAAAACGGAAGATGCGGTGAAAGCAGTGCCTGATAATCGGATCCTGGTTGAGAGTGATCTACACACTGCTGGAGAGAGGATGGATAGTGAGCTGGAGGAGATGTATCGTGCGATATGTGATGTCAAGGGATGGAACTTGGAGCAGGGTGTTAAGCAAATAGCAGACAACTACAAGGAATTTGTTCTCGGATAGATAGCCGGCGAGTTGTTAGTTGTAGGATACAGCCAGCACAGAATGAGGCTTTATCATGAATTGCACCTTTCAAGCACCATGACTCCGTAAAAAGCTTTTGTGTTCGTCAGGGTGTCAGAGGAATTGACTGATGGAACCATAAGAGACGAAATAAATTAGTCACCTTATGCCAGCCTCAGACTAGTATTTAGGCTACTTGATTTCTGCGACCTAAGCCTTAGAGGGCAATTCTTCTGAAGCGCAGATAGACTTGAAACTGGTGGGGGATACAACGGTCTTGTCAGGGTATGCTACAGAGACCACACTGCAAGCATAAGCCATTTACGCCCGCGATGCACTACATTGAAAGCTCTATGTAGATCAAGAAACTCACGATTTTAGGCCCCATCCAAAGATAGAATCGTCTCTGCTAACACTGGCCTTTTCTGCCTTTCGATCAGTGATTCGTTGCCCTTCGTAGTTTACTCACCCCGCACTTCCTCTCGACTGGCGACGCGGCTCCTTCTCTCCAACCATTGCGATGCGCCCGTACCGCGTCTTGGGCAACAGGCTCGGCGTCCTCCCCCCAACGGCTTTGCCCTACCTTGACGCGCCTCAGTTCCTTCCATCGAACCGTTTCAACGCGGTCTCAACGCGCCGTTTACCATACGACTACGACCGGCGCTCCCGGAATAAAACGTCAATCTGGATGCGCTTCTCTACTTCGACAGACTTCTCTTTGTGTCACAAAAGCTCAGACATATATTTCACTTCTTAGCCAAGTGATGTACTCGTGATTCTGGAGATTGTCGACAAGAGGCGCCAGTAGCCGAGGTACTGTCCAGTGCGCACCTTCCTTTCTGATGGGATCGATGTCACAAGCCTCGTGTTCTTGCCATTAATAAGAAGTTATGTCATAATTGAGGGGTTATGAAGACGTGATCGCGCTCCTTCTCCCGTCTCCAGTGGTGTACGCGGCGGTTACCTTCCGATGGCAGTGCTGGCCACTCATTCAACAGCACCCACCCGCTGCCTGAGGTCCATCAACTCAGACAAAACAACAACGCGTCTCGCAGTCCCAGCCGTCTCCGCTTCCATCTTTCAACTGCGTCCATTTCACCTTGTCAGCCGCCATACTATCGACCACTGACCGTCTGCTTTCACTTGTCTACTTTTTCTTTCACCTCGTGCCTGGAACCTCCCAGTTCGAGTCTTACCGTGTATCCAAGCACACAAGCATGGCCATGTCACTGACGCGTTCCTTTGTGACCTGCAGCAATACGCAGAGCTGAGCCCCATATCCAGTCACTTATGAGACAAACTTTTTGAGACAGCTAACAAGGTCATGGACTCTGATGATACTGACGAGTCCCTGCTGGAAAGTCCCTTTGAGGTCGTCCATGCAGTCGACGCAGACCCAAGACGCTGAGAACGAACGCAAGACCCCATCCCAGAAGACCGAGAATCCCCCGTCCCGAAGCGAAGTTATAAGCAGAGCAGATATGATGAGGACAAGTTGAAGACACTGCAGTACGACCCGAACACGGCGACTGCCTCAAGACATCCTTTTGTCATCGACAAAGGACTTTGACTGGTTGAGCTTCCAAGCCACCGTCATCGAACAAGACATGAGAACGCGAAGATGGACGAAACGAGACGAGACGAGACGAGACGAGTTGAGAACAAGAAGTTGGAACAGGAGGAAGCGGTACAAGGAGCAAGGATGGAGATGGAGAATGGACATGGGTTATGAGGAATCGCCGGTCCCTGCTATGCTTTCGAGCTAGGAGTTGCTGTGCATTGTATTCCAACTGACGGTCTCTGCTGTGCCTTCGGGTCAGGAGTTGCTGCGCAGGTTATTAGAAACTGACGGTCTCTGTCGTACCTTCGGGTATGCGGTTGCTGAGCAGGTTATTGAAAATGTCAGGAGCTGCTGTGCCATCTGGGCCGGAGTTGCTGTGCATAAATTACTGGAGTGGGATGAGATAAGAAGAGAGGACATAGGATGAGAAGACAAGGGATGAGGTGACATGGGATGGGGGGAAGAATGAACAGGCACTGTGACCTACCTACGGCTCGGTGACCTAGTTGAACAACCAGATGTGGCCTACCTACGGCACGTTTGCGATTGTCACCGGAACACTGTGCCACCTGTGCCAGAGCTACCGAGCGTTACCTCATTGGGATGGGACGAGATGACATGAGATGAGGGGAAGAATGAACAGTCACTACGACCTACCTACGGCGTGGATGTGCTTGTTGCCGGAACACTGTGCTACCTACGCCAGAGTTACCGTGCGTTACTTTATTCAGATGAGATGCGATGAGTGGAAGGGTGAACAATGAACAGCCAACGCGACCTACCCAGAGACGGTTGAGCTTGTTGCAAGGGGGGAAGGGCGACGAAGTCGGACTCTCACAACCTCCACGTGGTGTCGCCCGGGGACCTGGTCTATTAGACTACAGGCAATGTGAGCGACGCACATAACGGTGTATTGTATCGTTTCAAAGTCCCTGGGCTCGGTGAGAATCCTTCGCTAACGCCTCTTCCAGTCTGTCTTGACATCGCCTACCCCATCTCCTCCACTGCTTCGATACCCTCCTCGCACCTTGTGTTTAACCGCCTCGACTACCGCTTTCAGATATCGCGGATCTCAACGGTACAGCCGCACCAGCGTCCCTGACGGCTCAACTTGGTTGTCCTACCGCCGCATCGATTTCCCAACAATCACCTCATCCTCGTCTCCCGAGTGATTCAGGCCTGGCCGGCTTGACTCACTCCCCCGACAATGACGACATCACTTCTTCAGATACCCCCTACTCTCAGTATGACCTCGACACAAGAGGTATCGGGTTACCTCAACCTCTCCCCTGCGTCTTGACGATCTTCGTCGAAGGTCGCGGCAACTAACCGCACCTTTGATAGGCCCTTCGCAGCCCACGCGCCCCCAGCAGCGGCTGGCGTGATTGGACCCCGAGCCTTCCAAGACGAAAATGGGTCAGCTGGATAAGGCAGCTTGTTGTGAAGGAATGGTTGATTACGAGCCCGGGAGATGAGCATCAAAATTACATTCCTCCGCAACGTTTACTACTCCAGGAACATATTGTGACAAGCTTTAAGTAGTCTCGCTCCGTAGACAGAATACAGAGTTGTCCTTCACAGAAGACAAATTTGCAATATCATAACTTCGATGCCGAGACCATTCATTAGGTGATCATCTGCCGCCTCCAAACTATATGATCGGAATGATCTTGACCGAAACCCTTTCGGATACTTCCTTAATGACTTGGTTATAAATACGACCATCACCAAGATCTCTCCAATCTTTTTCTGTATTGCTCTACCCTCGTCTTCTTCCCTTGTCAAATCAGGGCAGAGACGCCATTGTGAGATTTAGTGTTGGACTGCTGTATACCCAGGTTCAACCTCAATTCTTGAGGTGGTCGACTGCTGTTAGTTTAACGGCAAGATGTCCAATCATCGGATCCTGCCTTGTCCCAAATGTTTCTCAGACTCGCTCGGCCGGCGACATCATCTCTTTGCGTAGAATGGTGGAGGCTCCACATCTTCCAATCGGCCATGGGCAGATGTGGGCGTGGTGCCTTCCAATGGAGATGTTGGCGGCGCTCTCTCGGGGAAATCGCACCTGCCTTGACCAGGGACAACGCCCAACTACTAGGTGAAATCTTACCCGCAGAGAATTCTTCTCCTTTCTTCATCCCATCACAAAGAAAGTGAGTGTTACCCAACAGCAATGCGTTTGAAGATTGTTTTGCTAACTTCTTACCTACAGCTCTCGCGTTTCTGCAGTGAGTCTTTATCCTACCGTTCTCTAGAATGCCAGACAGCTGACCTGTTCTTGTAGCAAAGCCCAAACCACTGTTCCCGTACGTGCAGCACAACTGGTGCTACCAGGAAGATTGCTGACGTTGCTTGTTTCTTGTCTTAGAACTTTTCTTCACACAAACAGTAAGTCTCTTTCATCATCTGTACGCTTTCAGAACTAACATGACAGTAGAACAAACAACCACCACCATGCCCGCCCGCGTAAGTTCCCCAATTCTGCAGTACCTTGATGACGATAACTAATCTCTGATTCAGACTCCCAACAACAATGTTAGTCGCTCCCCTCCTCCTTCAACTCTCTGCCACCTCGATCAGCCCAGTAAATCGTCGTCATCGTCACCATTGACGCACTCGAGAAAATGAAGGTTTTGGGATGTGCCTGAGGCTTATACAAACCACAGGACCAGCAGAATGGCCAGGCCGCCCCCCCTGCGGGCTCTGCGGCGGTAATCTACCTACCCCTGGAATCAATGATACCATATCCATACTGACATGGCAATAGGAGTCACAACAGCAGCTGGCCGTGAGTATCTCTCCCATACAATATGACCCACACTAATGCGACCCAGGACCTTCGCCAGCAGGACCTGGTAAGGCATACCCTGCTACCGTTGTCCATGCAGGTTGTCAAACTCGACATTCAATGTATACTTACTGTGTGAAAAGATGCACGACGCCGTGATTCGGCACGCACAGCGCCAGCTCGACGTAAGTACATGCCTTCAAACTGTTCTCAACACTTCTAACATTTCACCATAGAAGCTCATCATGGCAATCGCTGTGAGTCAACCGACAATAACCACCTCCATGGGACATCAACTGACCATTCTTTGTTTGCAGTTGTGGGCATGGATCGACGAGGTACGTACAACCATCTCTACCCCTTTGTGTCTTCTTATACTAACTAAGTCATCCAGCGACGCGGCGCCAACAATGTAAGTATTACCTACCCCTCTCATCAAACAGCAGTTCACTAACATATTTCAGGCCGAGTAAACCGAGGAAGAGAAGAAGGAGGATGAGAACAAGCCCAAGAAGGAGAAGACGAAAGAATGGGCCAACAAATTTTTTTTATAAATACAAAACTTCTTCGTGCTGAGCAACAACCAAGTCCCACTTCATGAAGAACTACAGTGATATAGTGCATTTTACTCTGGCCTCGTTACTGACCTCACTCGCAGGTAGCCAAATGTTCGGGAGAATCTGTCAACAATCGATAGGAGGAGCCTACTCACCTTGCCTGTCTCCGGGCGCTTGAATATGCGGGACTAGGGCAATGACTGCCGACCTGAGGACAGGCACAAACGAACATGATCGACGGCGCTCTGGAACCGATCGACGCGAGCGAGGAGTTCACCATTTCTGAAGACTAGCATACCGAGGCAGCAATTACCTCCACATCTCAGCCCGCTGGTATCAATCCGAGCCAGGCTATCCTATATGACGTCAACGCCACCACTATCAATCTCCCCACCGGGTCACCGTCTGGAAACACTAAGATAAACCAACAACAGAACCTCTCTGGGAACATTGAAACGAAACAACAACAACAACAACAACTTGATGGGAACAGTCGACCGTCATCAGAAGCCCCAGCCGGAGGGCCGCAATCTGGTGATGTCGTAAAGGGTTCCCACCGCTCTTTTGGGGGATCAGCAAGGGGGATTCCCTGGCAAATCAGCTTCAAACGATACTGGAACATCACGGCGGCAACGATCGAAGCAGACGTTCGGCTTGGCCAATTTCGACATTGATGAGAAAGTCACCAGAAATCTTGCCGACGCATAGGTCGGCTTGGGGACTCGAAGTTGTCAGTTTCGTAAGACCGCAACCATAGGAACGGACGCAAATACCCGTTCTGCTGAGCCGATTACAAGGCCGCAAGTGGTGTTGTACACCATCTGGAAAGGGGGTATTGCTCAAATGCATCCCTAGACCGAAAGACATTAGGGGCTCAGTTTCGCAAGACCCCAATCAGACCAATGGAGCCGTATCTCATCCCAGCAAAGCGCAGTCCAATGCCCTTTCGGCTGGGCAGATTACAACGCTACAAGTGATGTCGCACACCATCTCGAGTGGGGATGCGGTTCTAACGCATCCCTGGATCACGACATCCTTGTACCAAGAAGTCAAGAAGCGAGACCAAGGCGGTCTGATCACGAACCACCGTAACGGAAGCCAACTATTTACCACTAAGCGACAGAACTTGCCTACAACAGTTACTATGGCGAGTGTGAGTGTTACATCTGTCACGACCTGATAGGACAAGGCCAGGCAGAAGGTACCGTGTGAGCATTGGAGTTATAGTCCTTGTTGCAAGAGCTGTTACCCCTGTAGGTTTCCATCCCCTCTGTCTTCTGTCCGGTATGCCAGCGTACTGACCATATTCTTCTAGCAAGGCTGCGACAGCGAATAGAATGAGAACAGAGAGCGAAAAGAAAGCCCACTCAGGTTGCGACTCTTTTCAGATGATTCGAAGACGTACGGATTGATAACGTTTCGGGCCACGGGCTCTATCTCCCAAGACCCTGATGATATCGCAGCGCTTCCATGATATCTTGTCCCATTCTACGTCAATCACCTGCTCATCATGGAAAGTACCTTATGGCAAGAGACACACAGTTGATAAAAAGACTGCTGTCCCAAAGGCACACTTATTACGATTTCCTTCTTAGCAGGTAGAGTGAGGACACCACGAGTAATAATCGTCTTCGCAATTTATTCAAATGGATCAAGACAGTTAGATCTTCATTCTACTGCATCGTAATCATCTGCAGAGAAGGAAAGGCGTACCCATAACAGACGGAATGGCGATTGCAGGGAAGATGAATGCCGGAGACGACGACAACATGTGTCATGACATCAATGATATCTTTTCCGTTAGGGTGTCTACATAAACAGCCTCTCATAAAGCATGGTCTCCAGGGTTCCTCCTTGCCAGCTCATACCTGAATCTCCCAACAAGACCAAGGTCAACCTGGTATGCCGAGATCAACGTCAATATAATGAAGGCTCGTTTCGGATTCCATACACACCCTTCCGACCAAAAGCTATTGACTAAACAAGATTGCTTGTACGAATCCATCGTCTTGATGTCGGAGTCGTTGGATGTGGGCGGCAAAACCCAGTTGACATCTCATAGGAAGAGAAAGAAGAAACGTCGACTTCATTGAGAGAGAACCTGGGTGCTTACAGCCAATGTCGCATGGTAGCCAGTCAGTAGCGCTCTCCTCCTCTTGACTCTGGTGATTGAATGCGGGCTCCTCGCAAAGTAGTTTCCCAAGGCCGAGCCTGCTGGATAGCATAGTCACTCGACTCGAAAGAGACCCGGGCTTTGCTGAATGGCAGGTTCCTATTTGGAGGACGAATTGGTCATCACGCCACATGTGTCAAGAGGCACCGAAAAACAGTTCGCGAGCTAATATCCAACGCCGCCAGCATCGTTAGAACTGGTCCGACAGGGGGTTCGGTGTGTCCTAGCTGTATGTTGAACGAGTTTTTGGTCGAGCCGTTCGGGTCTCGCTTCCAGACCCCTGGTACATGGTGGCTCAATGAGTGCATCAGAGCAATACCAGATTTCGCGATGGAGCAACTGGCGATGTTGTAGATGGCGCGACATTCATGCCATATTCCTTTGTTGACAACGGTTCGAAACCGCAATTGAACTCTCGTCATTATCAGCGAGATAGCGTGGTTTCCTCTGTCGGTTTGAGTTTCACTGTTTGTCGACGATGCGAGCAGAAGAGAAATCGAGGAGTAAGGCTGTCAGTTGGCATCCGAGGCCGAGTTGGAGAGCCAGTGATCTTGATCGTTATCGTGAACGAGCACATCGTGTAACACATCCCTCTCCGAATAAGCTGATGAGGAATTTCTCCTCTCGGCCATTGCGTTTTTCGCCGGGTCGAACAAAGCGTTGAGGCAGCTATGAATGCTGGTTCCAAAGGAAAGTTCGTGAACGAAACCTTGGTCCCATTGGAAAGATGGAAAGATGGAAAGAAGAAAAGTCGAGAATACGAACTTCGACCGACGGTGGCAGGAGGGTATGTCACCTTATTTACCTGGAGTCAATGTTGAATGGTCGCAGTATCGAAAAGGCCGCCGTCATTGGGAATAGCACCAGCGAGGCGAAGAGGAGTAATTAGCCGATGCTCATTGAGGCGTCGTCATCTGTCCGCTGTGGCAGTTTGGGCGAGGCCAGATTTTCTGGGACTCCCGCTTAAAACCGGTGATGGCAGCAAATTTGCTGGCGTGAATTGTCAGACCGGATCTCCCCAGATCATTCCACCAAGCCTGTACAAGCGAGAGCATCAAAATGCTACCGACGGCTTCTTATACCATCCTGTGCATACACGCCATGTAGCGTATGACCCCGGTCCGCAAGAGGTGGACAATCCTGCAGCAAGAACATCTCACGGCCCCTGTCGAGTATCTGGACCAACACACTTGGTGAGGACCATGTCCTTCAACCATCATTGACCGTAGTGGGTGTCATAGGAGCCGATGGGCTCTTTTGACTGAGAAGCACCAGAGCTGATGGGAGTCGATGTGAGAGGCGGATCTACCGCTACCGGCAAGGCGAGCATCGCATATGGTGCATGTTCTCTCGTCACCCGCTTACTGACTGTGTTCACGGAGAAGGAGATCGGCAGCTGTTGACGAGCATTAATCTCATGCCGTACTTCTCACGGCTGCGGAGAAGAGCTGCAGCTGTCGTCATGTTTGTTTCTCGTTCGCTTGTTCTTTTCGAGCCGTGGGTGGGTGTCGATAGAAATCGTTGTGCTCTATCTGTCGACGATAAGATCTTACGCTTTGGGCGCAGCGTGCATTTTCTTGAATCTCGTATCCTGCTCGCTCCTTCACTCGGTCGGACGGTACTTCGTTTGTTGATAAGGGAGGTAATTCGTGGCTCATATAGTTAGGTGAAAGGCCTATCCTAACCAGCAGTACACATGCTGGAGCGGAGACGGCGATGTGCAACCAGTGATGCCAAGATGATTTGGAGCTGTAGCCTGCTTGAGGAACAGCTTGACTATGGTTTTTGCGATCGCAAATACTGAGGCAAGAGCGCGCCTTCCTGAGTAACTAGTGCTCCCAAGTTTCGTTAGGATTCGCTAATACCACCATGGGAAAGGTACTTACTTTCATCTCGTCCCAGGGCCCTCATTTATTCAGCGTCTGACAGGCCTCGCATCGCGCTTGTTCCCTCGCTGACATCCGCCTCTCCTAGGTGACAGTTTGGACCCCATCGGTGGTCATCTGGAGCAGTCAAGGGTTGCTGGAGAGCAGGCGTCACTCTGGGCAAGAGTATGTAAAAGTGCGAGTGTCGGGCGATAACCTCTCTCGACTCTTTGCACGCTTTCCAGAGGCCGCCATCAATTAGATAGGCAGACTTGCTTTTCTCTTCTAGACATGTTTGTCCTGGGGATTGACGCCAATCACGGGGTAACGCGACCGCCTCTCCATCTCGGGCAGTGACATACTGGAGGCGGCGATCCGAGGGGCTGGATCGAAAACACGAGGCCTCCCAGATTCGCAAGCGAAGTTCGATCGGCAGGTGAACAAAGGGGTGGAAGACGGACGTGGCCATTTGATAGACTGCAGTGTGGTGGAAACGATCGAAAAGGTATGTCGATGTCGAGCTCTGGGATATGAGACGTAAGCAGAACTGGGTTAGTGAGGATGGAATTAATGTTGGTAACTGCGATTGGTGACAAGGAGAAGAAGAGGTAAGATCATGGATGGAGGTTGTGTGATATCTATAGTGAAGTAATAAAGTAGGTTTCGAAGAAGCTAAGCTTTGATCAAGTTTCGTTGGTGTCATCGCTTCGACGTGATGCGCCACCACGTGACCGACGTGACGCATTTTAGGTGGCCAGGTAGGTAGTTTTTTGTTTTTTTGGAAAGTCACGTCTCTCAACGCGTAGGTTAAAGCAATACAACAAATTGACACGGCTATGGCTAATGCCGAAAAGGTTACACACAGTTATACACGACTGATGCGTACCATAAAAGCTTCTCCTCCTCCCCAGAGATTATTAGTTAAATCCTCCTCAATCACAACGATCAACAAACATCTATTTAAGGTTTTTGAAGGACAGTCATCAAGTCGTACAGGTCAAATCAACACAATTAAATAACCACAGATGACGTGGCTCAACGCACATATCCGCCCCCCAAAAGTGAAGTAAAGATCATGCGTAAGATCTATATTGGTGTGTTAAAGAAGTGGTATCGCGTAGAGGGGTGCGGAGGTAAAGGGAAATGTAGTTGAACGTTCAGGAGACGATACGAGGGAGCTCAACCACACCGCAGGCCACTACAGGTAAATCAGCGAGGCAACAAGTGTTCCCAAGCCACCAGAGACTTTATGTTCAGCTGTGAAGGGCAATGTCTAGTAGGGGAGATTGAAGCAGTTGAAGAGCTGAAGTTGGAGCAATTACAAAGGGAGAGCGACACGGTGACTGACCTAGCAGAAGCCGTTGGAGTGGTTGGCCGGGCAATCGTAGTCGAACTAGCTGGAGAGAATTAGTTAGCGATGTCCAAGAGATGGAGCTGAGGCAGTTCACCGAGGCAGTTAGACCAACGCAGTTCGCACTGTTCCCATCACCCTGAGACTCAGCATAATTAACGATTTCTTCCGGTAATCTTGGCCTAACCTTGGGCTGATTATCATCCGCACGTCTAAATGTTAAGATGAATTCAAGACGATAAGGTCTGCAAGATGGTTAGCGGAGCCCACCCACGTACAGAGGATGATGGATGATCACGATACAACAAACCGTTTGTGCGTCTCTCACATTGCCTGAAGCCCAAAGTTTGGACTAGGTCCCCGGACGACACCACGAGGAGGTTGTGAGAGTCCGACTTAGACGCCCTTCCCCCCCATTAGGAAATCATACGCCCGGTAACTCTGGCACAGGTCGCATAGCGTACTACCGACAATCGCAAACGTGCCATCCATAGGCAGATTACATCTGGTTGCTCAACTGACTCACCATGGATGCGGTAGGAAGGTTAAGTCTGGTGATTCAAAGCATTAATTAAACCATAATCCATAACTCATTATCTTTAACAAAAGGTTTCACTGGTCCCTTCTCTACTCAATAATATCATCCCATTTCCCCACCTTGTACCGTTTCGGAGGATTTTCAGGAGGCTCCTTTGTCATATCTTGGCTCTGCTGTATATCCCCGGCCACATTCTTGGCATATTGGGTCAGTATGCGATTGCCAGCCCCATCCTCTGAGACTGAGTATAATGCCCAGCAAGCGTCTATGGCTGCCATATAAGCATCTCGTCTCTTCAAGTCAATTCTTCTCTCTGCGTATCTTGCCTGAAGGCCCGATCTGTGCTTTGCGAAGGCTTCTCTGAACTTCACCCAGTCGATGCCAGCCGTTGGGTCATGTGGTTCCAGTTTCACCTTTACCATGTTGCCATCCAGATTCTTGACCACTTTTCGGTAGTCTTCAACCTGTGGTGGCTTATGATGACACTTCTCATTCCGTCTACCATACTCTGCGATCCATGACAGTAGAGTCGGGCGTGTGATCCCAGAATTGCTGCAAAGTCTCTGTATGCGATCCAAGAATGGCGTCGCAGGTGCTGTGTCTTCATCCTGAGCGCCAGTTTGCCATTGCAATATCTTTGCTTTCTCAGCGTCCACTCGCTCTTGGGTGCTAGTAACCCATCGCCCTCTATCCAAAGCTGAAAAGTCTGCTTCTCTCTGAGCTTCCTTCTCAGGATCGACGTCATGAAAGGTATATAGGCCAGTATACTCAACACCATTGGCTTCCGCTTCTTCTTTGGCGTTTGTGATCGCTTCTTGCTCGTTCGCATTATTTTGATCCTGGTACTCTGCCCTGGAAAGTTGCTTGTCCTTCTCCTGGATGGCATGTTCTCCTTTCTTGACGCTGGCAATTGATTTACCAAACCAGTCACCGTATTCAAGCAAAAGTTCGAAGTCGTCTATATCTGCTTTTGCTTTCTGCTCTTCGAGTTTGCAATGTTCATATTGTTCTTTAGTAGTTTGCAGTTCCGCTTCCAGACTTTTGATCTCCTGGGAAAGACTCTTGCGTTCGTTCTCGGCGTCCTCAGCCTGCTTCTGCTTTAACTCAAAGAACTCAAAGGCGCCCCGTAACAGCGACACGTCAGCATCATCATCGGCGTCCACGGCCTCTTTCGCCATCGCTAAAAGCTTATCTCGGAGGCGACTGGATGCGGGGCTTAGCTCCTTGTATTGTTCCAGGCCGCTGAGTACCTTTTCGGCTACTTCAACATGCTTGCGCTTCTTTTGTTGAAGTGGAAATTGTTTGCTGGGAGACATGACGATTCTATGGCTTGTATTTGTAAATGTGTATTCGTTAATGTTTGTGTTCAAGCTAGCGTCTGCGTTTGTATTCTGTGTTCTGTACTTGTTTGTTTTGTTTATGTTGCTGGGTCCAGAGGAACGGTAGGTCTACTTGGAGAAATGTTTAGTACTGCCAAAATAATCAAGGAAGTCATGGCCGCCTAACCCATTGGAGTTCGAAGAAGGAGGCAGCAGGATGGTAACTTACAAGTTAGTGTTGCTTACGCTTAGCAGTAATCCTATCAGGTACATAATAAAGTTGGATTATAGTTGGAAAGGATTATTTAAGTAATATATAAGGTTAGTACCTCTATTTCTAAACAGATTCCTACAACAATAGTAGTTATCTATTGTTACAGGAATAATTATATTATCTACATGATGAGATTCTTATTGCAACATAACCTATTCTGGCGATAACAATCTTATCATGTACCTAATGTGATCTATACAGCCACTGTTATCCTGCCAGGAACAATCCTGTCATGTACTTGATAAGATTTTTACTGGATGCCCGAACCTGTTAATCATTTTTCACTCTTCCACATTCCATTTGCATCTCGATATCTCACGAAAGTTTAGGCCAAGATGAGTCACAGGCCGAACTCAAACACTGGTAAGTCACTTCATCAAGGGCGATTCAATTGGTCAGAACGTCCGTTCTAGAGATATTTCGAGGAAAGGGTGTTGTCATTGTCGTTATGTTGTCTCTGTAGGGTATGTTCTCGCGTAACATGTTTGTTAGTAATGGGTTCCCCGCTTGCTGATCACCAACCAAATGTCGAGCCGGCTCACTCCCGCAATCAAGCCACCGTCCAGGGTTGGTAAAGATCGACACTTTTCGAGGAACCCAAGTCGAGCAACAACTGACGACTCCGCACGATCAGTTCAAAGATAAAACTGGCCGCTCGGTACATAATCTTGACCTCAGATTCATTTACTTTATCGCAACCATGGGTCGTCTAGACGGAAAGGTTGCTATTGTCACAGGTCAGTCTCCCATCCCACTCTCTTCCTCATCTAACAATCCCAGGCGCCGCATCTGGCTTCGGCCAAGGTATCGCAGAGCACTTCGCCGAAGAAGGCGCCAAAGTCCTCATCTGCGACATCAACACCGAAGCAGGTGAGAAAGTCGCAGCATCATCCGACTCATTTGCATTTCACACCATGAACGTCACCAAAGCAGCAGATTGGCAGAGTGCTATGGAGAAAGCGGTTGCGACTTGGGGACATGTTGATATTTTGGTCAACAACGCGGGGACGAGCTATCAGAACAAGGTTCGTTGCGCGACAATTGTGTAGTAACGGTATTGACGGGATGCAGAGTACGAATCTTGTCACCGAGGAAGAGTTTGACAAGGTCATGAACGTCAACGTCAAAAGCGTCTTTCTGGGAAGTAACGCCTTCACAGCACAAGTCAAGAAACAGGGGACCAAAGCTTCAATGATCAACATCGCCTCAGTCGGCGCCCACCGTCCAAGACCTGGCTTGGTGTGGTACAACGCCTCCAAAGGGGCTATAACAAATGTACGTCCAACTTCCCACTTCAGCGAGACAAGAGACAAGAGACAAGAGGAAACTAACAAAAAAGGCAACGATGGGTCTCGCAGCAGAATATGGCCCCGACGGTATCCGCGTCAATTCCATCTGTCCCCTCGCTACAATGACAGGTCTCCTACCTACCTTTATCGGCAAAGAAATCACCCCCGAGGTACAGAAGGCACTGGGGAATGTTCCCCTCGGCAGAGTGGGGGAGGTAAGGGATGTTACCAAGGCCGCGGTTTTTCTGGCGAGTGAGGACGCGGAGTTTATTACGGGTGTCAATTTGGATGTTGATGGTGGGAGAGCGATTTAGATTGGTCCTGGTTGCTGGGTTTGAGGGGGATTATCAGGTCATCATATGCATGTTGGTTGTATTTGCATGAGAACAATGGAATGCCAAGTTCGGCAGACAAGGGACCCTTGCTTTGAAGGATTGTGACAGGGCGGGCGGGTGAACGGCAAAGCTCTCCTATGCACCTTGTCGATCCAACGACTGGGTCCTTGACCCGCTGTTGGTCGACATGTGCGACATGTGAAATTGTACAGGGTTGATCCTGCGACGGTGACGGTCTGTCATACATTACGGGTGCGCTTGGCGCGGGATGAGGAGAGAGGAAAGAGAGAATTGATCCCGGCGATGAGGAAAGGGTTGCCAACATGTCTGGATCGCGATGAATTTGAGGGTGATGAGATCTGGGTCTTTGAGGTACAGCTATTTATCGGGTTTGCCGCAAGGTCAAGGGAGCAAGAGAATCAGATCATGTTATCCGACACGGCTCCCACACATAAAACCGATGAGAGAAGAGACAACAATTCGTGAACCACCGTTAAAACTCAATTGGCTACCTACACTTTCGTTCTATTAATCCTCCCAATCCATAAATTATTGCTTACCATTCTTACTTCTCAGCAGCGACGTTCTGGCTACTGCGACTAGAAGGCACCCCAGTAACAGCATTATCCGGCGCCTTATCCCCATGAGCCTCCGAGATCAACTTCCTATCAATAGCAGCGCGCTCCTCATCCGTAGCATCAGTAATGTGAACAGCGACTTCATCACCAAACTGCTTGCCAATTTCTTCAAGTGAAAGACGCGCTGTTTCGGGCCAGAAGAAGTAAATGGCCGGGATGAAAAGAACACTCCAGACGATGACAAGAAGGAAATATTTCCAGCCCACGGCGTTGAAGCCAATGGGCGCGGATTGGAGGAGGATGATGGTCGCTGATATTGTTAGTATTGGAACTCGAAGGCGGGTGATGTTGCTTACCGGCGAATTGACCAAAAAGAGACCATCCAATACCGATAGATCGGATCTCAGTGGGAAAGATCTCCGAGACGTAGAGATACATGGTCGTGTTGCAGAAGGTACCCTGGAAAGCGAGGTACAAGAACATGAACAGAACTCCGATCGCATTGCCCGCCTTGTTGTCTGTACCAGCGTACAGCGAGATCATGGCGCAGTATACGGAAGTCGTGATGACAATACCGACGAAACCGGTCATGTACATCTTGCGACGAGAGTTGACCTTGTCGTGCAACCAAGCACCACCAGGGTTGTAAATGAGACCAGCGGTAGTCAACCAGAGGGCCGAGAGAAGAAGGGGCATGTAACCGGTTTGGCCCAGGCTGGTGTATAAGATGACGGCGTAGTTGTTCTTGTGGAGGTTAGTAAATAGCATCGAGACATGAACAGGTACTTACGATGATGAGAGGTCCTCCAAACTCGGCACCCCACTGAGTCATGAAGCCGATGATCATCCTCTTCCTGTAGCTCGACTTCTTCAAAACAGCCTTCCAGGGACTTCCCCCATAAGCCTCAAGCTTCTTCCCATCAAGCTCCAATTGCTTATCAATCTGATAAAACTCCTCCTTCGCAACAAGGTCCTCTGGATCTGAAGACGACCTCCTCAATCTCAACAGCACAGACCACGCTTCATCTCTCAGACCCTTGGACATCAGCCAACGAGGTGATCTGGGAATCCAAGGTGATCCAGCGAGGAGCACAACAGGCGGAAGGATCTGGAAAGCGAGTGGGAAACGCCAGCCAAACTCCAGGTTGGATGAGAAGTACACCGCGAAGCCGATCCAGGAGGAGAGCATGTAGCCAAAGACGAGGAAGATGGCGTGATGTCCGACGAGCCAGCCGCGCGCGAGAGGACTGGACATTTCGGAGAGATACATTGGTGTGACAGTCGCCATAAGACCAACACACATTCCCATGATCCATCGTCCAGCTTGGAACATGGCAAGATTCTGAGCAGCAGCCTGCAAAACACCTCCAACAATTCCCAACGCACATCCAAATTGAATACTTCTTAACCGACCATAATAATCGCAAGCCCACATGAGAATCAAGCATGCGACAGCACCACCAGCAGAGAAAAGACCGTTTGCTGTAGCGATGGCTGGAGTAGTGATGGTATCGTAGCCTGGTTCGCCATTTTGAGGAAGGTTGAAGAATTGGTACCAGCCTGGTTGACCGATTGTGCTTCCGATGATTGAAGCTGCGTAGCCGTAGGTCTGCGAGTCCGATCAGTTAATGTTTTTTTGGAGGAGGAATTGGAAGAGGGACGTACTGTGCCGCCGATAGCGACAAAAGTAATTACGAGCTTGTTGTACAAGCTTGTCTGATTCCCGGTTTGAGCCATGTTCACCCGCGATGAAAAGTCAATGCGGCAAGAAAAAAGAAAACAAGTTGAGAATTGATCAGAAAACAAAAGGTCTGATCGACAAATTTAGCTTTCCGCCCTTCGGTTCTTTTGAAGGGGTGGTTCCCCCACTAGGAACTCGGTTGCCGATCCCCGGTAGACATTGTTCTGCAAGTACAGGGATGAAATTGATAGTCGCCGTGGCTTCCCATTGTGACAGTTTCCACATGCAGGGTTCAGAGTAATTATCACCAAACAGGCTGAGACCAACAAACGACACATGGATCCATATAATCGGAACATATTGTCTGCTTTTGGATTGAAGCCCGTCGCCATCACGATCTTTGTACGTATAACAAGGACCTCAACAAGTACAGCATCGATGGTTCCTGCATTACCTGAACTCATCTTACTACCTTGCTCATTCCAGCACAATGGATCCTTCAATTATGGAAAAGTCCTGGGATGAACTGCCCAACCCGAAAAAGGTCTGGATCGGAAAACCCGGTTCTCATGAAGAAGGTCTTGGCCGTCTGGTCCTCCTAACACCCGACCGCGTCGCAAAAGCCGCCCAGACTCAGATTATCACAGGAAGAAGAGTTAATCTAGGCTGGGATCTGAATAAGCTAGAGTTTGCTTGTTTTGATCGCCAACCTTGTGAGATGAAGATGGTTCCGTTACTGGATGGTGTGGCATTTGATGATATTTACACCTTGAATCCGCAGCAGAGTAGTCAGTGGGATGGGCTGAGACATTTCAGTATGCCTGTTGAAGAGGGGGGTTCTGAGCGTGTGTTTTATGGCGGGACTACGAAGGAGGAGATTCTCGATCGGGATAATGATAGGATTGGGATTCACCATTGGGCTCAAGAAGGAATTACAGGTCAGTTCTCATCCAACCTCACATTAACTCACCACTCATCATCCAGGTCGCGGTGTTCTCATCGACTACGCATCATGGGCTGAAAAGAAAGGCATCGAATACACAACCTTCTCCCAACACACCATCAAACTCTCCGAAATTCTGGAAATCGCAACAGAATGCAACATCACTTTCCAACGCGGCGACATCCTCCTCGTCAGAATTGGGGTGATAAAAGAATGGGAGACAAAAATGGACGTCTGTGCCAAACGAGCCTACGCCGCAACCAAGTCCCCCAAACATGCAGGCGTCGAAGGGACGATGGACGTGCTAAAGTGGATATGGAACACGGGTTGCGCAGCTGTGGCTGGCGATGCGATTAGTTGGGAGGTATGTGACCCTTGTCTCTTTGACTGTTGGTTGGTTGCTGATGATTCAGGTGTATCCGCCTACCGAGGGGGGTGTTTTGATGCATGAATACATGCTCGCTGGATGGGGAATGCCAATTGGTAAGTCATGCTTGTCAGCTGTGGGAGGGTGCTAATGATTTGTAGGCGAATTGTTTGATCTGGAGAGATTGGCTGAGACGTGCAAGGAGTTGAACCGTTGGACATTTTTCATGGTTTCGTCGCCGTTTAACATGCGTGGGGGAATATCTTCTCCGCCGAATGCGCAAGCTATTTTCTAGCGAGCATGGCATGTGAAGAGAAGACAAGGGATTGAATCATGTACCTAAGATACAGAGCCAGCCACTGTAAAGAACAATGGATATAATTACTTTTTCCTCGTCAAGAATCCACCTGAAACTAACGAGTAACATCAACCAACAGAACAATAGAATACCCATAAGCGACCCTCCATCATATCATATCATAACCTTCTTTTCTCTTCCCGCTCAGCCGCTCCACCCTTCAAGGGCCGCTTCCGGGACCCACCGTCGATCATTGACGAGTCTGAGCGTGATGTAACATCCAACCAACGAGACAATATTGTCTCTTTTTGAGTGCCGAGGTTGGTTGGTTTGATGCACGTTTTAATCTCCGTATTTTGTGCAGGTTGAAGATCCTTCTGCTTTTGCACTGAGAATTTTTTACAAATTGGGATAATTCTCCGTGATGGTAGACTGGGCAGAGGTGTCAGTTTGGTGAAGAGTTTTAATGTAGAATGATCAACTGTCGATGCGCACGTCAACTGTCGCAGACCCTTCCTTTTCTAACATCTGCATGAACTGAACAATTAATTAGAGAGCCTCGCGTAAGATACATGCTCCAGGTATCTAATCCGTCAGGACCCAGTTCTCTCAGCCGTGGATAACGCAATCCGTCTACCCGAGGAGCCAATTGAATCCAACAATCGAATCCAGTAATCACACATTGTCATTAATCACATGTCACCAACGAAATGAACTTACAGTACGGGGCCGATGTTTGCTCACAGACTCGATAATTATCTGCGAACAATGTGCGCCACTAAGGGTTCCAGATCCTGTTGACCTTGTTACTCGTGCGATCCTTGTTGGCTCGGCAAGGACCGATCCGGTAGTCTGTCAGCTTTCCTTTGTGCTGCATAATGATATTCGTTACCGGGACATCCTGAGCCAATAATCTTGGAAAGGTACCTGATGGCCTTTTGCAAGACTTGCCACTTCGACAGCCCGTGCCCCTGAAGACTTACTTAATATACTCTTTGTCGATCCCATCAGACCCCCTAATGTTGCTGAGCAGCGTTTCTCTTTGACTGTTATCCACCTTCGCTTCAACGAATGTTTCCTGCACTTTAATCTTCAACAATCCCGAGCGCTTGGATACCGCGACACAACATGGTCAAACCAGGCATGGAGCCCCCTCCGGGCCAACAGTCCAACTTCGACAACCCTGATCGTGAGATGTACTACATCTGTATTGCAGCTAACACGATTACCATGATCATTTGCTCCATTTTCATGGGGTTGAGATTGTGGGCCCGGTACAGACTTTCGATGAGACTGCGGATAGATGATAGTATGATGCGCCCCATCTCCTTCTAGATTGTCGTTGCTAATCTGGAACACAGTTGCTTGTGTCATCGGATATGTGAGTCCTCGTTGCTGCTTGGTTGCTGCCAGGTGATATACTGACTTGTTAAAGATTGGATTGATGGGATATTGTGTCATCTGTCTACTGAGTAAATCATTCTCTTCAATCTCAACGCCCAAAGCTAACCGGTGTAGTGCTGAGATACGGAGGTGGTCTACACCAATGGGACGTCCCAGCCGATCTCGTCCCCCAATACAGCCAAACCGTCTACGCAACAATGGTAAACTACGGTCCAACAGTCTTTGCCATCAAAGCAGCCATCCTGCTCTTCCTAGCCAACATTTTCGCCCCCTACAAAACCTACGTCAAATGGATCTACGGCTTCCTTATAACCATGGGCATATACTACGTTGTCATGCTCTTCCTAAAGATGTTCATCTGCTGGCCTATATCCATGTTTTGGGGCGCTACCACTGACGGAAAGTGCTTTAACCAGCGTGTGCTTATTCTGGTAGATAATATTATTAGTCTTCTGAGTGACATTGTGGTTCTACTACTGCCTTGTCCACTTACTAAGAAGTTGCAAGTTGGTTGGGTTGCGAAACTCAAGATCGTGGCTATCTTTGGTGTTGGTGGTTTGGCGTGTGTTTTTAGTCTTGTGAGATTGGTGTTTATCATCCAGAACGGGGAAAGTCAGGATCAGACTTATGTCTTTCTGCAAATCAACCTCACCGGGTCAGTCACTTCTTAACCCCGAACCCCAAACCCAAGTATATCGCAACTAACCAGAAACAGCATCGCCGAGTGTGGAATTGGTCTCGTCTGCGCTTGTTTCCCGTTTATGCCCATGCTGTGGAAGTCGATTCTCCACAAAGACAAACCCGGTTACTCATCGAATTATTCCCGGTCTCAGTTTGAGATGATGAGTGGTTCAAATAAACGGTCGCGAAGTGCGACGCATAATGCTGAGAGTGCGCATTATAAGGAGAATGGAAGTGATGAGAATATTCTTATTCCGGATGGGAAGTCCTATGTTACTACCAAGGTCCGAGCTGGGGATGGTATTGAGGGAAGTGTCGGGGAAGAGAGTACGGGAGGTGGAACGAGTCTTGATGATTCTCATATTTTGAGGACGGTGGAGGTTACGCGGGTGTATGAGAGCAATTAATATGTATACTATCATCTTATTATCTACGCAGGTACACGAGAGACTCCCATCCAAGTCTTGGAGATACCAGAATAAAATAGCCTAAGTACTAATCTAAGATATCCCAAAGTGACCGACCTCTTTCGTCTCTTAGGCTGTCGGCAACCAATACTTTTAAACCCCCAGTTGCTCTTATGTCGGAGTTGTTGCATTTCACGGTTGGCAATTGGTTATGATCATTGATTCAACATAATTTCATTACTCGTAAATATGATGCATAAAACAATTAAGCTATAGCTACCACCCAAACACCACCAGTATGAAGGTTCCACAATATTGCCGTCCAATTTGTTCCAAAGACCGAAGACCAAAGTCGAAAGACCTAGTACTTGTAACGCCAGCCACGCTCAACACCAGAGTTCTCAGTCCAGCCCTCCTGCTCATCAAGCTTCTTGTTAAGCTTGATAGCCCTCCATCGAACAAGGAAAGCAGAAAGAACAGTCAAAGCACATCCAAGAAGCAAGAGTCCACCAGCCATGCGGTAGAAAGGCTCCTGGCTTCGGGGGTAGAAGTAGGGACTGAACCAATGGCTCACTTGGCTGATACAGTTGGCGATGGCGATAAGAGCAGCCTTCTTGGCACGGGGGGCAGGGACAACGGTGGTTTCCCAAGACAGTTGCAAGTTGAGACCGTTGTAGGTACCGCAGACAAGAAGAATGATACCGATGTAGCGTGCTGCCACGTTTATCGTGCCGATGAGGATACCACAACCTGCAGCGGAGAGAATGATGGGGATGACAACGTGGTATGTCGATTCCATAAAGTGACCGCAAGACCAAGCGATGAGACAGGCAGCGATGTACGCAAGAGCGTAAGGAGGAGCCTGGATGAGGTAGGTGGTCATCTTGTTGAAGCCGAAAGTGTTCATGATAGAAGGAAGAAAATCCTTGAAGCTCTGAGCAGTGACGAGAGCAAAGTGCATGAGACAGAAGTACCAGGTGAAGGGATCGCGAACAGCTTCCTTGACACCATCCCATGTTCCACCAACCTTCTCCTCGACACCACCGTTGGACACCAAGATTCGGTACTGAGCCATCTCACGTTCTTGCTCTGTGAGGAACTTGGTGTCATCGGGCCAAGAAGGAAGAACGAAGAAGGCGACAACAGCGACCATGACAGAGACGATACCCTCGATGAGGAAGAACCACTGCCAAGCCTTCATGCCAGCGACGCCATCCATATGCTCCAAAATACCAGCAGCCAAGAAACCAGAGATGATGTTCGAGATAGTGTTACCAGCGTGCCAGATAGCCATGCGAAAAGGGCTTTCTTCCTTAGTATACCAAGAAGATGTCATGAGGGTCAGACCAGGGAAGAAAGGCGCTTCCATCAAACCGATGAAGAAGCGAACAGTACAGAATCCAGCACCGTTGGTCATGGCGGGCATGCAGATGGTTCCGGCGCTCCACATGAGCATGACGGTGGGGAGGAAGATCTTGGGGTTTGTCTTGGCCATGATGAGATTACCGGGGAGTTGACCGATGAGATAACCGACGTAGAAAGTAGAGATACCGGTGTTCCAGATAGTGTCGGACATGCCGAGATCTTCCTGGAGACCAGCGAGACGAGCGTTGGAGACATTGATGCGATCGAGGTAGCTGCAAGGTGTACTGTTAGCAATTGACTTTACAATACTTGGTAGGTAACGGGACTTACTTCATGAGGAACATGAGGGTGACACAAGGCATCATATGCCAATCAACCTTCTTGAGAACACTCTTGTTAAGCGCAGACATCTGCGTCTCAGAGAGATCCCTCAAAAGAGGAAATCGCGCCTGGATTTCGGTGGCGGGAATGTGGCCATGGGGATTGACGGCGTTTTCGACACATTCTGCGACCTCTGCTTTCTCATCGCGGACGTCAGTGTCGCTGATGTTGTTGTGGACGGTAGCAGTCATGGTGGCGATGCAGCGACCAGTGCAAAAGAAGATAGATGATAGAAGTTGCCGAGACTGAAGATGAGAGACCAAGATGCTTGGAATGTCTTGTCTGCTTGGCTGATGATCAAAATCTGGGGTAGGAGGATGCCCAGCTTATATACACATCTTGGCGATAGATTCTCCTCTTGCCTTCATGTAACCAAGTGATTGGGAGGAGAAGGAAAAATTGCAAAGGCGCTCTCATCTTGCTAGCTCGTTACTGGTCATTAGCTTGACTCTAACTTAGATAAGCTTAAATGCCCAGACGCGGAGAACCCAGGTCTAGATTTCCCCCGCAAACGAGAATCTGGAGAGAATGATCCCGCGGGACTAGAATGCCAAGGCCTTCCCGGTTTGTGGCTTTCATCTCTGCAGAGTAGCATGGTGGTGAGAAGCGAGAAGGCGTGGGTGTGTGAGGGAGAGCATGGGTGAGGCATTTGACGGGAAGAACGGGAGCTGAAAAGAAGCCTAAACAGGGAATTGGGGTCGGTGTTGGACTCCGAATCGTACCATTACCCCGGACTGGGGAGGGAGAAGCGAAGGGTCAGTTGTGTTGGTGATGCGGGGATGGTCCGGGATGTTGAGATCGGGAGTTGTTTCGGTCTGGGCATATGATGGGTGTCAGTCAGCGGTCGATTGTGGTGAGCTGTACTTTGAGTCATGGCACCCTGCGAGCTGAAAGCTGAAAAGAAAAGCAGCGGTATCGGAATGAATTGCATTATGCTTATTCTTTACGTTCAAAACGGTCGTCAAAATAATTGTAATTGTAAACTCCATAATGCCAAGTTGAAACAGTGAACAAAGCTTTTGCCAATGCTTGACAACGCTGATCAACGTTGAGATTGTGGGGAGGGGATCTGGGGAAATTGCTTGGAAGCAAGGTTGCATAACGTGATTATGCATATTTTCTTATTTTTATGGGTATGCCGATCTTGGTTCGATGTGGACTGGTGAGGTCATCGTCCCTTGCTGTGTAGGGTAACTTGAATCGATTGAAGAGCCTCGATAACGGAGGAAGCATTTTCGCAATTGCGCTGTTTCTACAAATGTAAATCTTGAAAATTGCTGAATTACCTTTCTACGAACCTGTTGAGGCTTTATGAAACTTGTTTGAGACATCATCATCGTGATGTCTTGTAAAGTTGACTGTGGACGCGTCTAGTTTGGTTCACCATGCAGTGCCTATATAGGCTCGATCTGGTGCTCTGGTATCTTACAAGTCCGTAAATTGACTTGACGCTTCGGAACGTATGTACCAACGGGTTTTATAAGTTGTCGGTGGTGTTTCGGGTGTTTTGTTTGCTCACTCCAATAAACAAGACAAAAGTTTGTTCATCATTTCAATGAGCAATGTAAATAGCCCCGACCATGCAGTTTATTCTCAACGTTCGTGAATTCATTGTATTCAACAAATGCTAATGCGAAATTTTGCAAGAAGATAAAACAAAACCCAAACACCTTAGATGCAGTGATATCCAATCCCTCTCCTTTTAGAACTCACTCCCCTACTTTCCACCCATCAATAGAGCAGCAATATTCTCATAAGCAGTAAACACAATACCACCACTCAAGATAAGTCGTCCAAGTCTCATGGTACTTCCACTCCAGAAAGCTCTCACACCACCATCCCGCAAAACAGCCGTGAAAGCCTCACCCATGGAAACACCCTTGGCAGACTGCGATCTCGTCTTGATGGTGTCGAAAGGCTGTGTCGCGTACACGGTGACTACACCAGCGACTGCACCGATACCGAAAGTGATGAAGGGGTTCTTGGCGTCTGAGCCGACCATCTCTTTCAAGATGTTGTACGAGCCCATTCTGACTCCTGATGTGGCGGATTGCTTGAGGGTTGTGGAGGTGAGACCGCGATAGACTTCCTTGATGCCGCGCTCGGCGGCAATGGTGCGGAGGGCGTGGAAACCGCCGTTTAGACGTTTGTTTCCTGATCGCGCATCGTCGATACTGCGATAACAATTAGTATTTGTACGTGAGTGAAGGGATCCGGAAGGGTGCTTACAGAGCAGTCTTGATTCGCTCAGTGGGTGTGACGACAGTCACACTCTCAACAGCACCAGCAATCATACCACCTAGAATATTCTTTCCAGGTGTGAGTTTGCCATTTGAATCAGCCAATTGAGCCTTGACAGAGTCAAAAGTCAAGAAACGAACACCAGCCTTGGCAGCAGTACCCTATTCCCATTAACCACAGCCCAAAAACACCCAGAAACTCAAACTTACAGTGATCAACGAAGAGCATCCCGTGTAAATAGCCCGGAACCCATCGCTCTTAATCGTAGTACCAATAACAGCAAAAGGCGACCGCGAAACCTTGACACCCTGTTGTCTAGCGCCCAACTGCGACACAGTCTTGGCCCATTCAAAAGGATAAGTAACACTCGCTTCAATTCCACCAGCGACGGCACCAGCAGCCAGAGAAATGCCTGGTGTGATCTTTTTCTTTTGCTGGGTTGTCATTTTGGGGGCGGATATTTGCTTGGGGACTTGTTGGAGGGGTTGTTGTTGTTGAACTGCGTTCATCTTGGCGGTTGTGAGAGGAAGAATTTGCTATGCGCGAAAGTGAATCCTGGCCAAAAAGAGATTACGGTAGAGAAGCTAAATAGGAGCGGGGGAAAGGAAAGGTAAATAGCCGCGTATTAAATGAATAACGTTGTTGAATTAATTTGAGCCTCAAGATAATGAGTCCACTAATCTTAGTCCCTCAATTGGAATTTCCCATGGGGAACAACGGAACGGAATGAAACTCACGGGTAAGAATTTACTGACCGTGGTGAGTGACTGTTGGAGAAGAGGAACGGAACGGAGATAACAAAGCGGAGTAGCTGCACTAACCAGAAACAGCCCGCGGATCAACAGTGGAGCCGAGTGCCAAAAAACGGGTGCACCCAAATCAAGGCAATTTGGTCACTGCCTTTCTTCCCGCTCTTCCCGTGGCATTTTTCTTCCCTCTATTTTCCTTCCCTTCCACCAGTATTAACCAAACGAAATGCCTGACGCACAGCCTCGCGTCCGCAGACGTGCTACTGAAGCTTGCACCTTTTGCCGAAAAAGAAAGGTACCTTACCCCATTCCCCCATTCCCCCTCATTGGTTCCCCTCTCGTCCTCGGTATCATCCCGCGGGACTAATCCCTACCCAGATCAAGTGCAACGGTCAACGCCCGTCATGCATCAATTGCCAGACCTACGAGAAAGAATGCGTCTACGAACCCGTTCCCGACGTATCCAAAGCCGAAGGTCGGCAACGTCACCAACGCCTCAAGAGCAAATCCGTCAAAGCGAGGACTGCGAGTCCCAGCGCTACGGTAGTCCCCGGATCATCAGTCACCGGTGAAAGTGAAGCAGATAGTAGTCAGCAAAAAAGAAGAAGTCATGATGGCGGTAGTAGTAATGACGCAAAGTCCATCACCGCTGCACCTTCTGCGCGCCAACAGTCCTGGGATTCACCAGCTTCGCAACCCATGGATCCAGGCGTCGCGCGTCTTCTGGTGCTAGCAAATGGCGAATCAAGTTACCACGGCCGCACAAGCGCGCTGTTCGAAGATAATGCGCAAGATCAGGAAAGACCGGTTGAGCAGGAGAGTAACCCTCGCATGCCGGATCACTGGGTAGAAAGAGGTCTTATCGCAGAGGCGGCCAAGCAGCGTGGGTACCTCTTCTTATACTTATCGAGTGATAGACTAACGTGTAATGTCAAGGCCAATTGGAGGACATTCACTACAGCAAGGGCCAACTCGACTTTGACGGCGTCGATCCAGACCTGGGGATGCATCTGCTCTCGCTCCACTGGAACCGCCAGCACCACTCATTCCTGATTACATACCGCCCGGCTTTCATGCGGGACATGGCCAGCGGTGGACCCTACTTTTCAAAACTTTTACTCAACGCAATTTACTTTGGTTCTTCCAAGTTCAGTCCTCGGTTGGAAGTGCGGAAAGATCCTAATGATGTACGCACTGCAGGATGGCGGTATCGCGAGAGGGTGCGAGAACTACTCGGTGGTTCGTTGGATAGGAGTGATATTACTACTATCCAGGCGTTGCTTGTCATGACGAATTCTTTGTTTGCGTTGGGTGATGAGAGGAGTGCTGCGTGGTTGTATGCTGGTCTTGCGTTTAGGATGTTGATTGATTTGGGACTACACGTTGACTTGACGAATTCACAGTTATTCTCCGATGAGGATCTTGAGATTCGTCGTCGGGTGTTTTGGAGTGCTTTCGGTATGTTGTCCTTGTGTCTCACGATCGTCAGTACTAACATTTCACAGTGGTCGACAAGATCCAAAGTCTTTACCAAGGCCGCCCCGTTACTCTCAAAGAAGCAGACGCGATGGTGCCCATCAAATTCGTCGACACATACTCCGAACTTGAATTCTGGCAACCCTTTGCTTACTCGACGTCTAAGAACAACTACACCGGTTCACCAGCGTACAGCATCTCGACTTTCACCGCGCTATGCAAATTGTCAATCGTGATGAGCGATATCATGAGTACTATCTACACGGTACGAACCACGGAGCAGAACCCGGGCGAGTTGTCCAAGATGTTGGATAAGTTGCAGACGAAATTGCGTGAGTGGCAGGATGCTTTGCCTGATCATCTCAAGCCGGAGGTGATAAATCAGCCTGGTGCTGAAGTTCCCCCGCCTCATGTTTTGAGTCTTCAGTAAGTTACTTCCCGCCATTGATTGATCAAAAACTGACTCTCTAGTGCCATGTACAATGTCCTCGTCATTCTCCTCCACCGTCCCTTCGTCGCAGACGGTCACCTCTACAACACCTTCCGCTCCATTTCCGTCGACTCAGTGATAAAATGCTCCGCCGCAGCATCAAGCATTTGCAGTTTACTACGCGCTTACCATCGCGCATTCTCCGTCCGTCGCGCACCCTATCTCATCTCCTACGCAACCTACGTCGCAGCAACAATCCACTGCCGCATCGCCGCGAAAAACGGCAAGGGCTCTACAGCATATCTAAATCTTATGACATGTCTCGCAGTGTTCAAAGAGAACCAAGAGACTAATTCCGCTGTTCAAAAAGCTGCAGTTATTATTCATCGGTTGATGAGCAAGTATGGTGTTGTGGTGGAGGATATTCCCGATGACGCACTAGAAGCGGAACCAGCGACGCGCACACGGGATCAACAGCCTCAACCACAACAACGGCCACAGCAAGTCACAAACTTCGAAGGTCCACCTACAAATCCCCAAAACGAAACATCACCACAAGCAGTTCCCACCGTGGAAGTAAACAGCACCAGCGCCGTTCCCTCCCCAGGATCAGACTGGATCAACATCGACGGCATCATTCAAAGTTTCCTCCGCGACAGCGACCCTAACATGAATCCCGAACTAGCCACCTACGGCCCGAACCAAAACCAGATCGGACCTCAGTTCCAACCCCCGAAAATACCTCAGGATGGAGAACATTACCTACACCAGCAACAACCCGTGTACTTCCCCGCAAATAACTTTCCCGCGGGTATGAATCCGCCTCCTGTCATGGAGATGGAATGGGGTCAGAACCAGTACTGGTCATCCAATCAAGATGCGGCGTTTTTGGAGGACCCCATTTTCGGGTTTAACGGGTCTAATTCGGGTCAGTTTCAGTACATGGGTCGTTGAGATCCCGTCTTCCCGCGGGACAAGACACCAACGGTTGTCCCACGGCATCTCCGCTGCCGTTCCCGGGACATGACAATCCGGGGCAGGATACCATGTCATACCAAGCCCGAGAAATGGCGAATTCAATGGATGCAAACAAGATTTATAACTGCTTTGTTTTCGCTTACTTCTAAGTAATGTTTACTTGATGCAATTGTACAGATTTGCGCTGTAACTATACCATACCCATACTCACAAACCGCCATCATGGCTATCAAAATTCCCCAAGCAGAGGAGTACTACCCTACCCGCCATGCCCTCTCCTGCGTGTTGATGCGCGCAGGAACATCAAAAGGTCTCTTCATCCACCGCAAAGACCTTCCCGAAAAAGAAACCGAATGGGCGCCCCATCTCATCTCAGCCCTAGGATCTCGCAACAATGACACAAAGCAAGTCGATGGTGTCGGCGGCGGTTCCAGCACTACCTCCAAAGTCGCCGTCATCAACATCTCAGACCGTGAAGATGCAGACGTTGACTTCACTTTCGTTCAAGTCGCCGTTGGAAAAGAATCCGTTGACTTCTCCGGCAACTGTGGAAACATGAGCTCTGGTGTTGCACCGTTTGCTGTCCAGGAGAGACTTGTTACTCCCAAGCCAGGACAGACAGAGATCGATGTTAGAATTTTCAACACGAATACTAGTCGTGTTATCGTCGAGACCGTTGAGCTGGATCGCAATGGCGATTTTAAGGAAGATGGAGACTTTTACATTCCCGGTGTCAAGACCGCTGGCAGTGAAGTCAAGTGCGCTTTCGTCGATCCCGCTGGAAGCATGGTCGGATGTTTGTTTCCTACGGGTAACAAGCAGGATTGGCTTGAAGTTGATCCTACAGCCCTCCTACCTGATCTCTCACCCTTCAAGATCCGCGCTACGTTGATTGACGCTGCGAACCCATTCGTCATGGTTAGCGCTGCATCAGTCGCTGAACTCCTCAAGTCTGATGACGCGCCTGAGACTAAGCACGCTCTTGTCGAGACGATAAGATGTCAAGCAGCCGTTGCCATGGGTCTCGCGAGTTCCACCAAAGCCGCTGGTCTTACCCGCGGCACACCCAAGATCGCCCTCCTCTCACCACCCAAGCGATCACCCGACAGCAAGACACCCGATATTTTCGTTCAATCTTACTCCATGGGTCTTCCCCACCCCAGCTTCCAACTCACCGGCGCCGTCTGTCTCGGATCAGCAGTGAGCATCCAGGGCACCATCGCAGCTGAGCTATCAGCCCAGGTCGAGGGACCTCCTACACCTGAGCGCACACCATCACCTGTATCTGAGGAAGGTCGAGATATGTCTAGTAAGCGACAGGTGTTGATTGAGCATGGAAAGGGAACTATTCCTGTCTTGGTAGAGAAGAAGGGCGATGATGAGATTGCTAGCTGTGCTGTGTCTAGAACGGCGAGAAGGCTGTTTGAGGGACGGGTTATTTATTATCTTTAGGTTTTGGATGATTGCATTGGGCGGCGTTAGATATCACATGAATTGATCTTGCATATTCTTTTTTACATCTTGAGAACAGAACAGTGAATGACAATGTACCTTGCAAAAGAATGGCCTAAGGGTTAGTCTAACCTTTCATAAAGTCGTCAAAACATTTCATCCTTTATGCTTTCTTGCCACTAACTTATCATAACGGACGAGAAGAAGCAAGTTTGGATGATGGACGTGTGTCAACTAGGCAATTGCCTTTCCGATCAGGTCGTTGACCCCTCGCCTGGCCCTGTTTAATATCCTACTGTTGCTTGGAGCCATTGACTGTCTCTTCACCAAGGTCACCGAAGTTCAATCCACACAAGCCTGCTGCAACGGACGGGAACGGGTGCTATGAAGGTTCAGAAGGCTCTGTTGTTCCATGCAGTTGTTGTCCCATTCATAAGGGCAAGATCGTGACCACCTTGGCGTGGAAGACTGTTGAGAATAGCATGTATTTGAATATGTAGTTGTACATGAATCATCTTGGAATCATCCTTGCCAAGTTCAACCTTCTGCGTCGTCAACCACCCCCCAATCCCTTGTCGGAAGATGTCTTGGGCTATTACAATGTTAGCACCCAGCAGGATTAGCAGCGGAAGGCAACTGCCTACCATCTTGGCCTCGGGGGCCGGCAGCTGGTGCTGGTTGTGGCGATATAATGCTGGAAATGCTGCTTCGGCTTCTGCTTACGGCGGAGCGAGGGCCATGGGAGGAGGAGGAGACGGTGGCGGTGGTGCTGGTGGCGGTGATCTTCTCGTCGGAGGCTTCTTTCGACCCGGGCTGTAGCAATTTTAGTCAGTTCATGTTAGAAATAGGGAGGTGTTGATGATAGTTACGGTCGGTTTCTTCTTTGGTGAAGTTAGCATTGAGCAGTAATGGAATGGAAGTGGATTTGAACACGGTACCTCTGCGGCCTCGCGTGCCGGCTGGGAGGGGGTTTGGGGGGAGGAGGAGGTGGTGGTGGATGTGGCGGGGCGACGGCGCCTGTGGTGGTGCGCCAGAAGGTGGTGGTCTGCTTGATATCAGTGACAAATGTCTCAAGTGCTGCTGGTGAAAGTCAGTTTCACGTTGGACCAGGCTCTGGAGGGGCGCTGGTACTATAGACTGTTAGAAACCTGCTACACCATATTCGGGACAAATAAGCCAACGTACTGGGGTCCAGTTTCGCTGAAAGGCTATCAGTTAGCAGGCAACCTCTTCACATTGGATCAAGCACCACTTACGGGCCCTCGAGGGGGTTGGCCCCCGCGGCCGTCGCGTCTGCCGCCGCGGTTGTTGTTTTTTGGCTGCAGTTTGTATCAGCGTTCGGCTCGGTGGGAGATGCACCGCTCGGAGCGGGCAGATTGTCGTGGTCGCACCACAGGACACGGGCGGCGAGGGTGCGACTAACCGGGTCCCGCCTCGGCTCCGTAGAGTTGATCCCGCCTCCCGCGGAGAGGGTGACGATATGGGCGGGATAAAAATGCCGTAATGATGACGGTGATAATGGCGATAAGAGTTCCGATGTTAAGGATGTTGGTTGTTGTTCTAGACTCATCAGCTTCAGCCTCGTCGGTAGGAAGGAGAGCTCACAAATTTGTTGTTGGTAAGGATGATAGGAAATAAGAATGGGCTCGGCATCGCGGATCGCTCCGCGTCGATCTTCTCCCACTCCTAAGAGGATAAAAGTCAATGAATGTCCTGGGAAGAGTCATTGGCTATCCGCTTACGAGGATCTTCTTGAACACCTCCTATAGTGTCGTCGTCGTCGTCGCCTCCTCCTTTCTCTCGGTCTTCTCGGCCGTGCGGCCCTCATCTCGGCCATGCGCTGCGAGCCCGTAATTCTGGGTCAAAAGTTAGTGACCGTGATCGATATACTGCATCTAAAAGGGGACTGACTCGGTGCTGGTCAGACATTTTGTCGTTGGTGGCTTGCGGAGAGGTGCGAGGACGTCTTGCGGAGGACGCGCGCATTGCGGCAAAACGAAAAGATGTTTGATGAAGGAGGAAGAAAGAATTTTCGCGGGGGGAACGGCAGCTCGGGTATGTCTCTTCTTGCTCTCGAGCACGGCAGGTGCAACACCTCTTTCAGTTGGCAAAGATTTCGAAGCGATTCCATGGAATTCTACTGGTGCCTTCCCTATCACGCAACATCGGCTTCCTGACAGTGCAAGGCAAGAGCCCCGGCGATTCCTCCCCTTCCAACCCTTTGAACGCGTCACAGCGATATAGGCCGGTACCTAGACACAGATCTGAGCCATAGATGTGATCATGTGATATGAGTAACAGCCGCTCGTATACCGGTAGAGCTGAGGATGACTTCATGACCATGACAGGGCATTTTGAAATTCTTTCTTTTCGATGAAGCTCATTGTACTATGAGTCTGCCTGAAAAGAGATCTTCTAGGATTCATCCCGCGAAAATAAGGTGGTCTAAATGCGGGTCTAAACTTATATAAACTGACCAAAGTATTTCATCTCTTAGGTATGCTCCCAGTGACCAAGGTTTCTCCATCCCAAAAGCTCCATAGTCTTTCTGCTCTGATAAATGTAGTTAGATCACGGCTATGTCGATCGTAAACAAACCAATCCCAAATTGTCAAAGAATTGGACCTCGGCACATGAGTCTAGTCTAGTGCCATCTCCATCCCCTCATCCACTTTCCACGACCTTCAACCTCCCATCAACACCATCAAAATGTCCCCCCAAAAATCATCAATCGCAGGCCCCAAAGCCCTCGCATTCTCGGCAATAACCATTGGCCTTGCCGCCTTTCTCGCCCGCCCAATAACCCGCTTCACCACCGTCCTGGGCGTCTTCCGCCAACCTGTCCCTACAGTAATCGAAGATGGCAACCTCATAACCATTCCCGATACAATGCTTTGCGAGGATTTGCATCTTCACAAGCCTAGCAATCTTCTGTTTACAGCTTGTGAGGATTCATATGAGTCGAGATTTTCGTGGTTTCCTGGTCTTGGCGTTCTTCACGACCCCCGCAAGATGCGTGGGTCTCTGCACGTCATCGATCCCAAAACTTTCACTAGCAAGAGATTGGAGTTCGAAGGCTTTGGGGACACATTTGTTACGCATGGTATTGATGTTATAACTGATCCTAAGGATAATGGTGCGGTTTATATCTTTGCGATCAATCATCTTCCCAATCCGGAATATGTGAAGGATAAGACATTCGCTGGGAACAAAGCTGCTTCTCAGATTGAGATCTTTCATCATCGGCTTGGTTCCTCAACTGCCAAGTATGTTCGGTCTGTCAGCCATCCATTGATCCAAACGCCGAACGATATCGTCGTCAGGTCTTTGGACAGCTTTTATGTTACCAATGATCATTATTATCGGGAGGGTGTGATGCGACAAATTGAGGATGTGTACTACGGCGCAAAATGGTCTACGACGATTTTTGTTCAGATCAAGGATATAAAATCGAAGGATGCTGCTGGTGGTATTGAGGCTTCTGTCGCACTTACTGGACTTCATAACAACAACGGTCTCAGCCACGGAAGAACACCCGACGAAATCGCAATCGGAAGCGCAGCGAGCGGTGATATCCACATCGCAAACGTCAACGCCAACAACACCCTCTCCGTCCTCGAAACAATTCCTTTCGACACAGCCGTTGACAATCCCTCATGGTATTCCGACCCATACTCCAATGTTGGAGGCGACAGCAGCGGTTATGTCTCTGCCGGTCTCTCAAAGGCCGGCGATCTGGCAAAGTCAGTCGGTGTAGCTACTGGAACGGAACCCGTGATGGTGTGGCTCGCGCAGCATAAGAATGGAAAGTGGGAGAAGAAGCTCCTTTTTGAGGATGATGGAAAGAGGTTGAGGTCAGCTGCTACGGCTGTTCTAATTGGAATTAATCCGGCTTTGGAAGGTGAGAAGAAGAAGGGTTGGTTGTTCGTCACAGGATTTTATTCGAAGAGTATGATAGCTGTCAAGGTCGATCTGTAGGAGCATGGAAATCCAGTACCCGGGGACGGGATGACAGAATCGCACGTTTCGGCTGGATCAGAAGATAACGGTGGATACTGTCATGTGCGGTCTAATCAAAAACCCTGATATTAGAACCTTAGATCCAATTGACCTATGTAACAAGACTATCCGCTTCGTCCAACTCCTCTTTGGTTGTGGTATACGCATTTCTCTCTTTCCTTTTGGGCCATTTCTTTTGTTCGTGTTTTTTACCTTGCGACAAGTAACGTCCATCATGGAAGTGTAAGAATTACTAAACGAAGATCAGTCGTGGTAATTACAACTTTGAATTTTGAACAAGTCCTGCAAAATCGGAATTCGGCATAGGTGGCTCCTTTTGGTCGATAATCAGGTGGTAGCCATATCAGGCGTTCTGAACCCTTAAGTATCGCTTGCAAATTCTTCGATATCGCATACTTGGGTGGGACAAGGTGTTGGAGCCTTTCATTAATAATTTGGAACGTACCCAAATTAGTCTCCAATTGCAAGAATGTAGACACTTCTAGCCTGAGAGGCTTGAAAAGTGCTTCCGTATATACTATCCTCGTGCAAGCTTTCGTTGCAAGGTTCCAGACGTTCAGTTCAGTCTCCCCTCTAAAAGTGTCATGTGAGGTAGTCGCAACAAATTTGTCGTCAGAAGAAAAAAACACAGTACGACCTGTGTGGCCCACTCGTTCCATGTTGCAGAGAGTGAACTTGCATTGCCATGTGTTAATCTCATACAAATCAATGTAATTTCCATGATAAACGACGAGAGTCTTGCTATCGTGGGAGAAGGAGCATTCAGGAACTTCCCACCAGTTCTCATTCGAGGATAACTTGATTTCTGTGATTGGGGTGCCGAACTCAAAGATACTGACGTGGATACGAAACGGGACTGCAAGCCAGCGGTTATTGTGAGAAAACGCTACCCCACCATATTGAAGTTCAGGAAACGAAGCTATGAAGCCAACCCCCTCATTGAAGATATGTGTAACGTGGACTTCCTTACGGTATGGCAGTATAAGCATCTGACCATCGAACGAAAAGATAGGCGTATGCCTGTAAGACCAGGGTCTATCCAATTTCCTGTCCAGATTACAAGATGATGCAGTTTGAATGACATACCAAGGTCTAGCAAGAGATCTGGAATCGCGAGTACAAGATGTCCAGATTGTTGCCTCCGATTTTTTATCCGATCCCGTGACAACCAAAGAGCCATCCTGGGAAAACACGGGCCTGGTATAAGTTGCTGGCGACGGATAGTTGAAATGGGTTATACTTGATAGATCCCAGATATTGATTCTCCGACCAGGTGCGAGTGCGAGAATATCTGATGTTGGCGAGACAGAACTGGTGAGTGAACCTTGTTCAATTCGTGCAACCCGATCGAGCGTCGAAGTATCGAGGATGTCAACTCCATTGTCTTCAATCAATCCAAGTAAAGTTTCATGCCTGGAGAGTATAACTGATCGCCAATACATTGGTCTTTGAACTGAAGAAGAGGCAAGGTATTTGATTGCCCGGATACGCGTTTTCGTGGCTGGATTCCAGACCTCAACGTCATGACCTCTTATCAGAAAGACCTCATCCGTCTGTGATGATACAACCGACTTAGGGGGGAGATAGGCGTCGCCCATTCTAATTCGGTAGGGTTCAGTTTGACCCCTCAAATTCCATATGAGAACGGAATTGTGGGTGCCGCATGACAGGATCTGGTCATCATGGGTGAAAGCAATGGACCAGGCCGCCTGACGAGAGCCATCATTAATTATCAATTCCCTGGTGCACTCGCCGCTAGTTGTGTCAAGCAACTTTATTGTTCCATCTTCGGCACTGGACGCCATAAGGCTCCCGTTCCTGCTGAAAGTCAAGCCACGAATGGGGCCGTTGTGGTAACGGACTGTTCGAATCAAGAGGCCCCCATTCGCATCCCAGATCTTAATGCTGCTATCCCTTGATCCTGTTGCAACGTTGTAGTTCTTGGTTGAGAAAGACAATATTTTAACGCCGTCATTATGTGCCAGCAGTTTATGTAGACACGAGCCTGTTGAAACATCCCAGATCTTGACTGTCTCATCCCTGGACGCCGACGCCAAGAGACGTCCATCGTAAGAAAAAGCGACAGAAAAGACGGTGTTAGTATGACCTTCCAAGGTCAATATGCATGGGCTCCAGTAATCATCTACGCCTTGTTGCAAAGTAAACCAGCGTGGCGCTTCAGAATCATAAACTTCCCTAGTCATACTCAGACGTGGGGTGAAGTTCAACAATGGATATACCTGGAGAGGGGATTGCTCAATCCCGAACCCGGGATAACGGATATATCGCAATTCGTCTTGCACGAGGTCTTTGAGTTGAGAGGTGTGGTTCTATCGTTGATCAGCAACACTGGACTCTAATTGATATACCGTTCATACATCAAGCATGTGCTCCAGCTTCAACATCCCACTTATACCAAGGGCAATAGACTTGAGATGGCCAAGAGCTTCGACCCAAAACAGAAACTTCTGGCGCAGAAATTTGTCAACAGGGCTACCGTCCGTCAATTCTTGTGTTACTGTGGACTGTTCAGACTCCACCAAATGAGAAACCCAGTGAAGGCATTGATATGAGATGAATCCAAGACCCTCTTCCACTGTTAGTGTAGCATGAGATTCACGGTGCAGGATATCGCGCTTGAGTGACCGTGTCAGATTGCCGAGTGATCGTGAGAACAGTACAGCATGCTGTTGTTTTGAGTCAAATTTGAACCCACTCGCATCATGAAGGAGGTAGTCCTTTGCTGAGTCATGTATGAAATAAACGACTCGACGTTGGACCGTCAAGAATGAACCGCACAAGGCGACTATATCTTCAAATTCTTGCACAGCTATCTCCTGATCGTCGACCAAGTAGTAGAGCTCATCCAAAGAGAAAGGTCTAAACGCGCCCAGACTCAATGATATGATTTTTTCGTATAGCTCGTGAAAAGTCAGATCTTCTTTACCTCCAGGTGAAGGCTGGATTTGCTCCAACATCCTCCCGTACAGGGCATCAAGCCCGGTCGGGAACCCGTCAAGTCTCTTCATTGTTTGCCAAGCGGGAATTTCCTTGAGCATTCCACAAACAAGCGAAACCCATAGGAATGTGTTGTTTGATTTTGCACGAAGACGGACTCCAACGGCCTCTTTCCGTTGAGGGTCGTACCGTTTGAGTTCAGAGAGGCTTTCCACTTGGTGCGATATGTAAAGGCCAACTGCCTCGGAGACATCTATCTCATTGTCCTCCAAGCTCAATTCTAACAACTTAGGACAAGTCATTAGGATCTCTCTGATGACTGGCCATTTGCGACTTGAGACAAGCCATTTGACGTTTAGCGAAGATGATTGCTTGACAATAAATTCCATGAGCTTCTCTCGACCTTCCCTGCATTCGTCAAGCGCATCAATGATTAGAAAGATCTTTTGATCCTTGATTGCGGTAACGATACCAATGAAGGTCTTTTGCAATATGGGCCATGCAAGTCTTGGGTCTGAAAGTGCCTTCTGAAGTTCCTTGAATTGCTCTCGGACGTAGGACAAGGCCGCACTATTTCGGAAGATAATGGAGTAGACGATACCACGCAAGACGGAGGTGGCGTTATTGTAGTTTGAGTCGCTGGCATCACAGAAGAAGTATGAAAGAATGGTGTCGGAAACTGACAAGGCACTGATGTGGTCGATGATGCCGCATACGGACATTGTCTTGCCTTTGCCGGGATCGCCGTTTATCCAGAGGAGTGGGTACTCTTGCTCATACCATCTTACAAACTGCTCGTTGTGTAGGATCCAATGGTACGATTCTTTGATTAGACCACCCTTCCGTTCTTGGATATCTTCTTTGTGAGATTGCGGATCTGTTACCCAGAAGGCGTTGCGAATCTCGTCCTCGGTATCATCCTTGGCTAGAAATATTAATGGGTTAGTAATCGACTAAGAACAGCTAGGACAGAGAATTCAATGTATCTGGGAGATGCCAATATGGCGGAAATAATCTGATTGATCCACTGCTATCTTTTGGTACTGTCAAGACTTACCAAACGTTATGTTTCCTCCTGCACTATTGTAAGTGTTGTTGCTATGGGTGTTGGTACCGGAGCCATAGTTCTGCACGATATTGCCGGATCCATAGTTTGCATTGATTGTCGATGTATGGGTTGAATCACTGTGATTCTCTGGTCAGCGCTGAAAAGCATAAGCCGGTAACAATAACTTACTTTAATAGCACAGAAAGCCGACTATTGAGCTGATCCGCAGACATTGCTTCTTTTGACAGATCCTTCACCGTCTCCAAACATTTCTCGATAGGAATCCTTCCGCCAGATGCTGGCATGGGATAGGGTGTAGCTTTCACGAAGTGATTCATGTCGGCATTTTGATTCCCATCTAATTGGGCGACTGTTTGAACTGCAAAGGGAATGTTTTGCGTCGGTTTTCCTTCAAGGCGGTCCTCCATACATGAAAGACATATCCAGTAACAGAGAGAAAGGCCATGTGTGACGTCGATCAGTTTCTGCTCGTTGATGGGCAATTGGCCGGAGGATTGCTTGTAAAGTAGAGGATGTGCCAGCCTGTTGTATAGACTCTCCGCTAGACTCAAGATCTGTATCTCAAACAGGATATCGCAAAATGGGCTGAGTGGGTATTTAGCATCGGAATGCAAGACAACGTGATGATTCTCGCTTTGAAAAGAACCAAAGGTAGGTTTCCAGGCATCGGGGACTTCTCTGTCTGCTTTGAAGACATTCGTAGATATCAGTTGAAAGCTTTGGGTAACGAAAAGCTTAGCAGTTTGGATTCCCGAGGGATAGTCAACGACAATACGGAAGCCCGCGATATCATGTAGGTCGTCGAAGATCTCATCAACTTTATCATACTGTTTTCCACGATGAACTTGGCGTCGCTCGATTGACTTTGTGATTGAACTTAATGATTTCACGCGTCCTGAAACGGTGCAGCGAATGTTGAGTGCTCCTTCCAAAGCGCCTTGCAAATGTTTGACCATGTTTCCGTAATGAGACTCGAGGCGAGGCCAGACCCTGAGAAACGTCTCGACGGGAGATCCTCCTGGTTCCACTTCCCGGAATGCGAGATTTCTTTCCTCAATGAGTGAACTCATCGTACCTCATTTGTGACTTAGAAATACCAAAGACCTTAATTCTGATATTGATGAAGAACCGCTGTATGGAAGATGAGAAAAAGCGAATGTTCGTGACCAAGGTCAAACACAAGTACAATGCTGACACGAATGACCCCGCTCGTCGTAAATCAGGCCACCAGTGATATGAACTACTGAACTTGTTGGCTGCATCTAAGTTGACATGTCAAACGACTGAAATCCAGCCAATACATTTACCCCTTTATCTCACCAATCAAAATTTGAAGCGCTCAGCCTGATTGAAGCGCCCAACAGCAGGCCGCCATGGGCGCTTCCAAGTTCTATTACCGTCCTATCACATTGGTGGCTTTGTGAGATCTGCAGGTATATGCCCAGAATTGCTTAGCCATTCAAAGGTTGAGCCTGAAAATAGAACAGAAAAGTGCACATCACATCCAATGGTGGCTGGGAGTTTGGAGACGCAGAAGGCATGCTAAGACCCATGGACAAGTGGCTGATATCAATACAGCAGCTCTTTCATTGGCCAACATACCCTAGACTTCTTCTATTCCACCAAGATTCCAAGTGTTTCCTCCACTCTTCATTACCATATCAGCCCGTGAGATTGAGTGATATTGGTGGCTATCCCACTCGAACCCTCAACCTCGTGCAACAAGTCTTTCTGCTTCTTTCAACTGCTCCTTGATCAAGGTCTGCGCATCTGTTTCTTCCTTCTCAGCCTTTTCTTTCTGTTCACGCTTCTCAGCTAGGAAATGATTAGTGGAATCGCGACCCATGGTATAGAGTGCATACCTTTTGATTTATTTCTCCCAAATAGGAACAAGCCTGTTTGAACGGAATCGACCTTCCATAGCTTTGAACAAATCAACACGTCAAAAGGTGCATCTTCAACGATGATAAAAACGTCTTCTCGTTGCTTCATGTCGTTGTGCTTGTGCCATGATAGCCGGACTTCTTGCTTTGGGATAAAGGTAAGGCTTCCAAGCATGGTGAGCTCACGCTTCTTTTGATGCTTTCCTGGAATCGCAGTTATCAATGTTGGATCGATCTGGTTTTTCTTGAGTATCTCCGCGTTCACGAAATTCTCATCGCTGCCCGTGTCGTATTTGCTTCGCACGGGTACGAATCGCGGAACGAGTATCCCATCTTCATTCTTGGTCTGGATGATGACGACAAGGCTCCGGGTGAAGTCATTGATCATTAGCTCTTGTACGTCGGCGGCGAATGCGCGTTGCATTTTCTTCTTGGTGGAGGGCGAGAGCTTGGTGGCCAAAACAGGATCAGCACCTTCGGTATCTTCTTCGTCGTTCTCGTACAGGACCTGCGCTATCGCCATGCTTTGGACGAAGTGTAAGGAGCCATGTTCTTGCTCAATTAGAGAAGTACGAACCTTAGTTTCAAGAAGTGCTGGTCCGTCCTCAGACTTGTCATTGTCAGTAAAGAAACCGGGATTTGGAACTGTCTACCCACGTCAATGAGAGGTCTCTGAGTAGAAACACAGAATCACGGAACGAGTTATAAAGAACTGTGAAGTCCTTCTCTGGCCAAGCGAGCCTCATTCTTTGCTTGCTCCAGGGTGTTGACTCTTTTCCAAAATCTGCTAGCTCATCCCGAGGTCCAGGCTGATCCATAAACTTCAATAGCTCGCACTGGCTGTTCAAGCAAATCTCTGCCGATATCTGAATTGATGGTGGTGATAGGTTGGTGTCCGATAGTATCGAATAACATTCTTCCAAGATGTGCTGTATAATCTGAACTTCTAAATGCAGCTTTCTGACCTTTGCAGAACTACTGACATAGTTGTGAGCCAACTGAAGGCTTGAGGAAGAAAAGGCAGCTAGCGATGCTATAATTGAAATCGAGGTTCTGGAATCCATGCTAATCAGTCAACGATAGAAAGTCAATAGATCGGAAGGAGGAAGTTAGCTTTCATATTCTCCCTGTGTTTGATCCAATGGTCAAGAGTCAATGAGAGATAGGAACAGACGTAGAGCAACAATGTTTATTATGCTCATATATACCCACTATGAACTGATGACCCCGCCTACGGCATCCTTTTGTGTCGCAACCTGCCTGTTGCCTACGTTTTGTGATTTACCACATAGCCTTGAGAAAGGGTCTCACAAATGCACACGCCAACCAATGGTGGGCTGATGGTATGACACAAGCTGCAGCCCGTAACAAAGTGGCGTACAACAATGCAACAGCCTGCCTCAATTCCCGACGATCCTCTCTTTTCCTTTTATTCCACGAACAATCTAATTCCCCATCCTTACCACAAGGGCAAGAAAAGTCAGAAGGAAAAGAAGAAAAGTTCAAACGATATATAGAAATCACAATGGCGGCGCCGCAAAGATACCATCGACTTGCCAGAATTATGGAGGAGGATAAAAACTTTGCCATCTTCCGGAAATTTGACGAGGTCAATATCACACAGCTGATGGCGCTACAAGCAGAAATTGTCGAGCTTCAGTATCGGTTTCAACTGAAAGCCGAGCAGGATGATAAAAACGGGCACATTCACTCGGGAAGTTTTCACGCACTTCGGCATTCGGTACCAACGAGAAGGGACAAAGAAGCTCATAATGATGGCAACGATCAGTTAAGCCTTCTAAATGCTCTACGGACGAGGATTACTGAGTACAGTGAGTTTCAGTCCCCCGTTTGAAAATTAATCTAACAAGCCAGACACTTTACTTCTACAAGGTAGGTATCCACTGGAACTTCTATACCTACCCTGGACAAAGCACTCACTGGCAACGAAGTCGCAGAGCTATCGAAACTACCAACTCCCCAAAAGTCGCAATTAGACGCCCTACAGGATTGGCTCACAGATCCTAAAGGTGGCGACAACTTCACAGCGAAGATGGGTGGTACGGAACTTTACACTTGGAAACCGACAGACGTGACAAAATACGTCTCGCTCCGCCAACCAGCTGAAGATTCCGACCCGTTCACTGAATTCATCATGGGTGTCATGGCTCGAATATATCATCGCATCTTCAGCCAGAAGTTCATGACTGGCCGAGTCGTCGACCTCGAATCTGGGCTGACCTCATATTCGGACTCCAAGCTTATCAAAGCGAGCAATCTGATTGCTGTCATGGTGTCGTCAGCACTCCCTGTATTGACAATATTTGTTTTGAATACTCTCACCTCGACGACTCTGAGGTTGGGTCTTACTGTTTTGTTCACCGTTGTTTTTGCTGTCGTGCTGGAAATATTTACTAGTGCGAAGAGGATTGAGATATTTGCTGCTACAGCTACGTAAGTATGCTATACGGATTTCGTGAATGAGGGCTGATGTGTGATATAGGTTCGCCGCTGTCGAGGTGGTGTTTATTGGCAGTGCTTTGAAGAGTGATTGAGGACAGTCGACAAGAGTAGGAAAGGGTATGAGCTATTCTTGAAATAGTGAATATTTGAGCGAGGCTTTTTCTTTCAATCCGTTATTATTCCATCTTAATCACACATGCCTAGGAAAACTCCAACCAAATTGCTAATAATCCCCAATGTCCAATTGTCTAGGAAACTCCCACTGTCTCGGAAACTCCATTCCCCATCTGCCCATCAACTCCTTCAATTCCGCCTCCGTGCCCGGCACGACGTTCACGAAAACCCTCCCACTATCACCTTCACTCATACACGGCTCCGAATGCACAGCCCCAAACTCGCGTCCAACTTTGAACACAGCGCATTCTCCCAGGTCCGCCACTTCCGCACCACAAGGTCCAAGTGTGGCAGCTAATTCGCTGCGTACGGCGTCGGAGGCTGCTGCGCATGCTATACAGGTGAGGAATGAGCAGTTATGCTCTGTACTTGCCGCGCGACGAGCAGACGTTTGGGCTTCTCGGGCTGATGATTGGTGTGACAGGGGAATGAAGAGTGTTGATGGACCGAGAAGTGTTGTACAGATCTTCCAGTTCGTCCCATTATTCTGGTGAGCCTTCGTGTATGGTGATTTGAGGCCCAGTCTTGTTCCCGGTAATGCGTCGGTGAAGAAGAGTTCGTCGGTATGCCATCTCGGCCGATCGAATTCGTGTGTTGGTGTCGAAGCTCGTATTGTGAGAAAGTAATGCTGAAAGCCCTTTCCTTCAAGGACAGTATTTGCACGATTCAAGAAAGGAATAAGTCTGTCTTGCACAGAGCCTGCGAATGTCCTCTTCTCGAAGTCGTGAAATGTTGATGGGAGACCTTCTGACGTGTCGATCAACGGTCCACAGTGGGACCAATAAGCCGTCCGCTTAACAGTTATTTCATCTTGGCACTGTAACTCGTCTTTGTCCCCAAACTTGAGAAAGCTGAATTCATTTTCAAAGGCCGCCTCAACAGCCGCCATGATGCACTCGTTGTTAGAGTAGGATTGAAAGAAGATGAAAATGCGGTGTTTCGTTTGCTGACGTGGTTAGTCATCATTGATGAAACAGCTGGCGCGCTGAAGATTCCGCCAGGGCTGACGAGCCAATCGGTTCTTGTCAGCGGAGACGCGGGGTCTTTGTTGGTTGAACCAACAGATTGATATCAGGTAAATTTGGTGTTTGTGTTTCAGATAGATCATCTAACCGGCTACCGCGGGTACGAATAATATGGAGTTTATGTGGTTCTTACAGGGCTGCGTACAGACCAACGACACCTCCGGCTCCAATGAGGACAGCTCTGACAAGATTGAGCCAACGGAACTTTTCCAACAGCTGTCTCACTTCCTCATCCTGTTCTTGACTCGAGTCTTTTTCCGTACGTTCTTGAGGTCCACTTAAATCCGTGAACTCATCGCCTTCACCACTACCCATGACGGAGTCTAACGCACTTCTATCAGTCTTACTACCATCTGCTTTCCTACTCCTAGCCCCACCCAATTCATTGTTCTTCTTGATAAGCGCAAAATTGGTAGGAATCATAAGTTGAGTAAAAGGCGCGATGCCAAATGAAAGTGCTGCAGCCAGTAAAAACCCATTTGCTTTAGGTGTGTTGGTCGAGATTGAGTATAGGGTGGAGCTGCCATTGCTGGCTGAGGCAGAGTATATAAACCCGATCGTCGAAAGTAGCGAAGCGGAGGGGAAGACGTGAGAGCCGCGACTAAAGAGCCACCTAATGGAGGGAAGAGAGCGCGATGCGGGTTGAGATTGGAGTTCGGGAACGTCGAAGAATGTCAGGGTGGCGATCCCGCCTGAGGCGATGAGCGAGGTTGCGATTGAGAAGACTTCCACGTGGGACATGTTAAAACGGTTTAAAAACGTGTGAGTATTATTAAGAATTGAATTATTGAATTAAAGTGAAGAATAAGATCTGTTAATATATGTTTTTCGATATGGATGACGTAGATGGATTCATATGAAAATGACGTCCAACACATGTGTCGGCATTTTGCCAATTTCCGCTTCTCCGTCCAATATGCACCAGACACTAAACTATGATGTATAACAAAAAGGCAAGTAATTCATATTTGAACAATTCTTCGTCATTGATTCAAGTGATATTATGTACTTTATCACGAGAGTTGGTCCTGGACATCCGCCGTTGCTCACTCACTACCCATTCTCACATAACTGGAACATCCCCACACAAACTTTGAAGGCACACGAGGCACCGCGATCACCTCCAGAAAATTACCCGGTCCCAGATATCACAGCTTGTCATTGTACAGACCATGAGGAAAAAAGACGTGGTGAGATTTAAGCTTGTGATTAATGCTGCCATAAGCCGAACCTCGCAACAGCTGAAATGTAATTGGCCGGTACGGGCATCACAGTCAGCTGCCAAGACTTAGTTGTATAAAGAACCCGCAGGACCGTAGGACACGGTGATAATCTTACATCTTTCACAAATTCCATTCTCTCTACTGCCTTCCTCTCGCAATCGACATTAATGACAGACGCCAACATGGACGCAGCAGAGAAGCCAACAAAGCCGAGGCTCATCTACCTCGCGGTCCGTCCAACCCTCTCATCCCCAGAAACCTTTTTACTGACATCTCACCCAGCACTCCCCAAGCACCCAAGGAGTCCTATGGCTCTTAGAAGAACTCAACGTAGATTACGATATCACCAAATTCGACCGACCCGTCAGCACCCTTCAACGCGGCATGAAAGAAACCCACATCCAAGGCCACGCACCCCAGCTCATTCTTCCCGACGGGCGCGTAATCACTCAAATGAGCGCCTGCATGCTCTATCTCACCCAGACCTACTCCACCGTCCCAGCCGACCGTCTTCGCGAAGAGTATCTCATCAGTCTGGCTATAAGCGATATCATCGCCAGGTTGTCAATAAAATACCTTTTCTACGTCCTCCCAACACAAGTACCCTTCCCTCTGAGCTCCATAGTGAGACTTTTGGGTTGGAGTTTGAACAAGGGGTGGTTAAATGAGGAGGTTTACAATGCGCTCCAGGTCGTTGAGAATGAACTCGAGGGACGGGAGTACTTGATGGGCAGTGAGTTGTCGAGGGCGGATATTGCGATTAAAATGAGTGTGGATTTGGCTGTACATCCTAAGATGGTTAATTTGGAGAAGTTCCCGAGGTTGAAGGAGTGGTATGAACGGTGTGAAGCTAGACCAGCGTGGAAGCGGTCTTTGGAAGTGGGAATTGGGTATCAACTTGACTGGGCAGTTAGATATCGGGAGAGTCAAACTGGACCAACTTGGAAGTTGCCCGTCGTTGCATTGGCTGGGGCTTTTGCTTCCTACGCATACTTCTACGGTCTCAACTAGCAAACACATCTTGCATATTCTATTATATTTCCGTTCTGAGCCTTTTTGCGGAGCAGCTCCTTTCAACTATCCCGATAAAGCGGCAGGATAATCGTGGATATTTGTTCATCTACAACTATCCCTCCCAGAGATACTCCTGCTCAACACCCGGTATCAACTCCTTCAGCGCAACCCCATAATCCCCACGATTCGGCATTCTCATCAAAGTATGAATATGAAATTTCGCCGGCTCCTCATTATTCAAAAAAACACCAGAGTGATGATCAAACTCAAAAATAACAACCGGACTCTGAATCCTGTAATAAAACGGGTCATGCTCCCCAAACCCACCAATCCAGCAGAAATACGTCTCGCGGAACCACTGCTCGACTTTCTTAAGATACATCATGCGTGCCTGGGCGGGAAGGTATAACAGAAACTCGTTTGCGATTTCGAGAATGTTTTCTTGTTGTGAGCGTGTCATTTCGGAGACGAGAATTCCTTCGTAGGGAACGATTCTGTTGTCGCGGTATGCGCCGCATAAATGGCGTTGGTCATCGTGGTTCCAGCGTTTGGGCGGCATGGCTGGATTTTTCATGAGTTTGTAGACCTGTGCGATTCTCTTCTTCTCGTCTGGAAGACTCTGCATCAATCGTAAACCCATTTCTTCCTCCTGATGTAAAATCCGAGTGCCCTTATAAGGACCTTCATCAATGAGGTTGGGCTCTGCGCCAGTGAACCAAGGAGACACGACGATCTGGGATTTATAAAGAAAAATGTTCAAACACAGATGATGGCCGTAGAAGGAAAAGCCCCAAGGACGATCAGTGGATGGTTCGCCGAAAAGAACGAAGTTGTAGGAATATTCATTCATGATGGATGGTGTTTCGACCAATTCACCCAGGAAATGGTTTACGCGCATTGCGCCGAGGGCTTTTTCGTATCCTTCTGGTGAGAGAGTGACTTCCAGGATTTTAAGAACTTTATTTCGTACATCGGCCGTGATTTCATCGAGACGGATGCCTTTGTCGCTAAGGAGGAATTCGGGATTGGACCAGCTACGCCATTCGGGACTGTCAATGTGATAGAACGTCTTTTGCTTTTGATCGTCTGTCAGACTATTACAGAGACTCGCTGCTGCTTCGACGATGATACGGATTGGAATGCCTTCATCTTGAAGTTCGAAGAGGCCGTCCTTCACGACACCTGGAATTGTTAGTTGAGTTACGTGAGGGCTGGAAAGAAGCGTACCATCGGAAGTGATGCCTTGATAAGGTTGCTGGAATAGCCTGCGCCAGTGTAGCCACAGACCATGAAGCCAGGGTGGTTGCGCATTCTTCTTGAAATTCTCGGCGTACGTATGCGCGTCGTGCGTTTTCATGTCTTGGAAACGGGGTGTATTGAGATCGGGAAGGTACTGGCGAAAGCCCTCACTGTCGCTCGATTGACACGCCATGACTGTTGCTGTCCCGTTGCTTCACGGTAGATTTGTCCAATCGGTGTGTTTCTGAACTAAAAAAAGAAGTTCCACCACGTTGACTATCAATGAGTTCAGCCATGAGATGATCTTATTTGTGAATGGACATCATCTCAAGACGAAGGCGGATATATCTTTCGTTTTGAGAATCTCTCTTCCGTTTCTGCGGTCGCTGATTGGCTCGATTTACAACCCCACGTTGAAGTGCGGGGATCACAGCCCGAGGTCCACAACCTCCGATGTAGGAGACTCCATGATAAGGGACGTAAGTATGGCGAGCAGAATGTGAGAGAATATTCACCAAAATCCTCATTGTTACTCTTCATTAATAAGTTACGCGATCAAAATGGCTTCTCCATCGTTCAAGCGTAAGGAAACACCCCGACTAACCGTCAGGTATTTCTAACCATGACCAGGCCTCGTACGCTTCATCCCAAAGTCCGACTCTCCAACCATCCTCATCGGGGAACCAATCCAAGAAGATTTGGATATCGGTCTCGCCACTCGTGAAGGCAAGAGTATCACCGTGACAGTCTTCTCTGGAACATCCGTCCTATCCCCAGGTGTTCCCACAGACAGAACTGAATCTGTTGAAAGGATCTTATCACCTCTGGCACAAGAGGAAGTGGGCACTATCCGCTGCATCGGTTTAAACGTAAGTTGCCTTGATATTGCAGTAAGAGTGGTGACTAATGTGAGAATAGTATGTTCAACACGCAAAGGAAGTAAAAATGGAGATTCCCACCATCCCAACGCTCTTCCTCAAACCAAACACAGCCCTAGGCGATCCCTACCCCTCCCCAACCTATCTTCCAAAAATCACCCAAAACGATGGAAGTGGCGATTACGAATCCGAACTAGCAGTCGTCATCGGCAAACCAGCCAAGAACGTCTCCGAAGAGAACGCCATGGAATATGTGCTGGGTTATACTGCCGCAAACGATGTGTCTAGTCGTGTTTCGCAACTCAATCAGAGCCAGTGGTGTTTTTCTAAGGGCTTTGATGGGGCTTGTCCTATTGGTGAGTTTGTAAGACTATTCATTGGAAAGGTGCTAATGGGATGGTGGTAGGACCTGTCTTGGTTTCAACGTCGGCAATACCGGATCCTACAAAGTTACATATCCGTGGGTTGAAGAACGGCAAGGTTTTGCAAGATTGTTCTCTAGAGTAAGATACTCTAACACCCTCCTACCATCTACCATCAGCCAGCCACTAACCATGTCCAGCGACCTCATCTTCAGCATCCCAAAGCTCATCAGCTTCCTCTCCCAAGGAACAACCCTCCCCGCCGGCACAGTCATCATCACAGGTACACCAGCAGGCGTAGGAATGGGAAAGAACCCCAAAGAGAATCTTCAGGCTGGCGATGAATTTAGAGTTGAGATTCTGCCACACATTGGGACTCTGGTCAATACCTTTGAGAACGAGGAGTGAGTGTCTGAAGTCAATATGCTCAAGGTTTGTGAAGGTGTAAATGATGGATATGAGATTGTTATCCAAGGTTCTCGGCTAGGGCTGAAAGGAGGGCCAGGTGGATAACAAATGAATTGTCCACGCCACAAAGAATAAAGTAGCCTAAGTGTCGGTCTAAGTTTGGTCAAAGTTGTTCATCTCCCATGCTATTCGCGCCTTGTTCTTGTGATATGATGTGCGATCAACCAGATAGCTAGCCTTGCAGTAAGGTTTATCTTCCAGGTTTAAGCCAGCACAAAAGCTGAGTCACGGTGGCTTGATGTGTTGGATCACAAGAAAATGTCCATTATTCCTGCAACTTTGACTGATGCTGGCACAAGGTTAAACAAACAATTAAAGTATATTTCCTCTCGTCTCAATGGACTAATTCGTCTCGTCTCAGTAAACTAATAAGCCTAATTCTGCTTCTCAATAGCACCCTTGATAGCCTAGGTCTCAGGGTTAAAAGAAGCCTGATCTCCCACCCCCAATTCCTGATTCAGCCACTCCCGAATCTTCTCAAGACCATACAAGTCATTTTCCCGAGCGCTGACCTTCATATCCCCGGCATTCTTCGACCAGCCTGGCGTTCCAAGCTTCCTAAGCTCCCCACCTTCCACCGCGCACGAGTCAAAGTCAATGATGACTGCACTGTCATTCGCGTCCATCATGATGTTGGACGGGTTTAGATCATTGTGTGCGTAGCCGAGGTTGTGTAGATGCGTGATGCCGGCGGTGATTTCTTGCATGACCTTCACTATGTTCATCGGGACCTTTGATTGAAATCGGTCGAGAAGGGTTATGGCGTATCTGCCATATACGAGGCTAGTGATACGTCCCTGCTGTACGACACAGCCCCAGTATTTGGCCAGATTGGGATGCGGATTCTTGAGAAGGACTTCTCCGATGATCGCCTCGTCCGTGACCGACTTCGCGATGACGGTCTTGTCGCTGAGTTGGTTGTAGCCGGAAAGACACGGCATCTTCATGTAGCAATAGCTCTGTACGGGAAGCGGCGCAATCGTGAGGCTTGGTGTGAACACAGGCTGATAATGCTGGACCGGGATAACCGGGTGCGAAAAGATCTCGTGCGGCTGGACCTTGAAAAATCCGATAGCGAATCTGGTGAACTCCTGGGGGATAAGGTCTGGCCCCCGAGGCCTCATGTCGACTTGCTGGAGGTTAACCGTGCAAGGATTAAAACCGTTACCCATCTGGCTGTAGATTTCGCAGATAAAGAAATGCTCGTTGTCGATGCAGACGATCATCTCGTGACAGAAGAATACGTTGCCGTTCCACTGCTCGTTCACGTCGACGATCTTCAGAAAGGGCAAGGGCAGATGGCTGTAATTCCAGGACGGTGACATGTTGGGACTCGCGGCAGGCCGAAAGCCCGGATCAAGCCTGTTGTAGGCCGGGGCGAGAGGGCGTATATTTGGGTTTGACATGATGAATGCTGTTGGGTTTGAATGCTTGATGTGATGATGTGAAAGCGATGGTTGTGGTTGATGTTGGCGGGGGGGGGGGGGGGGG